CTCACAACAAAATCTTTTAAAAGATAGATTAATAAGTGGGAAAAAAGCCAGCCACAGAGCAGTGCCAGGGCAGGAAGACAGTGGGGTGCAGAGACCAGGGCAGAGGAAGGTGATCTTGAGAGCGACCCCAAGGCTGCCCAGGCGTGGCACAGGGCGAAGGGGGTGAAGCCGGAGCCCAGGCCCCCCAGCATCTCAGACGGCTGGCACTGGCTTCAGCACCACGGACAGCAGCGGCCTCTCCGGGGACCACCCCTCCTCGCCCAAGGACTGGAGTCGGCCTTCCACCTGGCCAGGTTCTCCTGTCACACACGTGACAGTGCCGTTCATCTCGAGGCTGTTGACAGACCTCTGGAAGACACTGTGGTGTCCTTGTGGCTTAGAAATAAGAACTCTTCCAGTAGTGGAAGACACAGCCACTTCCCCAGGTCCCCTGGGTCCCCGGGGCAGGGCAAGGGTGGGGTGGTGGCTGTGGCATCTGCCTTCTCAAGAAGCCACCAGGTGACGGCACCGTCGAAACAAGGAGCAGTCCAAACAGAGGACTGCATGGGACCCAAGAGAGATGAGGGCGGAGGGTCTCTGGGGACGGATGTGCCAGGCATCCTCGGCGGTGGGGGCGGGGGGACATGGAGGAGGTGGCCTTGCGGCAGTTGCCTGGGTGACAACGACGCCAGAACAGAGACCCCTGTCACCTCAGGAGCCTGGGGAGCAGACTCCCGGGGCAGGCTGGTTCGAGGTCGCCCGCGAGGCTGCAGTCCCGGCGATGGCCAGGGCTGCGGGCGACTGCGGGCTTCAGGGGGCCGGGAGGCTCTGTCACGTGACAGTTCCAAGGCGCTCTGTCACGTGCTGACAGGCAGGTGGGCTCAGGCCCTTGGCATGTGGCCTTCACGGGGCACTTGTGACCTGGCCCCGATGTCCCTCACCGTGGACGTGAGAGGAGCAGAGAGAGCAGGCCCCCTGCAGCACGGTCCCGAGTGCGCCCGGGTCTGGGATCGGAAAGGACTCCCTCCCTCCGTCGGGCACACGGGCCGGCCTGGTTGGCGTGGGCCACCGGGGCCGGAAGGAGGAGATTCACAGACAGCCTGGTGTTTTCCACGTGCCAAAAAGAGGGCCACTCTCCGCGGCGGCGTCTGGGGCACACAGAAAGTAAATCACACCCAACGACGGTGCAGACCCTGAATCCCGGTTCGCCCCGAGGACGGGGTGGGTGGAGGGCAGGCATCAGCGCACGAGGGGTGTGACAGGGGCCATGCGGGAGAGGACTGTCAGCAAGGATAGTTTCTAAATATGTGTATTTAAAAAGAAAACAGGAACAGACCCAGCTGGTGTGGCTTGGTGAACCGAGCCCTGGCCTGGGGACTGAAGGGTCCCTGGTTCGATTCCCAGTCAGGGCACATGCTTGCAGTACAGGCCGGGCCCCTAGTCAAGGGTGCGCGAGAGGCAGCCAATCGGTGCATTTCTCGCACGTCGATGTTTCTCTCCCTCTCCTTCTCTCTCCATTCCCATTTTTCTAAAAGTAAAATATTTTTAAAGTGATTTTTAAAAAACCTAGTAACATTAGCATGCTATTTAGAATACACACATACAGAAAAGGCCCCCAAACAAACCAGAAAAAGTAAAACTTTTGCCTGAAACAAGGCAAAACTCGGGAGGGAAGAGGTTCTCATCACCGGTGCACAGAACTATTTCGTCCGAGTACGGACGCTTGTGACTTTGGTAAAAAACAGGTGGCGTTTCAGTAACAAAAACACCGCAGCCTGCTGCCCACGCCCCGCTCTCCACCGGGCCCCTGACACCCCAGGGAAGGGCCTGGGGGGCTGCGTCCTCTCCCAGGGCAGGACCCGATGTCCCAGGGCCTGGGTCTCCCCATCGCCCACTGTCCCCAGTTTGCCTCGGACTCACTAGGCTCCCCTGCCTCCGACCACACCCTTCCCCGAGAGCCCACCTCCCCTGCCCCTCCCCGTCCTTCTCCCTGTGGGGTTGGGAGAGACCTGTCCAGAGCAACAGCTGTGCCCTGGCCCCTTGAACTGCCCCTCGTACCCGCCGTGGTGGCAGGAAACTTCGAGTCCTTCCAGCTTCTTGGGGAGGTGAACCGGGGACAGCAGCCCTCGCTCCATCATTTCCAGGACACCTCGCCTGATCACCCAGCGTGCTATTCATTTGGGTGTCAGCACCGCCGCATGCCTGTGCCTTTAATTAATAATCCAGTAGAACCCCACGCTGGGCCTGGCGGGGTGGTGCAGCGCGGCCGTGGGACTGGGCCAGACCTGAGCTGTGTGGGCCAGGCTGGTGAGGACCCTGCTTCCACCCCCAGCAAGAAGAAGGCCTTGTGTAGAAGCTAGGGACCCAGCCCCTTGTCCCCAGATGTCCCCACCAGACCATGGAGCCCCAGGTGAAGCCCCTTTAGGGACCTTACCAGGAGGCAGAAAAACAGACCCTGAGGTGTGTATGTGGGGGGTGGGGTGCAGCAGGGACTGGGCCCAAATGGGGGATGGGCTCAGACCCAGACTCCAAGGCGCCAGTGTTTGTGGCCACAGGGGTGAAGCAGGCGAGGGGTCTTTGGGACATTAGACCGCGCTGGGGCCTGCCTGCTCCTGGGCCCTGGCCTTGGCTATACTCCCAGCCCAAGGTGTCCCCCACTCCTGACTGTCCCGAGAGTAGAGAGTGGGCAGGCTGGGGTCCCTGAGACACGTCAGGGCGACCTGCAAAAGCCAGGCGGACCCAGCCCTGGGCGACATGGGGACCTGGGCGGGGGCCCAGAGGCAGGCCAGCCGATGGGACGCTCTGTTTGGACAGACCTGAATTATTCAGTGGTTCGAGACTTATTCTCGGCCCCGGCGGCTGCGGTCTGTGAAGACGGACAGCGGCTCGGCTCTATTTTTAAGGCTCTGGGAGCAGGAGCCGAGACGCCGCCCCCCTCAGGCCCCAAGTGCCCTGTGCACTGGGCAGGGTGGGGGGCGGGGGCTGGAGGAGGGCCTGTCCCCGCTGCTCTCCGGGTGTCCTGTGAATGTCCCCAGTGTTCCTGGCAAGAAGGCCCAGGCCCCACCCGGGCCCCTTCCCATCACTACTGCTCCCCAACCCCTCGTCCACGTGAACCCCCAGCCTGCCCCTGCCCCAACCCCATCTCATCTGTGACCTTGATGTGGCCACAGCAGGGAAGAGGGTCTCTTCCTTGAAGCTGTACCCCAAACTCGATTCCTTTTAGGGTCCAAACCCCTCCCCTCCAGGATTAATTCCCCACTGCCCACTGGGCTCCGTGCTGCCCCTGCCGTCCTCCAGGCCCCCTCCCCCCCCCAGCCTGCTCCCCTGAGGCCGGTGCTGAGCTGAAGACCCAGAGGGGCCTCACTGGTTTCTGATGGGCCAGGAGGCCTGCGCCTCCGTGGGCCTGCCTGCCTGCCTGCCTGGGGACTGCGGATGTGGCTGAGCCCGACCCCCTGGGCACCCTGCGGGGAATCTGCCCTCCCAGCTCCACTGAGCCACCCTGGGCACCTGGGGAGTGGGGGGAGGGCTCCCTCGAAACTGCTCACAACCAGGCTGACTGAGAGAAAGAACTGAAATTACCCAAATCAGGAGCGGCAGTCAGGACAGCCCCCACCCTTATAGCACCAGGAAGAAAACAGGCACGGTTGTACGCTGGACACCAGACAACCTGGACGACACGCACGCTCCAACTACCCGCGATGGGGGAGACTGGGCACCTGCGTGGACCTGTGGCGAGGGACTGCCTCAGTCATCACGCCCGCCCCGACGGGACAGCGCAGGCGGGCGGCTTCCCTGCTGGCGCTCCCCGAAGCCTTCAGCACGGGTCCCCGAGCTCTCCCAGAGAGCGGGAGAGGGACACTTTCCAACTATGGCAGGGGCCAGCACCACCGTGGCGGCAGAGCCAGACACAGGCCTCGCAGGACAGCCGCAGGCCGTGCTCCCACGGACACAGGCGTGGAGACCGCCCCGACCAACCCGGCAGGTTGGACTCTCGGGACAGCGACGCCGTGACCGAGCGGGACTGAGTTCAGAAATGCCAGAGCGGCTCAAAATTTGACAATCAGCTGCTGTAACGCACACGAGCAGGTGAAGGACAAGGACCCTTTCCGCAGAGTCAGAAAGAGCGTTCAACATGTCCAGCGCCCCGTTGTGACAAAGACTCCCAGCAAACCGGAGCAGGGGGACGGGCCTGCCCGGTGGGGAGGCATCGTGAAGAGCCCCCAGCTGACTTCACGCTCACGGGGGAAAACAAGCTGAGGACAGGCCCCCCTCCACGCCTGCGCCACACTGGACATTCCACTCCCGCTAATCGGGAGTGACCGAGACATACAAGACACCCAGACTGGGAGGGAAGAAGGAGAACTCTCTTGGCAGGTGACACGGTCTCATTAGAGGGGTCCCTGGAGAACACACACAATTAGACTCGATTAATGATACAGCACAACTCGGGATACAAGAAACAAGAACCAGTTGTATTTCAACACAGTAGCAGGGAACAATCCAAAAACTCAATTAATAAAACAATTCCATTTACGATAGCATAAAAAAGATTAAAATGTGTAGAAATACATTTAACCAAGGGAACTCTTAAGATCTGTACGCTGAAAACTACGAAGCATTGCTGAAAGGAATGAAGATCTAAATAAACCCACAGTGGCTGCGGTCAGAAGACTTGACCTTGTTGCGATGACCACGCCCCCAACCCCCCCAAACCCTTAGGGAACCTGCAGAGACAGACACGCTGGCTCTGGCTGGAGCAGAAGTGTGGAGAACCCCGAACAGCCGCACACAGCCGTGAACTTGGGGCAGGTGGTACCGTGTGAGACTCTGAGATGGGAGCAGGAGGAGGTCCGTGTGGCCTGGACCAGCGACGGTTCCTTCCTCAGTGCCCAGAGCACAGGCAACAGATGAAAGATACACCGAACTTCATCAAATTCAAAAAACTTCATGCAGCTAAAAACACTGCTGAGAAGATGAAGATGACCCACCGAGAGGGCCCGGTCTGAGGAGGGAGGAGGGGGAGGGTGGGAGGGGGAGGGGGGAGGAGCAACAGGCACAGCACGTGAAAAGGGCTTGGCCTCCCTGGTCATCAGGGAGGCGGGAACCACAACTATTAACGAGGGACCCAGACCACAGACAGGTGACAGGGGTGTTGGGGACAGGGCTGCAGTCACACAGCCCCCTAGAGCCAGAAACTCCTGCACAAACCCCCAAGAACTGCGCACACGCTCAGATGCAGCACTGTTCACAACAGCCCCGCAGAGAAACCCCCTCGAGAAGACTCGGTGCACCCACGCGATGGCGTTACTCCTTGTCTGTGAAACTGCGGCGCCGGCCCGTGGCCACGCTGAGGGTGCACAGAGGGGTGGCACCCAGAGTGGGCAAATCTGGAGAGGCCGAGGGCCACAGTGGCTGCCGGGGCAGGTGGGAGGGGAGAAGGGAGCTTCCCGCCCTGGTCCTAGTGGGCCTCTGGGCCCGAGTGCTGATGGCCGCACCAGACCCTGAGTGCACAGAAAACCACTCAACTGCACACCTACAAACTGGATTTCAAGTGGTCATTCTCATGTGACTTTAATCTCCTACAGGAAAAAACCCTACTCAGGTAAGCTCACAGGTCTGCACACCCATCTCCAGATGCCGGCCTCCTCCTCACTGCAGGGGGGGCGAGGGGCACGGGGGACCCCAACGGGGAAACGTGCAGTTCCAGTTCTGTCACGTGCTGCGGCAGCGAGCGGGGCTTGGTGGGTGGAAGGACCACTTAACCTTCTGGTCTCTTCCTTATCACCAGCAGCTGTCTCGGCCCTGCATACTGGTGGCGACCGACCCTGGCCTCAATGGCCCCGCTTCTCCGAGCACCCACATGAGGCCCAGCTTCGCGGACACCAGTCGGTAGGAGGTGGTCAGGCCCAGCCAGGTACCCTCCAGAGCTGCCCCCCATGTGGTTCGGGGAGCCAGGCAGGGGGTCTGGAAGGAGCTGGGTGGGTGGGCCCCGAGGGGCGTGGTCTAGGGCTCCCTCTCGGGGGTGGGAGTGAGTGCTCCTGAGGAGATGCAGGTTCCACGGGAGCCAGGGGAGGGGCTGCAGGGTGAACAGGCAGGTGTCAGACTGGGGGCGGCAGCGGTGTGGGGGGCACACTCAGAGTGGCCAGGGCAGCGCTGTTTCCCCACAGAAGGCCTCTGGGTGAGGGGCTGGCATGGGGAGGGCGCCATGCCGGCAGGGACAGGGTAGAATTCTCGCCCTCGGACCCAGTGCAGACGGGCCACCCACCCTCCCAGGCCCTGACCTGCAGCCCCTCGGGCACCGGTGCCAGCCACGTCGGGTGCCCGGACCGCCCCTGCTTGTCCCCCACTGCAGGCCCTCTCCAGGCTGAGATGTGCTCCACCCTCCTGGCAGCTGGAAGGCAGGCAGGGCAGCCAGGGGCCCGGCCTGATGGTGGCCGCCCCAACCTGGACCCTCCCAGGTCTCCGCTGAAGCCCCTCTGTGAGGCCACAGGGCGGGGCTTGGTTTAGAGGCAAAACCGGAAACGTTCGGAGGCACAGCCTCGGGCGTCCACTCTGCGCACTCTGGGTGCGGCAGCTCCGGAAAAGCGCCTGGCCTCCACCGAGCCCCCTCGGGCAGCTGCTGGGACGGCCGTCCAGTGCTTTCCAGGTCTCGGGTGTGCAGTGCCCACCTGCCCCTGCCCTGTAGCAGGAGGCAGCGCACAGCGTTCTGGGGCCTCAGAGTCCGAGCACCCAACTTGTGGCTCGGGGGCCGTCCCCACAGAGGAGCCCCAGGGGCAGTAACTGTTCTGAGGCCAGAGCAGGTGGCAGGTGGCCTGTCGCCAGGGGGTCCAGCACCGCTCGGCCCAGCCCTCGCCCTACTGCTCCTGGGCACCTGGGCCGGGAGCTTTTGTGTGTGTCCTGGGGCCTGGACTACGGGCCTCAGGGGCCCTGCCCTCACCGGGACGCTCTTCGGGGCCTCGCTCGGGGCCCACCTTTGGCCTCCGTGCTTCCTGGCTCCTGCTGGTAAGACATCGACAAGGGGCAGCATCAGACCCCAGAGCCCGAGGGCCCCTCACTCACCAGCGGGTCCCTGGAGGTTGCCGCTGACCAGGGTCCCTAGATCCAGCTGGCCTCTCTCACCCCCGGGAGACCTCAGGTGTCCCAGCTGCACCCGCCCCATTCTCCACACAGCTGGGCCAGGGCGAGGACAGGCAGAGAGGGGGAGGGGCACAAACGACATGCCTCTGGGGCCACAGGCAGGGTCAAGGCCCAGCCTGGGGGCCAGAGACCAGGCTCAGAGCCCAGCACGCCCCTCGAAACCCTTGACCTCTGCAAGGCAGGCACCAGGCTGCAGGTGGTGGCTGTCCTTGGGCGCTGGGCTCTCCCTGAGCCCAGAGGGACAACTATGCCAGCCACGCAGATGAGGAGGCTGAGGCTGGAGCACATAAGACACAGCTGGTCGTGCAGCCAGGACTCGAGCCAGTCTGCCTCCCAAGTGGTTTCTGTGGGACCCACGTCCCAGCGCCTCAAAGGTACGTGGCCCAAGGCGTGCGGGACAGCCCTGGCAGGAGGTGGGCTGGGGGCATTGGGGGTTTCTGGACTCGGTCGGCATCCACCCAGGCCCCCAGCATCCCACCAGCTCGTCTCCCGCCCCTTCAGGACGCTGCGCCCCTGCCTGGCCGAGGGCTCCTCGCCAGCTGCCCAGCCACCCGGACGCCACACTTACCTCTCCTGCTGGGGCCCAGGGCCTCCCAGGCTCCTGCGAATGTGGTCTCGGGAGCGGATGTCAGCCTGAGGAGAGGGGTGGCTCGAGTGAGGGGTGGTGGCTGGGGCCCCTAGCTGGCCTCTGGACAAGCCCTCCCCTGCCACCTGCTCCCCGCTGAGAAAGCCCCCAGAGGGCGCTACAGGTGAGGCGAAGCAGCCCCAGGAGTGAGCAGGCAGGGCTTGCGCCTGAGTCCAGAGGGCCTCCCAGCCCAGCGCATCTGTCCTCACTTTGTTCACCGCCTGCCTGTCTTCCTGCCTAGTGCCGGCCAGGACCCTGTCCCCAGGCAAGTACAGGGAAGTTCTGCCAGTCTCTGGAGGGACAAGTGGCACGTGGGCTCTGGCTGAGGTCAGGGCTGACCTGGTGGAGGGGCCCAGGCTCGAGTGGGACCTCCCACGCCATTGCTGCCAGGCTTGCCCACATGCCAACCACCGTGTCGGGGCCTGGCCTCAGTGCCGGGTCAGACTGCATGGCCACAGGACACACAGCCACCCCTGGGGCCCCGGCTTCAGACAGCAGGCAGGGCAGACAGCAGGGCGGCCCGGCGGGAAGGCCCCGGGGAGAGCAGGGGCGGCCGCCACCCTCCCCTCGGCCTGGCACAGGAAGCAGTGCGGAGGGCGAGTTGACAGGCAGGTGGGCCCAGGAAGAAAACAGGCCGAGATGCACACAGAGCAGCCAGAGGGGCCACCCCCGCTGGCAGCAGTGACAGGGAGGGGGCTCCCAGGACAGGGGCCCAAGGCAGGAGTGCAGGGCCAGGACTCAGTGGGCTCTCCCCAGGGCCGGCCCCACAGCCCCACCTGCCTCCGAGGTGCCTATGGAACCTTAGAGGCCGGGACCCCTGTCCTCTCTCGGGCGACGAGGCGCAGACAGACAGCTGCCGCCTGCAGCAGCACAGGAGGGCCCCGGGCTCTCAGGGTTGGGGGGGAAGGAGTTTCTGGGTTTTCTCCCCATGGCCGCACGGGGGATGGAGGGAAGGCCCCTGCAGGCCAGACACGCGTTGCAGGCTCAGGAACCCCACACTCTGGACATGGGAGGGGAGAGTGTGGGCACCCAGGGAGGGTCCTGAGAGGCCAGCCTGGAGGCCTGGGCCTCAGCAGGCGCTGTGCAGGCTGCGGCGGCCACCTAGGGGTGACCCTGCACGGTGAAGCCAGGAAGGCCCCAGGAAGGTCGTGGCCATAGGCAGCTGGGTGACAGGGCTTGGGGGGGGGGGCAGACAGGCAGAACCCGGCCCTGGAAGGGGCCACCCACCTGGCGCACCGGCTCCGGGATGCGGAACCTGCAGCAGCTGTGGGTTAGGCGCACGGCCGCCTCCAGGCTCACCCTGTGGCCCACGGAGACGTACAGGGGCTTGGTGCTGTGCTCGTGGCTCCTCAGGGCCTGGGGTGAGGGAGGCGAGGTCAGGGCCTGGGGGCAGGCTCTGTGGGCCGGAGGGCTGAACGCTGGTCCTGGCAAGCAGGAAGAAGCTTGCGAGGGTGGGGGGGTGCGGGTACCCTGGGGGCACCTTCCTGCTGCTTGTCCCGGAGACAGAGTGGGACAACAGGAGCAGAGGCCCCTCAGTGAAGCCAGGGGTGGGGCAGAAAGGAGGGCCCAGGGCACCCCCCGACAGTCAGAGTGGGGGGAGCACGGCTGGGGTCTGGGGCCGTGGGCACATACGGCATGCAGCGGATGCTGACCTGGGCCCTGCTGGCCCTGGGCTGAAGGCCCTGCCTTGGTGGGACACAGGCCCCTGGCCACTCACCACACCCAAGACGGCCCCAGAGCCTCCCATCAGAGGAAACGAGTCTCCCCCAGCCCGCAGGCGGCGAATCTGGAAGACAGGCAACATTCGAACACCATCCTCCCTCGGTGGAGCCGACTCACGTTTAAAGCCCGAGCAGTGCTAGGCATGAAGAGGGGGTCCAGGCCCCGCGTATGTGCCGCAGCCCAGGCAGGCGAGCCCCTCGCCTGCCCTGTGAGTGCAGCCTGGGGCCAGGCGCTGCCCACAAGGCGAGGCCCTAGGTGGCGGGTTCTCTGCTCCCCTTGTGTGGCACAGGTGGGCCTCGGCCTGGCAGGCAGAGGGGTGGGGGCCCTGTTCCTCCGGGTGAGTGAGCCAGAGCCCACCCCCAGGCCACACACTTCCTGCTCTGCTCTCTCTGGCCTGGGCACTATTGATTCCGCACCTCTTCGGGGTGGAATGGGGGCTGGCCCGCTGTGGCGGGTCTGGGTTCCCCCGCGCACTGCTCACATGCGGGGCTTCCCGGGGCACTGAGATGGGCGTGCCCGCCGCTCTGCAGCCTGCTGCTGGGGGCCCGGGAGTGGCACCAGCTTTGTCTGCAGGGTGTGGCCTGCTCCCATGCCAGTGCAGGGGCCAGCACAGGGGGGTGCCCAGAGGAGGGGGGGCACTGAGAGCAGGGCCTGGGGGCTAGGGGTGGGCTCCCAGCCCCCAGAGCACACGGCAGGTGGGGGGTGGTGATGCAGAAGACAGTGGGTCTCCTGCACTGTAGGCCCAGGATCCAGGATGGGGACATCGACGGGACATCGACAGTCAGGTGCTGCTGCGGAGAGGGTGGCTGCTGGTGTCCCTGCCCCTCACCTTGTCCTTGTGCTGGGCGTTGTTCTCCAGCCCGTCCACCTGCAGCAGCTTCTTGGCCACCCCGATGCAGGGCAGGCCTGTGAGGACACCGAGGTGGCAGGCAACCCCGAAGCCTGCGGCAGGGCGGGCAGTGAGCCCAGTGGTCCGGGTACAAGACCCGAGACTGTCACAGGGAGAGGGGCTGAGGAGCCAGGACTCCAAGCCCCACCCGACCGTGGACGTGGCTCCCGCCCTGACGTCACGGGTGCCTGGCTGGGCAGAGGAGGCCTCCCTGCTGCCCACAGCTCAGGAGCCGCCCACTCAGTGTGCTCACAACACTTCACCCGTTCCTGTGTTCACTTCTGGAAACTTCCACCTTCCTCTCTCCTTTGCGGCTGCTGTCAGACCTCTGCGTCTCTGTCCTGCAACCCCCTAACATTTTGGGGCTCCTGCCAGGAGGCCAGGATGGTGGCGCCAGGGGCCTGGCTCAGGGCTGGCCCGCTGGTCCCGCTCTGGGCCTGCAGGCTCCCAGTGCAGTGTGGCTGAAAAGCCCAAGGCCGCCTGCCCCTCCGGCCCCCTCCGCTCCCCACCCCCGGGCTGCTGTCTGAGGGTAAAACAGCCCCGCCCTCTTGGTGCTCCTCTGGGCCAAGGTTCCAGGGCCCAGGGTGCAGGTCTCCCAGCCGGATTGGGGCACGTGTGCCTTGTGAGGTACCCCCTTCCCACAGCACGCCCCCCACACGGCCTCTGGGGAGCAGGGTCACCTCGAGGATGGAGCACCCCATTTCCATCCACAAAGAGGACCTGGAAGAGCCACAGAGAAAGTCGTGGTCAACGCGGCTGCCCATCAGGCTGGGACCTCCAAGAGCAGGAAAGGTGGGGCCACCACTGAGTCCAGCTTTTGAGACAGTCTGATGCCTGTCCTTGGAGCAAAGTACACCTTCTCCAGGAAGCCCCCAGGCCCTTCCCAGCCGTGGGCTGGGCCTGCACAGACCTCCCTGCCCCGCAGAAGCCCCTCTGGGTACCTGCCTGGGGCACGAGGCTGGGCTCTTTCTCCCGCAGCCGCTGTACAGCATCCACCAGGAAGGGCACCTCTCGGAAGGCCAGGAAGCCTGACAGGTAGGGGGCCGTCAGGCTGACCATGCGGCAGTCCTCATACACCACCTGTCACCGGGCAGCCAGGTCAGGTCACTGGCAGGACACGGCTCTGGCCGCCTGTCTCCCCTCACGCCCTCAGCCCTCCACCCGCCAAGCCTTTCCGCTGCCGGCTCCCTCTCCGTCCGCCAGGCCAACCCCATGTGCCGCTCCCCACCTCGCCTATCTGGGAGGAAAGCCGGAGGAAGGACCAGGCAACCGCCCTGCAGAGGGGCCTGGGGAGTGGACCTGCTGGCTGGCTGGGCGGTCTCCCGGGGCAGAGCCAAGACCGCAGGGATGTGGCTCCTGGGGACTGGGCGCAGGCCTCGCAGGAACCGCGATGGGAGTGAGGGCGGCCCGGAGAGAAGGGGCCTCAGGAGGAAAGGCCAGGTCCTGAGAGGCTATGACAGCAAGACAGGCAACCCTGGCTTTGTGCAGACAGGTTTCAAATAATTTAGAAGATGAGGTGACCTCACAGCTAGAAAGAACAGGGGTCCCCAGAGGCAGAGGTTCCTTTTGCTACAAGGAAATTTCTGAGGCTGCAACTGCGGAGAAGCCCAGAGGGAGGGGAGACGCGATTCAGCTGGGAGCCCCAGGAGGTCAGGTGGGAGGAGGGCACACTGTCTGAGGGCTGCAGGGAGCCTGGGGGCGGGGCCCAGGCGGGCAGGGCCCCGGACTGCGTGGGCACTGGCAACTCCCTTCCCAGGGCCGCTCTGGCGGGGAGGGCACTGCTGAGTGAGACGTCCTGAGGCAGGGCCCTGCCCGATGGGAGTGGTAAGGGCCTACAGACAAGGTGGGGCACTGCCTGGGCCCCTCGACCTGGGGCTCCCAACTAGGCAGGCTGGCTGGGAGTATGTGCACTCTCCCCAGGCCTCAAACCTTATAGTCATTAGCCGTGACTCCCCGTCCAACCTGCGCCTGGGCTCTCAGCCACCTATTTGTTTCCAAGGACCTGCCTGTGGAGCCCGCATTTCCAAACACACTGCCAGGGAGCGACCCTTGGCTGGGTGTGGGGCAGACTCGGGACAGCCCCGGGACCAGACTTGCTCAAGACCCCAGGACAGGAAGACAAGAGCTGACTACAGCCAAGTAGGAAACACCTTGCTCGGTGCTAGGGTTACAAGGGACATGGTACTGCCCTGCCCTCAGGGACCTACAGTCAATGGGAGGGGTAGCATGGGACCGAGTAACTATGATCCGCTGTGTGAAGAGCTGTAACAGCACCTGAAGGTGGAGGGAAGACCCGAGGGTGGCTAATTCTGCAACTGGGGACAGATGTGGAGCCGCAGGACACGTGGGCTGGGTCTGGAGAACCAGGAGCTGGTCCTGAGAGCCCCTGGTGGTGACCGAGTTGTCACTGCGGGCTCACCATAGCTGGTGACACTCACTGTTGTTTTTGCACAGCCTCATTCACTCCTCGCAGCTCGGGGCTGGGTTTCCATACTTCTCACTCAGAGTTGGGCAAGAGGAAATGGCGGCCTGAGAGGTGCAGTGGGAGGGGCAGAGCCGAGGTGGGCAGCTGGGCATCAGGCCCTTCCCCCCAACACCATCCCACAAATTGACCGGGGCCCTCTGAGGGCAGAGATCTGGTCCCTCTGCAAGGCTTAGGACAGAGCAGGTGCTCGGGATATTTTTGCTGAACTTTTATTAAGGGGCCTCCCAAGTAGAGGGAAAAAGCATTGAGGTGAGGAGATGGCATCTTTGGGAGCAGGAGGAGGGGCAGGGCAGCTCCCTTGCCAAGTTCATCTCTAGTCAAGGCCTCCGGAGCTGCTGACTGCAAAGCCCCGGGAACCCCGCTCACGCCTTCATTCCCGTGTCCACTGTGTCTTCTCTCCACCAGGCAGCAAGCGTGGAGCCCCGCAGAACCACACAGTTCCTTCCGCCCATGTGATCAAGAGAAAAGAGAGGATGCTGGGAGCAACTCATGGTCTTGCGAGGTGAGGGGGGCCTTACCAAAGACCCGAGAGATAGCTGGGGGAAGTATGTTCCAGGACAGGAAATGTCCCTCCAGAGGTCAGGCAGGGAGGGGGGGCCCAAGTCCTCCGTGTGCAGAGTAGGTGACAGCCAAGTCTACCGCCTCACTTTAAGCAGCGGTCAGACCAAGAAGGATCCTTACGCCTGGTCAGTGAGTGTGAACTTTACAGTGGACTCACAGGAAGTGTCTCACGTGAGCTGCATGGTGATAAGATCACGCACACTTGCATTGTGGGAAAACAACTCTGCTAGCAGCAGGGAGATGGAGAAGACTCCCAAGGGCCATTCTCCAGGCTGGACCCCAGGGAAGGTTCTGCCTGTCACCCACAGGAAGAGTAACCATGCAAAGGGGCAGCCAGGACGCAGACTCCAGCAATATTTAGGAGGCAGAAAAAATGGAGGTGGAGTGTAACTGGAGGTGAAGGGTCTGGGGAAGACAAGGGTTTCCAGCTTGGACACCTTGGGACTGTTCACTGTGGGTCACTGAGATGTCTCATTTTTTTGCAGACTCCCCAGCCTAGTAATGAAATCCTACAAAAGCCCTCGATTCCTGTCCCGGAGCCCCACCTGCCTGACTAAAGCACATGGATCCGAGCGGGGCTGCCCCGGGCAGGCGTCCCCCAGTCCCCGGCCCCGGGTTACCTCGAGCTCAGGGTAGCTGAGCACCACCAGGGAGGCGCAGGCTCGGATACTGTCGCCCTTCACAAAGGACACATCCACGCCCCCGACCCTGTGCAGCCCGGGGAAGGCGGGATCCCGCTGCCACGCCTCCGTGTCCCAGTCCACGACGCGGGCTTTCAGCAGGGCTTGCTCCCTGGGGGCAGACACATGTCCAGCGGGTCACCCGGCCGGCCGCCCGCATGCACGTCCAGGCCTGGGGGTCCGGGGCCCATTCGCGTCGCCTCTATGCTCCCAGAGGTCCGGGCTCTGTCCGGGGACCCCAGACGCGCGTGGGAAACCAGCGCGCCACGCCTGCCCACTACAACTCCCGAAGGCCCTTTCGCCTGCGCGCCGGAAGCGGGCCCGGACCCCACCGCCCCCAAACCGGGAGTTCCCACATAGGAGGGGCCGCGGGGAGCCGCGCCACTCCAGTCCCGGGGTCTTGGCTGTTTTCCGGCCCATTACCGTTTCCAGAATGACAAGGTTTCCTCCCGCGGTCGCGCAACCGCCTCCTGGGCCATCGCACAGCGCCGGCAGCCCTTCCGGTTGCGTCACTTCCGGAGCAACTGCGCGCACGCGCCGAGCCGCTCCGGGTGCCTTGGCGGCGATCTGTGGCGGGGCTCCCGGGACGCCGCCGCCTAGTGGCCTGCGGTCCCACTGAGTACCCAGTCTCGCCTCCTGCACGCCCTCGAGTGGACACGAGCGGAACTGCGCGGCGCGGGCGCCCTGGACGGGCGGTCCGTCGCACGGACTGAGGCCCTAAGGAGAAACGCGCGCGGGGCGGAGTTTTCCCGCGGACGCGGAACCGTCACAGACCCGGAGAAGTGACCGGAGCAGGAAACTCGACAGAAACGGGACCTGAAGGGGATGGCGAGACAGACAGACGGCCGGAGAGGGCGCGGAGCCTGCCCAGACCGCCTCCGGCGACCCGGCCGCCTCGCTCCCGCGCGCGGAGGGGCCGCTGCCTTTCCGCGCCCGCCGTTCCCCTTCTCCGACGGCTCGGTGCTCCGCGTGCCCGTGTGCCGCGACCTGGGGTGACGCGCGCCAACCCCGCCGCAGGGCACCGGCCGCTCGCTCGGCACCTGGACTGCAGATCCAAGGAGGGCGGCGCTCTCAGCCGAGCCTGACGCCCCCCCGCTCCCCGGACGCGTGCGGCGCCCCAACAGCCTTGCCCGCAAGACGGCGCCTCTCCTGGGCTCGGCGGCCCGAGGGCGCGGGCGCCTGGCGGGAGAGCGGACCGGAAGGGTGAGCCGGCGGAGCGTGTTGGCCGAGGGAAGAGCGGGGCGGAAGGGCGGCCAGGTCACCCGGGGGGTTCGCCGAGGAGCGCGGCCGGGCGCCTCTCCGCCGCCCCGGCGCGGAGTCGGGAGAGGGTGAGGGACTGGCGCCGGGTGCCGGACGGGGCCCGTCTGGGCCGCACGGGGCGTCCGCTTCAGGGCTCGGGGCGCTGGGGTTGCGTCGTGTCCAGGGTGCAGGCAGTGGTGACGGGGAGCCGCGCTCTGGGGTGCGCACACCCGTGCGAAGGGGAGCGCGGGGCGGAGGCCGACACCCCGGCCCGTGCCGCGTCCCCTCGGCTCCCGCCTCTGCAGCCGGTCAGGGCGGAGTCTGGGGCTAGGTTTTGTCGGCGTTCGCGCTCCCCGGGTGCCGCTCTTCCAGGTAGAACTGGGCTCGCGTGCAGAAGACAGGGCTGCCCTTCAACCCAAGGCCTCGGGGCGTCCCGCCAGCTCCCGGGTCGCGCGGGGGCGGGGGCGGTGCGCGTTACCCACCTGGCCGGCTCCTCACAACCGCGGTAGCGGTTCTCGCTGCGCCTTGGCTCGTGGGTCTGAGTTGCCCGAGCGGAGGAATAACTGGAACAGCTCCCGGGGTGGGGGGCTGGGGAGGATAGATCAGCGCATGGCCGCCAGTTAGCGTGTGATAAAGTCCTGTGGCGCAGAAAGTCAGGTAAGGTCTTTAAAAATTGTTTTAAGTTTGCTATTTTTTTCTTTTTAGAGAAAACACTGATTCGTTGTCACTGGTTGACTTCTATATGTTCCCTGATGGGGACCGAAGCTACAACTTTGGTGTGTTGGGACGGTGCTCCAACCCAGCTGCCTGGCCAGGGCAGTGAGGTAAGGTCTTAAAGAGACAGTGATCGACCAGTCGTGAAGATGTGCAGGTAAGTCCCCACCAGCCCGTGACTGCCTGGTTGAAAGCAGAAAGGACTGTGCAGCCGGGAGATGCCAGACCAACTCGGGACAGGGACAGGAGCAGTGAGCAGGAGAGGAAGGGTTGGGGCAGGGCTGGCAGCACAGCCCGACTTCCTGGGTGAGTGGCCCTCTTCTCGGGGCTGGAGCTCACCCAGACAGCAGGCTGCTCCCCTGGAGGAAGAGAAAAATGCAGCCCCTCCCGGAAGTGCTGTCCTACCACTGACCCGGAAGAGGGCAACCAGAAGCTTACATTACCTGTCACATTCCTCATTTCCTTCTCCGGGGGAACTCTCCCCACTGGCCGGGCTGCTGCTCTCCACCCAGGCAGGTGCAGGACACCTCTTTGAGGTGGAGGCTACTGTGTTAGGGGAGCAGCGTTAAATTCTGTGGCTCCTAAGCTCTGTGGTCCCTTTGTCCAAACAAAACGTTTACCCTCACGTTCTGAACCAGAGTGTACATTTTGCGTCCGGAACCTCCCACTTGACTGACGCCTCTATGCCAACATTTCCACTGGTGAGCTAAGCTGTTCCCCAAAGCCAGCTGAGGGCTGACTGCCATGAACAGATGCCGTGTCCCCCACAGAGAAGGGTCCTTTAGCAGCAAAACTCAAGTTTATTAAACAGGTATAACAAATACAGTAAAGATTTGTCTTTGTTTCTGCTAGGCCAGTGTATTTTTGTACAAACAATGCTAGATAATGAGAGTTAAGGCGTTGAAGGCATAGCCATACAAAACAAAACATCATAATTTAAAAACCTTCATAAAGTGGGGAGAAAATTCCCATTCCCCCTTCACCCCCCAAAAGGGTCTTCTGCTCAGCTGTGGCATAGTGAGGAACCAGAGTGGCCCCTGATGGCCGGACCAGCTCCATCCCAACTCTGAGGTATCAAAGGAGTTCCAAGTATAAGTTGAAGAGTTGAACAAACAACCCCCTGCCCCTGATTAAATGGCAATTCAGGATGTAGATGTCGAGGGTCAGGGCCTTTGCATAGTCTGGAAAGACTGAACAGTCAGATTAGGTAAGGCAGGTGGATTCTGTACTAGGTGAAGGAGTGCAGGGCCTGCATCACCGGCCTCCCCTCACCATGCACAACTAAGAGGAAGTGCAGTGGTGATGCAGGGCAGGGCCATTTGCACTCCTGCCCAGTGCTGAGGGTGTGCATGGGCTCCTGGTGCGCATTTGCTGTTTGTGTAGCTTTCATCACCCATGGACCTGATTTCAGGATGAGTCATTAACTTGCTGAGAATGCACATGAAGGACCTCTGCCTGGCTGTGAAGTTGTTTCTCGCTGGCCATGGGTGCTGAGCCCGAGGAGCTGGGTGAGTCAGGAGTAGGCATGAGTCCAGAGACTCGCTGCATCCACGTGGTTGTGGAGAAGAGACCTGACACTGCTGTGGCAAGGCAGCAGGCGGTGAGGGCTGGCCAGGCAGTCCCTCGTTCCTTTCTCAGAGACTTGAGTAGTTTTGTGTCCTGAGTCCATTTTCACTTCCTGGCTGAGACCCAGAGCAGCACCAGATACTCACACTCGGGGACACTGGGGTCACATGGGGGTCATGTGTACTCATCACGGTGCTGGTCAGACACTTCCCACAGAATGCCAGGGCTGTGCCTTTCACCCAAGTCTGTACCGACAAACTTCCGTTTAGAATTTCAAAATACTAAGATTGAGAGGAAATGTGGCCATCAGTCCAGTTCCTTCATTTGATAACGAGAAACTAAGGCTAAAAGTGTCCAGGATTCTTAGCCCAGTGCTCCGACCCTTGAAATGTGGCAGTGGCTCATCATGGGGCCTGGTGAGGTCTGGTTGGTTGGGCTTCGGGACCTGTCACCTACAGAGTGCCTCGGCTCGTGAGAGGACACAGCCTGGCACTTGTTTATGTTCCTGGAGACCTACAAATGTCTGTGCAATACTCAGAATTTAAAGGACAGAAGAAAGAAGAAAACCGGGTTCTCAGAGTGCAGAACATACTAGAAAATAAAGCAAAAAGTGATAACCCGTGTTCCCTCTGACTGTGCAGTAGTCTTGAGAAGGAAGGGGCCTTGTGTCTGGGATGTTTCCACAAAGAGGCCTGGCTTCCTGAGACGGATGTGCTTGCACACTCCCCTGGGATATGAGGAGCACGGTTCACCCAGGGGCCACCTCTCAGGGACAGGAATTCACCCACGGTGAGACAGTGTGGGCACGCACACGCAGTCAGCGATGCTGGGCGGCAGCTGCCCCGTGCTGGGTGCAGAGCGGGGCACCCGCTCTCCCCCAGCCTCAGGCCGAGACAGTCCTGAGGAGGCAGTTCTATCTCATCTGTCGACCCCGTTTCAGCTCCACTGCCACTTTCCATGCTGACACACAGTTGGAGAGCAGTATATCTTCTGGGAACTGAGCTTCCATTTCAGGCAGAACATCACCATCTTTAGTCTCCATGTAACTCACTAGAGTGTCCCTCAGGCTGAAAAACCAAGGAACAGATGGCATTTTGAATATCTGCAAGATAACTTATGGACACCCATCTGCTGTCACCTTTCCAAGCCATCCACAGGACCAGACGCTCCTGAGACCAGGGGTATTGAGGGTGAGCTCCAGGCCCTCCACAAAAGAATGTGACTTTGGCCCTGGCTGGTGTGGCTCAGTGGATTGAGTGTCGGCCTATGAACCAAAGGGTTGACGGTTAGATTCCCAGTCAGGGTACTTGCTTGGGTTGCAGGCCAGGTTCCCCAGTAGGGGGCAGTTGAGAGGTAACTGCACATTGATATTTCTCTCCCTCCCTTCCCTTCTCTAAAAATAAATAAAATCTTTAAAAATGTGACTTTTGTAATTATTTAAAAAGTTTCAATAGAGATTAAAGCTCCCAGAGCCAGTCCTCAGGTGCCCAGTCAGCGGTGACAGTGGAAGCTGAGCTCCAAGTGGGAAGACAAGCTGTGCTCAGCCTGGAGGATCACAGGAGAGCGGGCTCAGCAGGCTCACAGGCCTTACCTCCAGTTGGGGTTGAAATCCTGCTTGGTTTGGGGGTTCTTCAGCTTCAAGACCATCAATTCATGGAGCTCCAGGAGAAAGGTGTCCAGGCCGCCCTGGTTCAGGAATGTGCGCAGGAGCTTAGCACCTTCTTGGCTGAGCTCAACTCTGTAGTCAGCACTGATCTCCCCAAATGGTTCCTGCAGTGAAGGAAGAGCAGGTGAAGGGGGGCCCAGGAAGTGAGTGTGGCTCGCAGCCAGGTGGAGAGCAGGAGGTGGGACTTACTCTTCTGAGGCGCAGCTGCTGCTCAGACTTATGAGCAGAGAGGAGCTGCCAGAGGGCGAGGACGTGCCTCAGCTGACACCTGTGTAGGGCCTGCGGGAGGAAGTGGACTCCTTAGGAGACGGGCAGCTGAGTGCACTGCACATGGGGTGCTGCGTTCCCTCAGCACAAAGGCCACCCTGCTCCAGCACTGTCACCGCCTCTCCTGCCGGCAGCATCTCAGGGCCCAAGCATCAATCAGTGTGCAGGTGGCTGGTGTACTTAGTCACACCTGTGCCACCCTACATCTAGTCTTCTGAGCCCACCTCTGCCTTTACCTCCAGGGCCTGTTCTGTCTCCAGGCAGACTGGCCAGGGCAGGGGCTGTCTGGACCGACGCTTTTTGGGGTGGCGTGGCACCTCGTTGGAAGCGAGGGCACGAGAGCGAGAGGCCCACCTTTAGAACCTGCTCCGTCTGATCGCTTATTCGCAGCTTATCCTGGATGTACACGATCAAGTCCATGTTCGGGTCCTCACCAGCTGTGCTCAGAAACCCCAAAGTGACTTCTATGACAGAGAGAGCTTCACAGGCGTCACTGTGGGACTGCAGCTGCCCGCTGATGGTGCTGAGGGCCGCGTTGGGGAGGGGGACCTAAGAAGTCAGGAGCAGGACGGGTCTGTGGGTGGCTGTGCCTCGCAACCACCATCACCTCGAGGCCACAAGCCAGGACCAGAGCTCTGATACACTGTGCTTCCTCAGTGCCGGCGGTATTCCAGTTGTTTTATAGACATAGATGGCAACTCACTGAATCCTAAGAGCAGCTGGTGAGGATGTGCCATGGAGAGCACATGCACACGTGTGCATACAGACACATTCAACACATGTAACACTGATGCCATATACACACAAATCAGGAAAGGAGCACCCAGGTCCTCTGGCCTGTGACGGCACACATGGCTGTGACACCAGTACCAGAAGCCAATGCCGTGACATTGCACTCTGTCACTCAGCGAGAAGACTTGGAGCTCGCTGTCCTGCTCGCCCTCTAGAAGGAGCAGTGGGCTCTGGGAACAGAAAGTCTTGGGCGCTTGAAGCAAACCCCCGGCATGTGAGCAGCCCATGCTAGCAGAGCCCTCCACTGAGCTGGTGTGCCTGCAAGGGCAGGCCTGCACGTGCTCACCTGGGGCACCTTGTTCCTGATGCTGGTGAAGAGGTGCTCGAAGTTCCAGTCGCGTCTGCACACCAGTGTGGGGAGCCCCCGGAGGGTCAGCCTGGGTTTGCCCTGGAGGAAGCGGCTGGTGAGCTGGCGCTGGATCTTCTCCAGGTCAAACTCCTGCAGGCTCTCGCCACCCTGCTCCACTTGGTATTGGCAGTTGGAGAGGATGAGTGGAGTCAGGTCACGCTCCACCTCGTAACTGATGACGTGCAGGTCAGTGACCTCAGAGGCATCCACAGAGTAGCTGAGGATGTAAAGACAGCACTCAGGGTCCAGTCAAGGGCATGGCCATCACTGCTCGACAGGAGCCAGGTCCCACTTGCCCGTGACCTTGGAGCACCAACAAACCTCTGGATGGCCATAAATTTAGACCTACCAGTTGACACTGTCATTTATTGATCCCAAATTTTTGATCAATGGAACAAGTTACCCTGGGGATGACAGGAGTCTGAGCAGAGGAAACGACACACAGCTCTGCAGACTCCCATGAGCAGGGCTGGAGGGACGCTGGCCGGGGCTGCTGGGCCCAGTCCCATGGCCTCAGAAGTGGTCCCCTGGTCTGGAGGACGCCACCCCTGCAGGCTGTGCACTCACTTGTTTTCTTCCTCGGAGAACTTGGCCACCGTGTAGACCATTTCATTGTGCAGGCTAATCAGGTAGCTGACTAAGGCGGTGGAGCAGAGGCCCAGGCCCTGGCGGCGTGGCAAGACGACCTCGAGCTTGGAGTCCAGGTCCAGGTCGGCGCTGCAGTAGTCCTGAGGTAGCTTGATTTCACCTTAAATGACGGGTCCACTCTCAGGCAGAGGCGGCCACTCTGTGCTGTTTCTTACCCAGCAGCACGGCCGGGGCGCCCATGGTGGGAGGAGCAGTGCAGGTGTCTCAACAAAGCAGAGCTGGGCCCAGGGATACTCTAAGGTCCTGCCTCCAGCCCGCACATGCGCCACCCAGCTCCAAAGGGTCCCCACTTGTTTTGTTTCCAACAGATAGGGTGTATTTTTCAGGCCGTGTCATTTCACTGTCCCAAACCCTTCACACAAAGACAGATTCAGAGTTCATGTAGCACCTGCTAGGTGACAATGGGGACCAAGGACAGGTCTGTGAGGTCGGGTGACCCTGCAGTGTTCTGTGTTAGAGGGTAACATACCACTTACCATGGGTCTCCAGGGACCTCCTCAGCTTGTTCCACGTGGACAGAAATGATGAGAATCTGCTGCGGAGCAGCTGCTTCAGCCCGTCTGTCAGATACAGGTCAAGGTCAGATCAGCTTAGCCACGTGCCCACCAGCCACAGCTAGCGCGGCCCTGGCTTGTGCCCACCAATGCCACCCAGATGCCATGACAGTGCCACTCCTGCTGAGTTTGAGGGACCAGAGCAAGGCCACAGCAAAGTCTGTGCTGGGGTCTTGGGGCACCTGTGACTTCATGCTCAAAGCGCACCCCCCCCCCAGCAGGAGTGCTCCCTGAGCCACCAAACACAGGTTGTCCTGATATCCAGTGACCACAGAGTCCCACCTGAACTGTGACTTTCAATAAAGTCACAGATGGACGGGTACTGGGCTTCTGAAGCATTCTGGAACCATTTCACGAGATCCCTCTGCAGGGCCAAGATCTCAGGCAAGAACTTCACCAGTCTCAGCTCTCCGTCCTGGGGAGGGAGGACCGTCCAGTGAACCGTGGAGTATGCTGAAAACATGTCACTGGGGACAGAGCGGGGCTGGCACTGGCTGTGGATGTGTACTTTCACCTGGTCTGTGTGGCATTTTATCTGTGACCCTTGGAAATGGGGAAAAGGCTGTCCAAGGCTTTCACCCAGTATCTCCCAATGGCTTGCCCTGGCTTAGCATGCTCCGTCCGTACCCTGGACGGTGGAGTGCACACCCCACACATCTGCCTGAAGTGACAAAGGCAATCTGCCTCTGGGTCCAGGGGCCGGCCGGGCACGGAGAGGTGGCCCAAAGCAGAAGATCCAGTGTCCAGGCCATGGTGCTTGCGTCCCCCTGAGTGTCATTCTGAGGCCCTAGCCCCGAGCGTCTTCCCCAGGGACAGAGCGCAGGCCTAGCATGGCGCCTCCAGCTGTGACTGCATGTCATGACTGGGCAGTGGGAAGCCCCGAAACCATCTCCCTGCTGAACTGCAAACGCTAGTCCACAGAGGGACACGACTGGGAAGTCTACAGCAGAAAGGCCAAGTTCAAGGGGACTGAAGCCAGGAAGTGTGTGTTTCTGGCTCTGACTGAGATGACCCTCTGGCCCTTTCCTCCTGCTTGTTCAGGAATGTGGGGACTGGGTTTGATTTCCACTAGGTGTTCGGAATTGAAGGTTTTCACTGAACAGACATGCTCAGATGACTCACTGCTCCAGGCACTGGGGCATGAAAGGGACAGATGTGCCCGGGACGGACTTTCACCCTGCTCTTGCCGAGTGATGGGTAGAAACCTCAGGCCTTCCCAACTCAGACCATACACACCTGTGACTCAGGCTCCACACGTTTGCTCTCTGTGAGGGTCTCTGCCCTGTCCCTGCCCTCTGTGCAGTGTGTTGGATCTCCTGCCCTTGGCACGTCAGTCCCACCCTTAATGTGTCAGAAGTCCAGCTCTTAGGAAAGACCAGACCAACTCAGAGCTGGGGCCTCTGGTCAACAGAAAGTCAGTCCAGTGGTCTCAGCAAGGCGCCTGACCTTCTGCAGGAACTTCCAGAGGACGGGCACGGTTTCTTTGCCATTCTTTTGCTCCACGAGATTCTGGAGATACTCCACGGTGACCCTCGTCCTGCAGCTCCACATCTTGGAGCTGTGGACCACGCTGTTCTGAGGCAGGTGGGGCAGGAAGGACACCGGGTCACCGAATACGAGTTTGGCCACTGGGTTGGAGCTGATGCGCTCGTCACAGCGGAGGAGAGTGTTCACTGTCCGGAGAGCTTTATCCAGGTGCTGGGTGAGAAGATGACACAGGGCACTGGGCATGAGGCACAGACAGGGCCACCTGCTGACCTACCCAGGGGTGGGTCCAGGTGTCCGACCCCCGTGCACCTGGGTTCACCTTTATCATTGTTCACATGCCCCTGGTTTGTGGGGTTATGTGTCCCCAGACAGTGAGACTCGGACCTGCATTCTGTTCCCACCCTTTTCCTTCCTGACGGGCTTTGTTACTCGTGGGGGCGCCTGCACCTTACAGGGCCGCAGTGAACCGCAGTGAACGGCCAGCACGGTTCTTGGGGCTCAGCGTGTGGGAGCGTGTTTCCCTGCCTCCTGCTCTCACAGCTGTCACACTAAAGGAAGGACGCAAGGTCCAGCACGTGCCACGTCCACTGCCGTGTCCACTGTTGGATCCCTCTCTCCGTGACAAGGTCCTGAGAGGGGGTGTAAGACTTCAAGGAAGCAGTTTCCAACCTGGTGGACGTGGCATGGAAGGCCCTGCAATACCTACTGTGATTGTGCTTGCTTTGGGGATCATGACCCTTTTTGCTTTAATCATTATGCATACCCTTGCAGTGATTCAGACAGTGTGCCTAGACCTTTCCCGGCTCAATTAACAGAATAATGATATCATACTAGAACATCAGGGAATATAGGCACAAGGAAACAACCAGAACAATCTGAGAATTCAAGCTTAATCAATAACAGATCATTGGAAAAACACCCAAGATAAGTTAGAAAACTCTAGGAAATCAGGAGATGATCTCACTGCTTTCTTAGAGGGAATCAAAGTACAAAACATGTCTATAAAAGAACTCCTAGAGAAACTTAAAAGAAGTACCCTTGAAAGCCCCCCTGCAACATAGGAATAGCCCCTCCTTTACCTTGAATAAGAATATATATCAACTAGACAGGCAAAGAAATAACAAAAGCTAGCTAGTTATTACAAACTAAACAGTTACTAAAGAGTCAGAATTTATAGTACACAGAAAAACATTTTAGACAGAAAAAGATAGCTAAGTTAGACATCACAAGGGCCTTATAATAAATTTCCTATTTTCTCTACTCAATCTAGCGTATCCTTTTGCCCTATGACAAATTCTGAGAAACTTTAACATACAATAGGATACTTCTAATTGATTAATGGCTCTCCTAGTTAAAATAATCTTTGATCTTTATAAGTAAATCTACGGGAACTTTCGTACTTTTACTGATTACCTTTGTATTGATTTTTTCTGCTTAAATGATCATGTTATACTGCAAATATTAATCACTACCTAAAATGAAAATATAAAAACCTGCTTGTACTTGCAATAAACGGAACAGAGCTTCACTGTCCTTTGAGGCGTGTTGTCGTCTGTTACCCAGCGCCGACGCCTACCCTCACCTGTGGGACCCCTTGACCCGCTGCGGCCGGACCGCGGCAGGCACGCTGACTCCCAGGGACTCCATGGCCTGAGTGGCCAGAGGCCCCAGGACGACCACAGGAGGGCGGTGACCTGGGCCCAAGGCTTCCACACCCTTCCTGGGCAGGTGGGCTGAGCACCTAGGGGCTGTGAGGACACAGGTGGCCATCGTCCCTCCTCACTCACCTCAAGTTCAGGCACAATGAGAGTCTCCACACACTTCTCCCAGGAGTTTCTCTGTTCTTTGGTTGACAAGACCTCATCAAAAGGGAAAGACCCTACAAAGAAAACCATGTGGGCTCCCCAAGGAACAAACCCCACAGCAGTCTACGTGTGGTGAACACGAAGTAATTGTTCAACAGCGCCGATGTTCCCTCCAGGGGGTGGCTGGATCGGACGGAATCTTCTCTAAAGTTACCTAAGCATTTAGAACCCACCGCTGCCGCCACCCCCTCCCGCTCCTTGTGAGGACACTGCAGGCTCTGACTCTGGGAATTGCAAAGCCTCCATGCACACTTGGCCCCCCTGTGCCACGACTGACCTGACTGAGGCTGGTCTTCACCCGCCAGGGAGCAGGGGAGGTGGGGCGGGCGGCCCCTCCACCAGCAGGGACACGCTTCCTGTGTCCCTACCCTCCCCACAGGGTGCCGTACTGCTTGCCACCCCCGTCTCCCCGAGACCCACATCCCCCGCAGGTGTGCCCACGGCCCAGCCAGCCCTCGCTCCAGCGCTCACCCTGCCCGGGCGGGTGGCGCCGCTCTGAGAGGAGGCTGCGCAGGACCAGGTGGACCACACCCGCAGTGTCGTCGGCGCTCCTGCCCAGGCTCTTTGTCAGCTGCCGCACGTCCCTGTGGATGTGCTGCTCCAGAAACTCTCTTGGGTCCTCAACCAGAGGGCGGATAATGTCTTTCACAGCCTGTGGGGCCACAGGACAACACGTCAGACATGGCCTAGCCTGGAGGGGACAGGGCAGCGTTTGGTGGGATCTGGGGGGAGCTACAGCAGGGCCTCTGGTGTGGCCAGAGGCGACCAGGATGCCTCGGAGCCGGGCCTGCCTGCTGCAGGCGCAGGACTTAGGGGGAGCTGTGCTCATCCTTCCCCGAGCCTCAGCCCAGACGCCTGCTGTACCAACCTCTCCGCTCCCAGGAGGAGCCGGAGCTGGTCACTTATGGGGACTGGAGCTGGACTGGTGAGCCCGTGCACAAAACACCAGAGACCCAGTGGGGAGAAGGAGGGTGTGCAGACTCTGCACTTCTTGTGGATCAGGTGACACAAACATGTCCACAACCCACTGGCGGGATGAGGACTTTGGGGATGGAAGGACTCCGTGCAACTGTGGCAGCAGCTCGGGTCCGCAGGGCAGCAGGGGCCGTGTGCCACGGTACCTGCCGGCTGTGAGTTGCTCCCAGAAACAGAGCCAGGTGAGTGAGGAGCCGGGCGAGAAGAAAGACCACCGGGGGCAGCTCTCGGTCCGAAACCACCGCCTTGTCCTCGGAGGGCGGGCTTCCCAGCACATGGCCAGTCTGGGTTCGGTCTGTGACGTTTCTGGAAAGAGCAAGAGGAGACATGGTGACGGCTGAAGGTTGTGTCTCCTCAGCTCTCCAGGCACACACCTGACCCTTGGGGCTTGGAGACCAGGTTCACATTTTGGGAGAAGGTAATGTGTGAAGCACTTATTTCTGCCTAGCTCACACTACTTTCCTAAGAGTCTTTCTTTCTAGAACCACCTTCCTAGCTGACTGAAAGCCCACAACCTTCTCATTAAAAATTGGCTGAATGAGGTGGCATTTTGTGCCGTCCCCTGGGCTTTGTAGGAGGATGGACATGTAGACCCGCTCCTTCCACTGACATCACTGTGGGGACAGGAAGAGGCTAAGGACAGCCAGAGTCTGGAACAGTTGGCATGGACATGAGGACCTGTGCACCTTGGTCTTTATTTTCCCAAAGACTCAGATCTCAGGTCTGGCAAAGGGTTTCCAGGTGGCAGGTGCAATGTGACAGACATGACCTATTGCAAAAATACTGGCGATTCTGGGACATTTGGATGGTATGTGGAGATAACAGATTATTTTAATGTGTGGCTGCACCAGAAAGCCAGGAAGGGCGATGACCACAGAGAGGTGCCTGCCACCTGCCTTTGGGCAGCATTTGCCACCAGCCTTGCCTTCTGAGTGGGTGTGGTGAGGTCAGGAGGCCAGGGTGTAGTTGGATCTGAACGGTCAGAAAGACTGACCACATCTCCTTCACTTTCTGAAGAAGAGGCAACTCGGAGAGGCCGCATCCGCTCAGGGGGCAAATGCCCAGTGTTTGGTTTTGCAGACTTTGATGACCCTGTGCATTAAATTAGGTCACCTGCTGAGCAGGGGGCTTGCCCCAGGCAGGCCACGTGGAAGACATTGGCATCAGTTAAGTGTTCACATTAACAAGTGCTCATGTATCATCCACTGTGTTCAGGAGCCCAGGTGGCCAAGGACAGATCCAGCCCCTCCTGGGGTGTGGCTACAGGGACTGTGGCCTCAGTGCCCAGCGTGTCCCCAGTCCAGATGCTCTGCAGTGGACACCACGGTAAGCACCAGTGTGTGAGCTGGAACAGAGAAAGCCCACCCCCGGGGCTGGGCCAGCTCAGAGGAGACACCGTCTCACGTACCCAACAGTAGTGAACCCCGCCTCCGGTCTGTGATCCTTCCCGCCAATGGGCGCGCGGCAATCGATGCAGAAGCTCCGCTCCATTGGCCTGCCACACTAGGACACGGGCAGATGGCCGTCAGCCCCGCCGCACGCTGCTGGCGCGACACCGGGCAGACGCACCAGGAGAGCCCACTCCTCGTGCTCCCGCATTTGGGGGCGGTGGGGAGGGGAATAGCACACGTGTTCCATGCAAATTATACAGAACATGGGTAAATTTGGATTTATTTTTCAAACAGGAGAAACAACTTAAGTTCTCTCCCCAAACAGAATCGATGTGCGTGGCAGCCCTCCTTCATTGGTGCATCTGTCCCCAGCCCCCTGGTGGCCACAGCCCCGGTGTTGCTTCCTGACACCAGGAGTGCCACATCCCCTCAGCGCCATGATGATTCCCTACTTCAAAGCGCATGCTCCCCAATTCCAAAGTCTCCTTCTGCACCCCTGGGGTGGGGCGATTGTGACTCAGTTGGGAACAGGCCACACCCACCTCAGGTCCCCAGCCCGAAACCTCCAGACCTGGGCGAAGTCTGGGGACAGCCTGTGACAAGCACATCTCAGGGACGAGGAGACAGTGGACTCAGAATGAAGTGCACGTGTCAGCTTCTCCCTCCACGCCTCTCATTTACTTTATTAAATAACACTCATCAGCTCAAGAGCCTGCAGCTGAGCAGGTAGGTACAGATGATGCTAAGAAGGGCCCCAGCCAAGTGCGTCAGGATTCAGGGGGGAGGGACACACAGGTCCCTCCCCACAAAGTGCTGAGACTGAGGGCCTGGCGGGCACCCTTTGTGTGTCCAATTGCAACACCTTGACCAGCTCTCAAAGAGTCTGTTCTCCTTGAAGGTCAAGACCCTCATTATCCTCCTCCTCTTCCTCCATGAGCCCCCAGACCGTGCCCCAAATACCCAGACTCACCTCTCCTACGGCGCAGTGGTGACCTTTGGGACACGCTGTTGGAAGACAACAGGGCACGCGCTGGTGACACCCTTGGCTCAGAGGGACAGCTACTCTCTCCTCCCTGTCGGCCCCACCACGTGGGCAGAGGGCGGTGTCCCAAACACGTGTGGGGACCTGTCTCTGAGTTGCACTCTATGAAGCAGAGGGGAAGTGGAGCCCAGGCCCAGGCCAGGGCTGCGTGGGAGCCAGGTGGAGAGTATCCTGCACACTTCTGTTCCCTGTGACTGCGCTGTTTGCCGGGAGCACGTTCTATAGCAGCTTTTGAAACCAGTTTACGAGGGTTGTTTACTCAGGCACCGGCAGAATTCTCATCAAGTCAGGGCAGTACTGTTCTGTGTTCTAGTTTTATTTTTCTAAAAGCCCTGTTTTGGGGACAAACACTGGGCTGTGCTGTGACTGAGCCTCTGATGTGCTTCCCGGCCCCCTTCTCTCTAGGCAACAACTGTCCAGGGACGCCGGGGTGGGACCATCTGCACGCTGGCACCCACCACGGGGCCCCGCTTTCAGCCGGCAGCTCACATGGCGTCAGGAAGCTTGTCAGAGCTCAGAGGACTGTGACTGTCTCAGTCAGTGACACTTACTATACCAGTGGACACCTTCCAGGCCCTTCCAGCGTCTGGCTTGAGCCTGCAAGTCCTCAGGCATCGTCGGAAGGAAAGCCCTCTGAAACATCAAGACAGCAGAGCTCGCTTCAGAGGAGGCAGGAGGTCTCGAGCAACGACACCTTCTGACTTCCCTTCCCCTTGACCTCCAAAGCGGTCTGCGAAGAAGACGTGACAGCTCTCTGTGTGACAACAAGCGCAGGAGTATTCTCACCATTACCATGGGCTTGGACCAGGGGCAACAGAGCAGAGGAATCACGGGAACACAGTTCCAGTGTCCCCGTGCAGGCTGGGGACAGCCTGCCACGAGGCCGCCACGCAGTCTTACCGCCATGGTTGCTGGGGAGAAGGCCAAGTTCTTTAGAGGTTCCAAGACTCTGTGTTGTCCGCAGAGGAATACGACGGCGGCATGAATAGCCATTTCTGTCACCACTCCCTCAAGGTTGCTGCCACGGGGACAAGCCCTCAGCAGTGGCAGCGCATTGGTCACAAGGGACGTTGCGAAGTGTCTCATGTCTGGGGAGAGGCTCTGGCTTTGTTCAATGAACTTCCTCAGAGCCTCGCATTGCTGACAGGAAAACACATGTACAAGTTAAACCGTGTAAAGGAGAAGACCCCAGAAATGCAGAAGTTTGCTCTAACGTCAGTCACACGTCTCGACACCCCAAACCCAGACACCATCGCAGTAAACGGGGCTGTGTCAACGCCCTCTGCAGGGACCCCCCGAGAAGACAAGCTTCACACGCAGAATCCGCAGCACAGGCCCGAGCTGACCCACAGATACTCTGTTTTGGTGAAAAACATCTTTCGTTCTTGACATTAGTTTTAGCCATAATTCCCAAAGCTTTGGGTAAATCAGGAAGTAGCCCCTCCTATGAGAGCAGCTAAAACCCCCACCCTGATGAAAATTAGGGATGTAAATTGAGTGTGTGACTTTTCCTTCTACTCAGAAAGTATCCCCTGAATGCTGAGGTGCAGACACTTGCCTCGGGTGTGGGGTGCAGGCTGGCGTTCCGGGATCTGTACAGACTGGCGACCTCTCGGAACAGCGCCAGCAGCAGGTAGGCTGCCCGGTGTGTCTCGGGGCTTCTGCAGGCCTGAGAAGGGGACACCAAGGGAGGCTGTGCCATGCGGACAGCTCTGTCCAGGCAGAGATTTGGCCCCGTACCATGGCAGGGGTGGGCACCTCGGGAGGCACTGGACGCCTGGACCCTGCAGCTCAAGGGCTGTCTTCTGGCAGTGGCTCCAAGACAGCAGGTTCGAAAGAGATTCTGTTACAGTCGGGCACCTGTGTCTGAAGTCTCCTGACAGCAACACAGACCACTGTCTGTTCTCTCTGATGGCGTGTCTGCCGTCAGGGCGTGTCTTGCCTGGGAAACTTGTCCTGAGCACGTGTCTGACTTCCTTGGGTCCCGGCACCATGGATGCCAAGAGTAACTCGGAAGGGAGCGTGGCCAGAACACTTGCCAGATTAGAACCTAATCTTTCTTAACACGAGCATACGTAGGACTGTCGGCGTGCACAGCGCAGAGACAACTGCCACTGGCAGTGCCTGCGTGTAGGGTCTCAGAGGACTTGCTGACACTGAGCATCTTGGCGGGTCAGTGAGCCTGAGCAACACTGTCCACCCAACTCCGCAGCTGTCGCTCTCCTCACTTGGCCAGGTGTGTCCCTGGAGGCCGTGGGCCCACAACTGCCCACGTGGCCGCCCCCCTCTGGGGCACCTTCCATGGTGTCAGTGGACATAACCACGGGAGAGGCACCTTCTGTGGAACCTGTCCTACCTGCAGAGCCGTCTCGACGGCTGGCAGCTTGCAGTCCAGCACGGCTTTGCCCACAGCATCACGGACAGCCTTGTACTCCTGCCCATGCACCAGGAAGTGATCCATGTGGCCTGGATGGTCTCTCTGCAACCCCATGAACACAGCGTCACTCATGATGGGGACAGCGCAGGATGCCTAGCAAAGCACCATCTGTCCAGGTCGGGGAGCAGGTCATGACTAGAGGTCCAAAGGCACGGACCTGGGGTTCTGGGGTTCTGGGACGGCCCCTGGTGGGACAGTGCAGGGCTGCGTGGGACACTCCTCTCCGCAGCTGGCTGGGTGGCTGAGGAGGCAGCACTAACCCAACGGCCCTGCCTGTCTCCACTCAGAGCGGCGCCAGAGGCCAGGCAGCTTCACCACATCAATCTCTGCTCCAACGGGAGCACAAAAGGCCACAGTGCGCATTGCCATTTCTACAACCCGGGACAGTTAAGACCCGGCTCTTTGAGCACACGGTAAGGACTACCAGGAGGCCCTGAGGCCAAATGACTGAGGTTCACCCATTCTCGGTCTGGCCCTGCCTGTCCCCAACAGCCAAAGACAGAAAGGCCTCGCCCTGCAGCTGAGCCGCTTCTATGTGGCTGAAAGCAAAGCTACAGGATAGTCGCTCTCCCCTCCTCCAACTCTATTAGGAGTGGCGCCAACAAAAGTCTGCTGGGAGGGGACAGAGAAGGGGCCGCACGCCCACGCACGCCCACGCACGCCCACGCACGCCTCCCTACAGCAGCTGTCAACGGGCGCCCAGGAGGTTGGAGTCCCGTGCCCAGAGCAGCGGCAGCACCTGGGGCTGCCAGGACTGGCCCTCACCTGCTGTTCAATGACTTCCTTGGGAAACACCCACTGGGCTGGGTGGCCAGGCCGGGAGAGACCCTGCACAGACTCCATGCCCAGCAGGCTCGTCAGCTTCCTCACCAGGTACACCCGGTACCAGTCGTTCCCAGCCTGCGTGCAGAAGCGCTCCACCTGCCGCAGGTACTCCTTCCTCTCCTCAGTCATCGCTACAGAGTTCAAGGGGAAGGCAGTCAGTGCCAGGACTAAGTGGACTGTCACTGACTGTCTGAGATGCCAGGCTAGGTAAACAGGCGTGCAGAGTGAGACACTGAGAAGGCGGAGCCCACGTGCCAGCCCCCTGCCCTGAGTTTCTGAACAACAGGGCTCCGGAGCCAAGGTGAAGACAGTTGTGGAGGAACGACTTGCCCGAGCCTTTCCGCAGCTCAGCGAGGACATCGGCAGCCCTGTCAAGGCAGAGGCGGACCCTGGCCACCTCCTGCAGGCCCTCGACCGAGGCCTTGGAGGTGGGCTCCCAGGGCCTGCACAGGAGCACCCGCAGGAACTGCACGTCCTCCTGCAGGGCTCCTGGGTCGCCGCTCCCAGAGAAGGCGCCGCTCTTCTCGTGCATGGAGTCCTAGGGAGTCAGACGGGGAAGAGGTAGTTCTTGCTCATGTCAGCTGACCCCCAAACCCTCCAGTGTGACCGTGGAGAATCAGGAAAGGACCAAGCATGTGGTAGGTTGGAATGTAAGTTTTCTGAATCATGGAAAGCTATCATTCCTTTTCACTTTAGGGGCAAGAAAGGGGGACTAAGAGGAAAGAAAGAAAGGAAGGAAAGAAAGACAAACTAAAAGGAAAAAGTTGAGTGTAACCTGACTTTTTTCGTAGACATTTGAAGGTTTTTGGAAGTGACAAACACAGAAAGACGGGGAGGATGAACGGCGTCACAGCCCCGTGCCCAGAGCTAGGCCCCGCCCACTGCAGTGCCGCGCTGTTCCAGGCTGGCTCCCCTCCGGCACACCAGTGCCAGTGCAGACACTGCTGGGGGCAGCAGCATGGCTTTGAAGCCCTTTCTACCCTGCACAGACGCAGCGTCTGTTAACTTGACCCGACTTAAGTGAGTCTGTGACTTTTCAGAGGAACTTGCCCTTGGCGGGGGGACGGGGGAGCCTTGGGTGGGGAGCACGCACCTCCAGACAGCTGGTGAAGAGCAGGTACAGCTCCGTCTTGTCTTCGGCCATGAAGGCTTTCTTTTCTAACAGGGTCAAGTAGTCCTGGATATAACCTTTCACTTCCCGGAAGCTACCGGAAGAGAAATGGTAAACCTGGTTATCTCGGGTCCAGAAATTCATTTCCCCCAAAAAGTAGCTACCTACTTACCTCTCTCAGACTCCCCAGGTAAATGTATACACACGTACATAGAGCATGCTACATGGTTTTAACGGAAATATTTTAGCGCAATAATGCAGGAATATAAATGCCTTGTCTTAGACCAGCTCTTCTTAAATGTCTTGGTTTCAGGACCCCTTCGCAGCCTTACAAATTACTGAGAGTACCAATGAGCTTTGGTTTACATGGGTTACACCTACCAATATATTTTTAAAGATTTTATTTATTTTTAGAGATGGGGGAAGGGAAGGAAAAAATGAAGGAGACAAACATCAGTGTCTAGTTGCCTCTCACGTGCCCCCCACTCAGAACCTGGCCTGCAATGCAGGCATGTGCCCCAACTGGGAATTGAACTAGAGACCCTTCAGTTTGCAGGTCACTGAGCCACATCAGCCAGGACTATATCTACCGATAATGATGGCGTTAGAAATGATCAACTCACATAACGACAATGAACCCATTACACGTTAAAATAATTAACATTTAAAAATAAACCATTTTTCAAGAAAAAAATTTATTTGTAAGAAGAGTGTCTTTGTTTTTCCTGCCTCGCACAGGGACCCAGTCGGCTGGACCCTGCAGCCCGCCGGCTGCCTGTTGGCTGTGCTGACGTGGCAGCAGCCGAGACCTGCTCGGAGGAGTCCCACGGTCCACTCTGCACAAACTAGGAGTGGAGCTTTTTCTGACAAACACACAACTTTGTGACGTTTGTATCCAGAAAATAGTCATGCTACGCAGACCTTGCCGATGCTGACACATTTTTATTCTAAAATATAGAGCTTAAAACCTGACATTCTTAATAGTGCTACCCATACTAAAAAGTCTTCAAGAAAGCTGACAGGCTCACAGTAGAGGATCCAAATTTACAAAATTTCAATTTTTGCTTAAGAGCTGAAATTTTCTGGACTTCTGCCAAGATGTAGACGTAGGTGGAGGAACCACCTTGCCTCTGTGCACAACCAAATCTAAGAACAATTCTTTTTAATAACAATAAACACAACCAAGCCACACGGAAAATCGACAATACGGAGTCCAAAGACAACTAAATGCTCAGCTAAACCGGTAAGAGAAGCGAAGCCAGCAGTGGAGCAGGTTGGCAAGAAAAAATCCCTGGGTGGTGTGCGGTGGGCAAGCAGCCGAAGGCACTGACCGCGGGCTGGCTACGGGGGCTGTCTGCGGTCAGTCGGTCGGTCGCGCATCTGCGTGCGGAGAAACCAGTGAGGAGGGGAGCCTGCGCCGGGCAGCAGGCTCGCACAATTCCGATCAGATAAACAGGCCCGGGGCGAGTGGTGTGACTGGATGGACTGGGCTAGCGGAGAGGACTGCCATTGCTCCCTCTCTGACCACGCCCCCACACACAGCGTCACAAACCAGCGACCTGGGTCGCCCCGTCCTGGTAAACAACTAAGGCTTCGCTCCGCTTACTTAACGGCACGAATAGACCAAAAATGGCTCTAGGACAACTCAGAGCCCCAGAACCGATAGATCTAAGCGATGAAGAAATAGCCAGTGTTTCAGATGCACAGTTCAAAACACTGGCTATCAGGATCCTTACAGAACTGGTTGATTTTAGTCACAAATTAGAGAAACATATGGAAGCTAAACTGATTGAAATGAATGGTAATACAAAGGAAACCAATAATAATGGAAAGGAAATTGGGACTCAAATCAAGGGAGTGGACCAGAAGGAAGAAAAAAATGATCAAACAGAAAAGAATGAAGAAATAAGAATTCAGAAAAATGAGGAGAAGCTTAGGAACCTCCAGGACATCTTTAAACGTTCCAACATCCGAATTATAGGGGTACCAGAAGGGGGAAAGGCACAGCCACCAGTGGAAAACTTATTTGAACAAATAATAAAGGAGAATTTCCCCAATCTGGCGAAGGAAATAGACTTCCAGGAAATCCAGGAAGCTCAGAGAGTCCCAAAGAAGTTGGACCCAAGAAGGAACACACCAAGGCACATCATCATTACATTAGCCAAGATTAAAATGAAGGACAGAATCCTAGAAGCAGCAAGAGCTAAGGGGACAGTCACCTACAAAGGAGTTCCCATCAGACTGTCAGCTGATTTCTCAAAAGAGACCTTACAGGCAAGAAGGGGCTGGAAAGAGGTATTCCAAGTCATGAAAACCAAAGACCTACAACCAAGATTGCTCTACCCAGCAAAGCTTTCATTTAGAATGGAAGGACAGATAAAGTGCTTCTCAGATAATACCAAATTCAAGGAGTTCATCATCACCAAGCCCTTATTATATGAAATGTTAAAGGGACTTACCTAAGAAAAAGAAGATAAAAAAGATGAACAGTGAAAGGACAGCAAACTCACAGTTATTAACAACCACACCTAAAACAAAAGCAAACTAAGAGGACTGCTAGATCAGGAGCAGAACCATAGAAATGAAGATCTCATGGAGGGTTAGCAACAGGGGAGTGGGAGGAGGATAAGGGGGGAGAAGGTACAGAAAATAAGTAGCATAGACAGTAGATAGAAAATAGACAGGGGGAGGATAAGAATAGTAGGGGAAATACAGAATCTAAAGAATTTGAGACACGTGTTCATGAACTAAAGGGGGAAATGGTGGGGGAGGGGTACGCAGGGTGGAGGGGAATGGAGGGGGAAATAGAACAAATGTAATGGCATAATCAATAAAAAAGTTAAATAAATAAATAAAAATTAAAAAAAAAAAAAAAAAGAGCTGAAATTTTCTCATGAGCAACAAAGGCCGCAGTTGCTTCCCCCGATGGCGCAGGTGCCTTTCGCTCATTTTCAAGGGGAGGAAATTCCAGGGCCCCTGTGAGGACAGGTGGGCGTCAGCACAGCAGGTTCCGGCACGGCTCCCCTCCGGGTAGCTAACTTCGACGGGGTGTTCAGGTCACATCCTCAAGGGCCGAGATTCGGTCAGATTGATAAATTTAACAGCTTCACCCAGGACTTTCTTCTGGGAAGCTGCAGCCCTTAAACCAGCACGTGCCTGGGATGAAGGAGAGAGTAGCTCCCGGGACAGTGTCCTTAGTGCTGAGATGCCAGCAGTGACCGAATGATTGGAAAACGGCCTATCCTTTTAGCGCTGTTTGAAAAGCAGTGGGGGGACCTCCCAGGGGCCCCATGAGTCCCGACGCCCGCACGTCAAGAACCGCAGTAGCAGATTGGCACGAGCACCCAGGTGATACTGCCCTGGATGTGTGTCATCATCTGATGCTGTCCACACTTAGTGGCCTGAGTCGTGGCCAGAAGGTGTGACTGGTCTCCCTGCAAGTATCCAGGCTAGGAGCAGCTCGGGGTGAGGTCAGGTGGGAGGGGCTTGGGGGGGTGGGGCCGTGCTCAGCAGGTGGGCCTGTGGGCGCTGTCACCTGGGGCTGCCTGGAGAACTGATGCCTACGTTCCCACCGAGAACTCCCAATCCAGCCAAACTGGTTCTCAATACACACAAACCATGCACAGTGCAGAAGCAAAGAACCGACCAAGCCAGAGTGTCTGGCTCCCAGGCGACGCAGATCCAGGAGGCGGGTCTCCTGTCTCCAGATGTCCATCTTGCGATCAGCGCCGTGATGTTCAGGCTCTGAACTCTCCAGGACAGAGCATTTACCCTGTGAGTGGATGGTGTCTGCCCCCGTGGATACGGCGACACTGCATGTCAGGACGCGGGTGTCAGCAACCACGCTTCGTCTCTCCAAGCAAAGAAACTCAAGTGAATGTGGATTTCACACCCTCTGCAGTTAACAAAAGTTGCCTAACAGCTAAAGAGATTCTTCCCATCTCTCGAGTCAACCCTTTACGTATGTGCCTTAAGAGCGTAGGAAGATGCCGGTTCTGCACTAAAATGCACGTTGAGAGCATCGTCTTTGAAGACCCTGCGGAACCGTTTCCCTCAAGTGATGGGTGGGGTAGGGAAGTGACGCGTCCAGAGAGGGAAGCCGCAGGTCCACGTGACGAGTACCAACCGGGTCTCTATAGTCTGTGTCTGCTTTTGGCCACTTACGTCAGAAATGCTTGTTTCTGTCAGAACCTGTCCTGCAGCCCTTGATTTGGCCAACACCTCAAAGGGGACTGTCGATCAGAACACGGGCTGCGTGTGCCAAGTACCCCCTGAGAGAGCCTTCTGAATATCCATCACTTTCTGAGAATTTTTTAGAAGAGCATCAACTGACACCATATGGGCTTCTTTATCCATTTACAGACTCATTGTTGAAGTTTAGAAACTTAAAAAATGCTTAGCGGGCCCCTGGGACAGTGGTGGTAAGAGGGAGTGCCAGTCACCTTCCTGGGCACCGCACACCTCGGCAGCTTCGAATCGGGGTCAGACACAGACCCCTGACTCAGGGGTTCCCTCCCAAGCCCGTCACTGGACCCCCTTCCCAGCCACACACTGTTCTCATCCCTGACCGCACATCAATCTGTGCCGAACACGTCTGCCGGTGTGTGAGAATGGCCAGGCGCCCCCAAGACAGACACATAAGGAAGGTGGCCTGACCCCAGACAGGCCTTCTCCCCAGGGAACCAGCGGCTCGACCCACAGGGACTGGGGGCAGCAGAGAGCCACGCAGGGAGGCGAGGCCAGCGCACGGACCTGTACTTCAGGAGCAGCTTCAGGACCACGGAGCGGATGACGGGCGTCTTGTCCACGACGTCGTTGAACGGGGACAGGGATTTTGTGTGTTCACGGTGTCCTTAAACCAGAAGGAGAAAGGTGGGCCCGCAGTTCGCAGCAGACAGACAGAAGCGGGGGGAGACTGGGTTTTTAGCTCTAGCAGGAGAAGTAACGTACTCTGGGGTGCGCCTCTCAGCAGCAGCTTCTTCTCCACGAAGAGCAGAGACAGTAGCATGTCCACCACGTCCTTGTCCGGGGGACAGTTGTCTTTGAAGCACACGGTGGACACCAGGTCCACGAAGAAGCTGGTACACATGTGTCGGAAGCGGGCGTGCTTCTCAATGGCGGCCCTTGGGAGTGGGTGGAAACCTCGTCAAAATGATTGGTGGCAGGGCTCCGGGTCCCCGCCCCACACGGTGCTCTGGGATACAACGGCATTTTGATTTTTTAAACACAAAGATGCAAGGATCTCCTCGTGCCGATCAGAGCTGGTCTGGGAACCCCACCGGGCCGTGCGGACGCGTGTCTCAGTGGACACCGCGAACATCTGGACCAGCTGGCCCCCCTCCCGACACCCTGGGAGGGTGTCAAAGAGCCCCCCACGGGGCCCATCTCATGCTCCCTTCTTAGAAGCCTCGGGTGGAGGGGGCAGGAAGCCAGTCCTTCTGAGCAGGCTGAGGCCAGCTAAGCCCCCAGGGCTCCTGCCAACCTCAGTGACCTGCCCTGAAAAGCACTTTGCCAGCCCGGAGTGGACTTGTCCTCCGCCCTAGAACATGAGTGTCAGTGACATGCCAAGAGCACGCACGAACCCTCCACTCCCTGGGTCTCTCGTGACAGCTTTACATTAGTCATGGCTTTCTGGTCTTTTTACCTCTAACCTTGCTGCTTCCACACCCATCCTTAGGTGTGTCTTTGGGACACAGCAATTTTGAGACACTAGGTGTTTATGAAGGTACATTCCCTCCCACGGGACAGGATTTCTAAGGTTAATAGAGTTATATTTCTGAACACCGGACTAGCTAAAAGGAAGAAAAAGCCTCCTAAGATACAAGGTGTTTCACCTCATCTCCTGGGAAACCTTTGGAGAGAAGCCTTCTGGCAAGTCGGTCAGACAGAGCGGGCAGCTCATCTGCCCAAGGGTGAGGCAAGACTTGACACAGTTCAGGCAGAACACGTGGTCACAGGGCAGGTGGACAGGGTCGTGCGCGTCTCCCAGGCAGACGGGGCACGCCTGGACCTTAAACCTAGGAGGCAAGGACGCCGGTCAGTGGTGGAGCAGAGGGGTGGGCTGGGAGGCTCGGACTCCGCCCCCGTGGCCCCGCGCCAGGGAGCTCACTGGATTAAGGCGTTGCTGGCCCGCTCTTTACACTCGCAGAGAGTCTGCATCACTGCCCTGAACGGCCGCAAGGTCTTGATGTCCGAGTTTCCCTGCAGACGCTGGGATGGAGGGAAAGGCAGTGACCAGGAAGAGCATCGGCAGCAAGGAAGCCCAAGGAAGTTCAGCCAGCCAGGTGAGTCGGAACCTCCGGAGCAAAACACACAGCCCCCCTCCCACTGCCAGCCGGCCGCCCGGAGCCATCAGGGCTGCTGGTCTGTCTGCGGGGCGGGGCCTTGTGAGTGTCTTTCACTTTGGATGCTGTTTGTAATAGTGAGTCCTTTTGTCAAAGACTACGCTCTGACTCAGCACTCAGGACAGGGCACAGAACTGAACAGTGGTCGTGGGAGAGCCAGTGGCCTGCGTGAGGAAACCGTTCTCCTTCGCACTTTTAGACAAAACAGCTGGAGCTGAAAGGAGTGCACCAGCCTGCAGGTGACGTCTTGGGGAGGCAGAGCCCTGCTTGCAAGACGACCGGAGCGCTCACCCTGTTCAGGATGTGGGCAGACTCCGTCACCAGCTCTTGCAGCTCAGGCAGGTGGCTCCTGGTCCCCAAGAGAACGTGCTCTACGAAGAGCGCGACAGAGAAAATGCGGTTCCAGTGGGTTCTGTCAAGAGATGGTGCCACGCACTCAGCTGACCACAGAGCCTGAGAGGCATGAGGGGCCCTGGGGTGGGAGCACGAGCCACGGATCGGGGGCAGGTGGAGGGAGCCCTGTGGGAGCCCCGTGCTGTGCCGGTCCCCTGCTCCGACTCCCTGTGGTTGTAACCTGGGCCACATGCTCTGGACTCGGCCTCTGCCCGGGAGTCGTGCCACGCCTGTGAGGCCGGTGCAGGACTCATCCGCCAGGATGACCGCCCGGCTGCGTGTCCCCACCGTCCTGTCTGTCCCTGTCCCGCCTGGGGCCCTTTCCAGCCGCTCCCTGTCACAGTATTCCTGCCGTGGAATCAAGGAACCTGCCCACCCTCCTGTCACCACCGGTACTCCCCGAACACCACGTGCTTCTCTGTACCTGCAGCCCAGGCCCTGGCAGCGGCCCAGTGTCAGGGATGAAGGAGGAGAGGGCTCCTTCCACGCAGGGAATGGAACCGTCTTTCTGACGTGCCTGGGACTCAGTATGGGACTGGGGGGGGGCATGAGTGGAAGGCACCTTGGGTGCTGGCTCCAGGGACTCACCTGATTTCTCGGACGAGGTCTCCGGCCGTGCTCCTGGGGTCCTGAAGGTACCCGTCAGAGCAGAGGAGCTCCAGTGGCATTGACAGCTTCTTCACCGTCTGCAGCCACACCTGGGGGCTGGGCTCCAGCAGGTCCCTCAGCAGCAGCTCAACGCAGGCCAGCGCCGCAGACACGTCCAGAGTCTGGGCAGAGGGAGACCTGTGGATCGGTGGCGGTCCCGGCCCCTGGGGCGGCCACGATCCCGAGCCCCGAGACCCCAGCCGCTGGCTCGCTGTGCTCTCATGGTCCAGGCCTGCAACCTCCTCTTTTTCTTTCTTTTTCATCCTCATTCGAGGACACATGTATTGATTTTAGAGAGAGGAAGGGAGAGGGAGAAATCTATGCAAGAGAGAAGTATCCATCCCCTGGGTCCGGTGGTAGCCCAGACTGGGAGTCAGATCTGCAACCCTTCGGTGCACGGGCGACGCTCCAACCAACTTTGCCGCCGGCCGGCGCCGCAACCTCCTCTGCACTGTGTCGGAGCACAGCAGGCACTCATGAGAAGTGTCTTGACTTCTGAGCCGCCCTGACGTCTGTGCCTGGAACTGGGCTCTCCCATTTGGAGCGTGGCCCATCAGCTCTCCCTCCCTGGTGGCCCCAGGAGTAGCCCCCACCCACTCAAGGGAGGCCAACGGCTGGCCGGGAGCACTCACTGTCCCCAAGAGGGGCCATACCATCTCCCGGGTAGCCAAGCCACGGCTCCGAGCAGCTTCAGTTAGGCTGTCTAGAATCGGGGGATGGATGGTCAAGATTCTGGAGAAGTTCTGGAGCCGGATCCTGAAACGCTGATAGGCCAGGTGCACCCAGGGGAGGGAAAGGTCCTCCTGGGGGCTTTCCTCCCTCAGCTGCTGGACACAGGAGCACAGGGCCATCTGCAGGAGCTGGGGAGGAAACCAGGCTTTCAGTGGGACTAAGAACAGCAGAAAAGAAGATGAAAACTCATACACACCACCAGCACTGTCCCCGGTTTGCTTCCCGATTCATCCCTTCTGGCACTTTTACATCCATACCTGCCCTCCCCGTGGTCCCCAAGTCCGTGCCCCGTGTATCCTGAGGCTCCCCACTGTGCACCGTGGACTTTTCTCCGTGGTTCAGCGGACTCGAAGCACAGCATTTTCAGTGGCTGCACAGGAACCAACCAAGTGGCCGTCCTCTAGTTTGTCTAACCCTTAGTTTTGGACACTTGTTTCTGGTCTTCCATTTTTATAAGAAAAGGTAAGAACGTTCCTGGGACTAAACGGCTCACCCACACCTGCAGTCGCGTCCTGGGGACAGGGTCACCGGCTTAGATCTTATGAGGTACCCCGCCCGCCCTGCCAGTGGCTCCTGGAAGCTCCATGCTGGTTCACACACTGCTGGTGTGGGGGGAGCTCCGGACTTTTGTAAACCCAGTTTTGCCACCCGGATAGGTAAAGACAGCATTTAAATTTGTGCACATTTTGCTGATTTATTATGCATCTCAGCAATCTTACAAAGGTTTTCTGGATGTCTGTACAATTCCATTCACAGCTGGTTTGTAACATTCACCCACTTTTTAAAGTTGGGGGATTTTCTGATTGAGTCCTAAGAATATTTGTTAACCCTTAATCATATTGTTTCTGGATTCCCTCCAAACCTGTCACTTTCCTTTTTTAGGTACTGAAGTTTGAAGCAGTATCATTCTCTCCATGGAAATTCCTGTTTTCATTATTACTCTTGTAACGGTCATTTAAACAGCGACCTAACTTTCTTTGAGAGAAACCCAGGGTCGGATACAGAAGGTGCTCCAGGAGAACTGGAGGGCTTTGTCGAGTTCCCAGAGGCTCTGTGTTGAGGGGCCTGGGCCGGGGGCTGCGGTGCAGCCGCCTCATCACGCACCAGCCCGCCTCCGACCGTGTTCCGACCCACAGAGCTGTGTCTGCGGCTGTGCGTGCTGCCTGCGCGCCAGTACTTACCATCAGTTCCTCCACGTTGGACACCTTCATGGTCAAGAGCAGGAAGTCCTGCAGGTAGCAGCGGAGCAGCTGCTGCCGCTCTTCCCCAGGGAGCCGCGCCAGGAAGCAGCCCAGCGGCGTCTGCCGGAAGATCTCCAGCAGCTTCTCGGATGCCCCTGCGGGGGAGACCACAGAGCATCTCGGGTGAGGACGCAAACCCCGTCCCGGGCTCAGGGCCGCTGCTCCCTAGACACTCCCAGCGGGTCAGGGGCTGCGGGCCGGCAGCCGGGGGCAGCAGGCGTCTTGGTTCTGAGATCACGCCTAGACTGTGGATGGTTTCCAGGGAAACGACAGACACAGAGGCAGAGTGGGCATTAAGTTCCAGTGACAAACGGCCTCAGTAGCCCCACAGGGACGAGGCGCCCTGAGACAGAGTGAGTACACGTCCAGCAAGTCAGGCCGAGCTTCAGGGACCCTGGGGCCCGGGGGCCCGGGCTGCTCTCCAGGGGTGGGCCTTGAGCTGTCGGCAGGGTGTGGCCCCGAAATCAAGCAGTACTCTCTCCTCGGGCAGAGGCTGCTTCTGCTTTGCTCAGAATGAGTGGCAGAAACTGACTTAGAAAAACAAGCTCATCTTCAGGTCCCTGACCTGGATTTTATTTTCCTTTATTTTTTATCCTCACTGAGGACTTGCTTACTCGTCCTAAAGAGAGGGGAAGGGAGACTGAGACACGTTGAGGGGAGAAACATCACTCGGCTGCCTCTCCTATGCACCCCACCAGGGACCAGGCCCACAACTCAGGCCTGTGACCTGACTGGGAATCACACCAGTGACCTTTCGGTTCACAACACAAGGCTCCAACCACCGAACCACCTGGCCAGGGCGGTCCTGCATTTTTGAAGGTGGCTGGAAGCCAACTCTGAAAAGATCATTTCACTCCAAAGCAGTCTGTCCCCAAAGTGCTGTGTGAATACTGATTTCCGTGGAAGGCTGACGGCCAGACTTCCATGCTGGGGACAACAGTGCCCTGAGGGGCCATGGGGCTCAGGAGGGACACAGACAGGCAGCTCGGACGATGGCGCTCTGCTCTCGTCATGGGCAGTGGTTGAGAAAGGACCAGGCGAGGACACCCCAAGTCCCATGTCACTGTGGCCCAGGAGCTCCAGGAGGGGAACGCCCACCTGGGACAGGGCCCCGCCCAGGGCCCCTCGCTGTGTCCGGGGCGCACCTGCGGGTTCGGAGACGTACTGAGCCTGGACGCCCAGCTCGTCCACGTAGTCCTTGATCCTCCAGCTGAATGGGAAGCTGTTGCAGTTGTCCCCGGAGAGCTGCATGTGGCTCAGCACCAGGATGTGGGACGTCTCCCTTCTGAACGTACCACGGGGCAAGGGGGAGAGAGGATGTGGCTGGGGGGGCGTCACTTGGAACAGGACAGGGGTCCTCTGAAGCCCAGCCATCACAGTCCTCAAGACCAGGTGCTTCCGAGGCCTCGAGGACAGCCCCTGGGCTCAGGTTCCTGTGCGGGAGGGACCCCAACGACCTGCGCCACCCACTCTGCATACTGAACAGATGTGGGCCGCGATATTGGGGGCCCAGACTGCACTGGGCCTGTGCAGACAGAACTTGACTCCCCAAGGAGTCTGCCTTCTAATCGGCCGTCCTCTCCTCCCTGTGAGTCCACCGCTGACCCCGAATTCCACTTACCCTACCTTGTTTATTAACCTCACACTCCGGAGTCAAAGCCCCCAAATCCCACAGGAACTTTTGGGGAAGCCAGCTGAGCCTGCGTGGTGCAGAAGCCGCCTGGGGAGTGGCTGGGGAGGCCCCCCAAGGAGAGAGGACTGGGAAGCACCCCAAACGAGCAGCTGTGCGGTGCGGCTTCCGAGGGAAGGCCGAGGTGACATGCTCAGCGGGGCTTGCAGATGAGCCCAGGACAGATTTCTCAGAACGTCATTCAACTCCCAGAGTGCCACTTCAGTGCGACTCTGGAGTCAGCCTGGGTCATCAGACACTGGGGAGGGCGCACTCCGGTCAGGGCTGTCCCCCCACCACAGAAAGGAAGCCTGCACTTCACCTGGTAGCACTCGCCACGAGAGGAATGTTCAGCAGCTTCAGGTCACTGAAAATGAACATCCAAAGGTCTCTCGTCCACGACGGTGCATCGGGCGCGGCCAGGAGCTCCAGGTTGCCGTCTCTGTCCATGATGGAGATCATGCTGGCCAGGAGGGGGGTCACGGCACCCTGGACCCGCTTCCAGAGGGTGTGCCTGCAGCGAGAGACAGGCGGCCCCAGCCCTGGGTCAGAGTGGCCGCAGCGGGAAGGTGCACAGTGAGCCCGGTCAGGGCACCTCCCTGCTGGTCCGGCCCACTGGACCTGGGCGCTGAGCTGTGTGCTCCGTCACTTCTGTTAACTACAGGACCCTGTTTTCACAATGACGTGGGCACAGAGTAAACCATAACCCTAGGGAATCAACACCGGGGAGAAAAATGCAGGCTCGATTTCAAAAGAAGAAAATGCCTACTTGAGTTTTTGTGTTTATAGCGCACAGGGGCCCAGAGAGAATTCGGAACCGTCTGCCGAGGAAACTGAGCATGACAATGACCACAGAGACCACTCGACTGAAGGGGGACACGCAAACCACAGAAAGGGCGGAGGTCGCAGAGCTGGCAGGTCAACGCTGGCTGCAGGGACAGGCTGGGAAGACCCTGGGCTCTGGGCGCTGGGCCAGCCCGAGCGTCAGGACTCCCAGGATCTAGACCGTCTAACCCCGAGGGGGCAGAGGACTTCAGTCCAAAACACACAGAGGGTGAAGACCTTGTCCCCGAGGCTGTGGTCATGGAACGGCGGGCTCCGGAGGGCTGCCTGACACCTGACGCAGGTGAGCTAAATGCACGCAGTTCTGACCCACCCCCAACTGCAGGTGAGACGGGCCAGTCCCACACCGACAGCAAGCAGCAGGGCGGTGAAAGGGGCGACGCCCAGCCCTCCCGACACCCGGCCAACCCGGCAGCTGAGGAACGAAGGCAGTGTGTGCAAGGGGCACAGAGGTGAGGCTCCGTCCGAAAGGAGTCTGAAACGGAGGACCCGGCACAGCCCTCAGTGCGCCCCGGGGAGATGGAAACCCTTCCAGCTCATCTCTTACAGAATTCCTGGCTCAGAAAGCACAACTGGGGAAGGAATCAGGGATGACTGGAGAAGAAGAGACACAGAAAAACCCCTACAGCCAAACACCGCATCGATAAGCTCCCACATGCCATCCCCTTGGGTGACACCCCGGCCGCTCCCACCGATGCGCCTGGAGCCAAGTCCCACAGAGTCGGGAGGGCTGGGCCCAGGGGGGCCCACGGGTGCGCAGACTCTCCACTCACAGAGGAGGGAGCTGAGGGCCGCAGTGAGGAATACGGGCTGAGACCACCCTGCCGGGGGGGGGGTCCCTTCCCCGGGATCCGGACCAGCCCCCGCCCCCAGTCCTGGGCCACACAGGTTGGCGTGGGCTCATCCCAAGCAAAGGAGTTTATGGAAACAGGATCACGGGCAGTAAGTGACTTCCCCGGGATCCTGTTTTGTTGTTATCAAACAGCTTCAAGCAGCAGGTCTGGGAAGGCAGTTTCTCTTCCCTCCCTACACGTCACCTGCTTAACACAGTAACCGAAACATCGTCTATTTCTACAGCTTGTGACAGGCTGGGGGAAGGTCGCCTCCTCCGAGAGCAGGTTTAAACACACGCAGAAGTAGACAGAGGAGTCAGCACAACCCCACACGCCACCACCCGGACCATCTTGTACTTATTTCTTGGGGAAAAGAAGACGGCTCCGCATCACTCGGAGAGAGCGCAACCGGCCCCTGCCCCCGGCGGGGAAAGGACGTGTGCCTGCTGCCTCGGTCGGTACCTGAACGTGCCCGCCTCCTGGAGGGCGTCGGGGTTGGAGGCCTCCTCCTGCACCCACTGCTCCCTGGCGAACGCGAAGGTCTCCTGCCTCCGTAAGAGGTCGTGGAGGCGCCGCTTGACCTCCCGGGAGAAAGCGGCTGCAACACAGCACAGGGCACGCGCGTTGGCCTCGTGCAGGAGCCCTGCCACCGGGAGGGCCATGGCCTTTCGCGAGGACGGGGGCTCCAGGTCCCGGGCAGCCCCAGAGGCGCGGGGACCCCGGGGACCTCACCTTTCTGCGCGTCGTCCTCGCTGAGGAGGCCGAGGAGGACCTCCACGCGCCTCACGTTGCGCTGACTGCGCTCGCTCGGGTCCTGCAGCAGACCCACGGCGCTCTGCACGCAGCTGCGCAGCAGGTGGCCGGTGTCCAGGGCCGGTGTCTGTCACGGGCACAAGCGAGCTTCCATCAGCCACTCCTGCGAGGCGGAGGCCCGGCTGGAGCCGGGTCCCGCGGCCGCATGAGGGGCAGCAGCTGGGCAAAGTCCATGTGCCTGGCTCCCTGAGGACCTGCGGCAATGTGGTCCCGAGTTCCCAGGACTCCGCCGGCAGACCCCGTCCCGGTGGCTCGGCTGCACTCAAGCCACCCTCTGCATCCCCTCCTTGGTCTCCCGGGCAAGTGTGGAGCTCCTGGGGGCGCCCAGCAGCCCCCGGAGGGCTCCTGGAATGGGAGGACTGCACTCACGTGGCTGCTCTGGGGCCCAGAATGGTCCGTCTCCATGTCTGTGTCTGTGCCGATCTGAGCTGTGGAGCCCGGTTCGTGGGTCTCCACTTCCATCTCTTCCTCATGGCCATCTCTGGCCCCGTGTCCCACCTCAACTGCAATAGAAGTCACACTGTTGGGCAACAGCCCAGAAGACAGCTGGGGTGCTGGTGCTGGGCCACCGAGCTGGGTGCTGGCCTGTAGCCGCTCCCTGGCTCCTGGCTGCAGCAGCGTCCCCAAGGACAGCCCCGGGCAGGCAGATCAGTGTCCAGTCCGCCCTCGGGCCCTCCGGTGGGAACCCCTCACTTCTGTCCTGCCTCTGAGGGTCCACGCAGAGACGGAGGGGACACGTGCCACAGGCTCGCACTTCTGCCATCTGGGCACCCCCTGAGCGGCTTCTTCCGGTGCGGACCCAGCCCCTGCCTGGCCTTGGAAAGCAGCGGGGGGCTCTCAGGACTCGCCTGAGCTGCTGCTGAGGCACCGGGGCGAGGACCTGGGCGCCGGGGGCACGACGGCCCTGCTCTCACAGCCTGCAGCACCCCGTCACCGCCAGGCTGCCGCGCCTGCCGTCCCATGTCCCCAAAGGCTTTCCCCGGAGACGTACGCTCCGATCCGTCGTCCGGATCAAACAGCTGGCTGATGGTCACGTCCTGCAGCTTTGTCACGTCCGACACCATGACTGTGGACCTCCGGAGGTCGTCGATGTGCACAGTCCGCCACAGCCCTGTGAGGAGCGAAGCCGCGGGTCTGCACATGTCCTTTCCAGTCCGCTCATCGGGCGCAGCAGGGACACAGCGCACGCCCTGGGGCTCCACACACTGCTGCCCTGTGAACTCCTGGTCGACACGCACAGCCCGCCGCCCACGCTGCATCTCAGCAACCTGGGCGGGGCGACCCGTGTGCCCCTGAAATAACCGACTTGGGAAGGCGGCCCGGACGAGGGCAGCCCGACTGTCACACACTGGGGTTCTACTTGCTGCCATGGTCACAGCAGGGCTGTGGGATGTCGCACGGGTCCCTCCCCCATCTATGGAAGTACTAGAGTGAACAGGATGTGCCTGTTCCTGGAACTCCAACTTCCTTACCCAATACACATTCGGAGAGCCATTCCTGACAGGTGGGGAAGAGAAGGAAAGGTTAAGGTAGCACCCCCACCCCGAAACAGGAGTGAAGGGCTGGCAAGTCGTGAATAGCTTCCCTTGTGCAATAAAAGGTGAGGGACCAGACAGGCTACGTAAGTGTTTATGTCCAAGTCGATAAAGGAAATGCCACGTGTTAGAGCAGCAAGTCCTAAGATGAGAGTTTTTTGCAGTAATCAGCGGTAAACAAATCTAAGTGCATCCGAAACGGATGTTGCTGAGGTTAACATCAGTATCCTGAGTGCAGTCTGGGCACCCTGGGACCAGCTGGCCGTTCCTCGAATGCCACGGACGCAACCACGTCCGTCAATCACTGTCCTACCTCCATGGGACCCCACGTAGGACCTGCCGCTCTCCATCCGGGACAGTTTGGTGATGAAGTAGACGAAGGTGCAGTGCTGATGCCCCTGGTGCTTGCTGATCTCGTTCATCGCAGAAAACCTGTTTCAAACCAGCCAGATCGAGGCAGGTCAGGGCGAAGGCAGAGCCAGCGAGCACCACCGCGGTGGTGCCGGGGCTGGAGGATGTCCTGGGCATGGTCCGCCTCGGGCCCACTCCCACCCTGCCCCCGGGTCCCTCTGCTTGCCTCATCGACCAGAAACCCTAACCTGGGCTCCCTGCTGGGATCCCCGAACCCTGCCAAGCGCAGGACTAGCAGAAGCTTCCATCTCAGGGGCCAGGGTGCCGTAGACAGACAACCACACCATGAACCCTGGCCTCCAGTGTGTAAAAAGGTCCAGAGGTCACTTCAAGTGACAGGGGACTCAGTTCTGAGAGTACCATACCTCCTACAGACACTACAAGTAAATCAAATTGTTGGACTTAAAACTGACCGTTACCCAAAGTCTGCCCCCCTCTTCCACAAGGATGTTCTCTTAGAGCCCACTGAGTTCTGGCGCTGGGACCCCGCAGCTCCCAGTTTGTGTGGCCACGGGCCCCTCCTCTTCCCCTTCCCTTCCCTCAGGGTCTCTCGTCCACGGCTGGGAAAACGAGGAGGGAGGGTTGTTTGTGTCTTTATTCTGTTTATTGGAGGCTGTGCTGTTTTCTGGGGAGGAGTCCTTTAGGACCCCTGGGTGAATCTGGGGTTCCCCGTGGTTTCCGAGAGGAAGCACCCGAACGCACTTGGCGGAGGCGATGAGCTGAGCGCTGCGCACGCCGTCCTCGAAGTCTGTTTGAATGATGAGGATCTTCCGCGGAGCGGCGTTAGTCACGCACTTTCTGAGAAATGAGAGATCAGGCAAGTGAGCTCCCCGCCGTGAAAACGGGGTGACGATGCCCCCACCCCCAAAGCAACGGGAACTGCCCGGTGAGTGGGCGACCTGGCGGCGCAAGATGACACCCCAGTAAGTGCTTCCTCTGCAAGATCCATTTTAGCAGAGGTGCGCTGCCCGGAAGGGTTTCAGAGACGGCGACTGTCCTTGGAGTCGGGGACCCTCGCGGTCACCAGCCAATGCTGGGGACACCGCTGTGGCCGCCACAGCCAGGCGGCCAGGGCTGGGAGGAAGCACAGAGGGAGGGAGGTGGGGGCCTCACCGGACTTCTCTGAGGAAGGCGTGCTCGGTGTCGAACTGCTGCAGCGACAGGACCGTGGGCGTCAGAGCCCTGCCGGTGACTTCCGCTGCCAGAACCTCACTGTCGTGGCCGGTCAGCAGTCGGGAGAAAGTGGTGATCTGCAAGGCCAGGGAGGGCGCACTGTCTCCACCCGTCCCGAAAACCCGAGGGCACTCGGCAAGGTGCGGGGGGGCCCACGCTGGTGGAACAGGGTGCGACCCTGGGGCTCCTGAACCGAGGCGGCGCAGGGGAAACACCCAGCCAAAAGGCCTTGGGGAGAATGTGTTCCGTCCCTAAGACGGGGTTCCCCTTCCCGGACTCCAGGGCCTCTTCCCGCTTTGCTCCCCGAAGAGAGATTCCGTGGGGCTCGGCACGGATGAAATGCTGTGTCTCCCTGCTGGCCTCGCCTCCTACTTGCAGGGGAATCAGCCCACGAGGAAGGTCCCCCCCTTCCTAGGCTGTCCACGCGCCTCCTCTGCCCCAGCGCACCGCTTGGTGTGACCGGGACGCCCCACACGGGCAGGCTGACCTCGGGCCGACGCACCCTGCCTCCGGGCCCGGCTCACCGCTGAACTCCGATGCCCGTGCCAGACTGCGGGGCAGACGGATGGCCCCCCAGGCATCAGAGGGGCACCCAATGGGGTCTGCCCAGCCCAAACTGCTGCCCTTTCTCTGTTGTGACTCACCAAACCTGTGCCTGTGCCAGGAAGAAACCGGGGGTCTCCCTCCCACGGAGCCAGTCATCTGCGCTTACCCACCCCTGCTCTGCAGTCCCACCTGACTGTCGTGGGCTTCGAGGGCTCGCAGCAGCCCCCGCCCTGCACCAGTGCATCTGTTCTGTGACAGTCTCTCGCCTACTCCCCCATCTCAACGCACATTTTCCCACCACGCCCCTCCGTAGGGCAGAGATGGAGCGTCTCAGGGGCGTGGACGAGGCGGCCCAGGGAGTCTGTCCTGCGGCCCCCCAGCCTGCCTCTAGGCATTCACGGCCTTGGACCCTGAGCTCTGCCAACGACCGCCTCCTGGTCTCGCACAGGCTATGCTGCTTCCCGCCTGCCGCGCCAGCAAGGCCTTCTGCCTGTGCCAGCTTCCCCGGACGGACCTCAGAATCCATTCGTTTGGAGCCAGCTCTTGTAGAAGGGGCCACCTGACCTCACGGCCTGCCCTGTGCTGCCCGTCTTTGCCTGGGGGTAGCACCGTGCAACGCCATCGACGGCATGGCTTCGTGAACCTGTCTTCCCCCCTTGCCCAGGGTGCCAACCGAGGCCCGGAACCGGCTGATGCGCTTCCAGGTCCCTAGTGCACAGGCGCAGCTCGCAGACGCGGTGCTTCCCGGCACGGCCCGTGTGGGGCACAGTGGGACTTCGGCACCAGGCTCCGCACACAAACAGGCGCTCACGCCTGGGTAAAACGGGCCCCACATAAACGAGTGGGTCTCTCCGTGCTCAGGAAGCCGGAGTCTCGACACACCCCGCTCTGCTTCCTAGACACTGACTGGGAGCGAACCTGGAGTTTCCGACCCCAGGGACCAAGGGCTCTGAGGGGAGGGCACGTGGGACAATCACCTCGGTGAAGACGGCGTGGCACTCTGGCATCGGCTGGCGCAGGTGAGCCTGCAAGAAGTCTGCGAAGGAGTCGTGTTGCTGCCGGTAGTAGTACTCCTGGGACAGGGACTTCGCCGCGAACAGGCCCAGGGAGGTAGTGCTGAGCCGGACCACGGCGTCGGGCGTGGCGCAGTCCAGCAGCACCAACTTGGCGTCCTCCAGCACCTTCCGGTAATGCTCGTGGGTCACAGCCCGGTGACCCAGCCTCTCTATGACCTGGAGCACCACAGAGGCACAGGTGTCTGAGTGGTAGCCCATGAAGACATCTGAAGGGCTGTACCTGTGGGTGGCTCCCACCGATGTTGCCGGGACACGGACAAAGAGGTCCACCCAGGCCTTAAGCTCCCCCACGATGTCCCTCTGCCACGTCTCCAGCACGGTGTTGATGTCCAGGTAATGCTTCTCCAGCCGGTTAATGAGGGGGATGGGGAAGTGGTTGTAGACGACATCTTTCTCCTCGATGACTATCAAGCGGAAGTCTGGGTGGACCCGGCATTTGACGCGATGGGTCCCCAGGCCGAGGTCCACATACTTCTGGCCCCCGAGGTGGACGTAGTACTGGTTGAGGGCGTCGTACAGGCTCTCGTACAGGTTCTGCAGGTTGAGCAGCACCACCATCCTGCCAGTCTCCATGCAGACCTTCACCCGGTTGACGTTTCTGCAGATCTGCGTGTACTCCTGGTCCCTGGGGAAGCTGGAGCCGAAGATGATCTCTGGCTGCCGGTCCTGGCGGAAGAGCGCCCGCTGCAGGATCTGCAGGGCTACGTAGTTCCTGGTCAGCAGGAGCAGGTAGCGGGCCTCCGAGTCCTCCGGGTCCCTGCCCCGCGCCCGCATGGGGTCTCCATACACGTTCTGCTCGACCAGCTGCATGGTGCTGACCTCCTCGGAGAGCCGGGCCTCGGGCAAGCTGGCTGCGAAGATGTCCAGAGCACGGATGCCGTCTTTGCCGCTGAAGTTCCGCAAGACGGCCTGGGCGATGTCTTGTGGGGAAGGCTTCTTGTTGGAAGCTTTTGTGCTGGCAAAGACCATTTTGATGAGGCTGTAGTAGTCCCGGAGCCCGAAGAACTCCTTGCCCTGGAGCTGGCACACTCTCTCGTAGGCCTTGGCGAAGGGCGCGAAGTAGCCTTTGATCCTCTCCTGCACCAGGGAATCGGAAGAGCAGATCCCCTTGGCGCTTTCTATGAGCTCTTTCGTGTTGGGGCTGCCACGCGAGACAAAAATGCCCCGGTTCATCTTGGCAGGGTCCAGGGCCCAGTTGGAAATGCCAATGAAACCCACTTTCTTGTGGGGGGCAGGGTCGTCTTCGATGCAGCCGTCTTCCAACAGCGGATGCAGAGCCTTGAGGGGCATTTTGGGCGAGTCCTCGGCCAGGCCCACCTCGTCGAGCACCACCACGGAGACGTACTGCCGCAGGTCCTTGTCCTGCTGGAAGCGGGCGCACTGCCGGAAGGTGCCAATGATGCCCTGGGGGGTGGAGTGCGGGCTGCACTGGAAGGACACCAGGTGGACCTGCTTCAGGTTCCGGAAGAGGTCCGAGTGGGCGGCCTGGCCTTGCATGGCGTCCGCCACGATGGTCTTGGCGAGGGATTTGGAGCTGCCGGGCTTGCCCACCAGGAAGAGGGGGATCCTGAGCTCTATGCAGACGACCATCATGAAGACATTCTCTTTCAGAGCCAGGTTCTTGGCGATGGTTTTCCGCAGAGGCACGCCCTCGAGAAAGAGGTCCTGCACCCGCGTTATCGTGTCCAGCACGGCCTTGCCGTCGTTGTACGGCTGCGGAAGGCACCGGCAGATGGCTTTCCGATACGACTCCTGCCTCTCCAGAGAGGCGTGGTAGCACACGCCGACGGCCAGCACCAGCGCCCAGAGGACAGGGTCTTCCTCGAAGTCCCCGTGGGAGTGATGGGCGTGGCCGGCGGCGCCCCGCTGGGCCAGCAGCATCCCGCTGCGCTCGTGGAACCACCGGAAGACCCTGACGCAGCGCTCCACGTCCCGGAGGCTGACGAAGCTGCACTCGTCACTTTGCTTCCTCATGAAGTGCTGGGAAGCGGACAGCACATCGGTGATCACACACATCTCATCGTCGCTGACCACGGTGGTGTCCACCAGCCTCTGGACGATCTGCTGGATGTACAGCCTCTCAGTGGCATCGTTCAGCTGCCCGAAGTCCCACACGAGGGGAGTCAGGCTTGGCGGCAGAGCGTGCACCCGGTACACCAGCTGCCTCAGCGGCGTGCAGCCCAGCCGGTCCGCCGTCTCCTCGGCCCTCACCCGATAGCCCAGGCCGGCGGCCTCCAAGCGGGAGATCATCTCCGGGGAGTGCTTCCGGTAAGGGTTGCATGCCGCGATGATGTGCAAGCCAGAGCCTTCCGCCAGCCGCCGGCCGCCCACCGTGTGGTCGCACAGGACCTCCTTGATGCAGCTGACGGCTTCCGTCGTGTTGGCCTCATCGAAGAACAACACGGTGTCCAGCTGATGCTCCTGCTTGTTGACGAGGGCGAGGCTCTCCGCCTCCTGGACTCTGGCGTAGATCATGTCTGCTGTGGTCCCTCCGTGGACCTTGACCAACTTCACAGTGTCGGCGTGAGCACAGCCACGCCGCAGGTCGCTGAGGAACCTGATGAGCCTGGTTTTCCCACAGCCGGTCTCTCCCATGATGATGACGGGGATCCCGCACCGGAAGCGCATCTCGATGGCGAGAATCTTCAGCATGTTGTCCGTTGTGAGTTCGTACGTGTCGTCAGGGTCGACAGGCCACTGGATCCCTAACGCCATGCAGAGTCGCTCAAGTTTCTCGTGTCTGGGCAGCTGGTCAAAGTTGACATTGAAGGGCACCCTCTGGAGCAGCAGTCCCTGGTACAAGTCCATCGTCATGACGTCTTTCTTGATCACCCTCTTACTCACGGGATCGATGGCATCAACCATGCCTTCCGGGTTGGGCTGCAGATGGAAGCCTATGAAGGTCATGGACGTGTGGTCGCCGTTGAAGAACACGTATGGGTGGGGCTCCGACTCCCACCTCCTCCGCAGAGAGAAAGGGGCTATGTCTTCTTCCTGGACTCCGTCCATGGCGACCATGTGCTTCCCTGGGCTTTGGTCGGATGTGTGAAGTGTGGGTGTGGCGAAGTCTCGCGCCATGAAAATCATGAAGGTGACCACAAAGTTCTTGAAGCCCCGCAGCGTGTCCCCGACGATGCTGGGATTGCAGAAGACAGAGGCCTCACAGTCTTTGAGCTGGTAGTTCAGGAACCGCGCGAAGTTCCAGAGCTCGGACCAGGACGGGTTGACCACCCCACAGTAGATGAGGAGGTGCTGGATACACTCCCCGGGGGTGCCTTCGACCCGGCCTCCTTGGTACCGGAACGCATCGAGGTCTTGTTTCTGGTGGAACCGCTTTAGATACTGGAATGGTCTTTGGAAGGTCTCGCTGCGGAACTCTTCCTGATCCATCCCTGGCTCTCCGCAGCTCCGCTGGGGGTGGAGCTCCAGGCCTATCACTTCTTTGGGAGGCCTGCAGGTGACTTTGGGGAAGATATCAAGAAAGCTGAACTGGGGGGCACGTGTCCTCTGGAAAGGAGAGAGATGAACGAAACGGTTAGGAACACACTTCCTTTAAAGGTGCCTTTGGGTTTGAACCCTCCACACCATCTAGAAGGGGCAGGCTTTGTGGAAAACCACTCGTCACAAAGCAGTTTCTGCAGCCTGCTGTCTGCACGGGGGCTGCACCTTTGCCTGCTCGGGCCTGTTGGGAGTATCTGACCCCAAACCTCCCCACTGTGCGTGCGTGAGCGCAACACTCCCTTCTGTTAGGAAATGCGCATGACGGAAGTCTCCTTCCCCTCCCGGCGCATCGGGAAAGATGGTCCTTCCCAGTGGATGAATTCCCGCACCCAGAGGCACAGCCGGCCTTGACCTCAGGCACAGAGCATCAATGTGAGTCAAACGAGCTCAGGATGCTGCTAATTGATGAAACTGTCTTTATTCCAGGCATTTAAATAAATAGGTTTGAAGACTGATTTTTCTTTGCGAAGACCACCCTGCTGCTTTGCTGAGGCAGAAGTGGGGGCGCCAAAAGGGTTTGAGGGACCCCACCCCACCGTGACAGGACAGGGCCCGGGGCTGCACACCTGTTTGGAAGGCCTCTGAGGTGGCACCGAGTGCCGTTCCAGGATTTCGATGACGTACAAATGGCGCGGGTTCCGAAGCCACATTTTCCCATTTATATCCGTTAAGTGCTGCAGGATCAGGAGTTTGAAAAGAAATGCCCATATTCCAGTCTCCACCTAAAAACAGAATCACAGTCACGTGGGTCTGTAGGTACTTACTCAGAAGAACAGGTCGCCCACCCCAAGGACCTTCCTATCCTGGTCTTGGACATGATAAGACTGAGTACCAATACGGGACCGAGAAATTCCTTCTGCTGGGGAGGGGGCGGGACAGGACGTAGCAGGAGCGACTCATGCGCCGAAGCCGGCTTGTGGCAACCCCGGGGACACTCACCGAGGAGGTCACGTCGAAGTGGAACATCATGGGTCTCGTCTGGTACTGGGCGCTCAGGAAAGGCAGCAGGGAGCCCAGGACCTGGTGCTCGCCCACCTGACGGTCCACCAACCGGACAACTTTGAGAGGCACATTTCTACTGCTAAATGTCCTCTGCAGAGTTTCGTGCAGCCTCTTCACGTAGAGAGACTTGCCTGTAATGTTGAAGTAGGGAAAGGGGCTGTCAGGGCCGGACGGAACCATGGATAAAAGGATCCAGCACGAAACAGCCAAGTCACTTCTTTCCGTGCAGAATTCAAAGCAATGCAACACCACGCAGGATTAAAGAGCCCTCGCACTCCCTGGCTGTCCCCTGCTCATGGCGTGCACCGCTTCCCTGGGACAAGTGACACAATGCCAGCGTGCTGCGGGGGGTGCAGGGCTTTTGGTGGGATGAAGTCGCCTGGGCGGAAAGGCGGTGGGGACTAGGCATCTGTCCCTTCTCAGGGACCCCTTCCACTGGACCAGGTGAGAGAGTCCCGTTCCGTCCCGGGCTCTGACTTGCAGCTTCAGGTGAGGCCCGCCTCCATGAGACCCACTTTCCACCTTGTGGGAGAGCCTCATGTGTCCCAGTCACCTCCCGCCCCTGTGAGGTAGGGGAGAGCCACGAGGGGACCCAGGACCCCCCGGACCACCCACCCCAGCAGCCATCATTACCAACACCGGCTCTCTCCGAGGCCACGATCCCAACACACATCCGGTCCCTGAACACAGCTGCGGCCGACAGGGTCCGCTCGGGGACATGGTAGTGCTGAGCCAAGTAATCCTGGATGGCCTCGAGGGACGCTTGCGGGGTGACGGGCACCTTGTGCCGGCTGAAGGCCGAGGGCAGGTAGCAGTGCTCCCGCTCCGAGTCGCAGACCAGGACGAGCTGGTAGCCCTCCCGGTGGGGCTGCACGCACAGGCTCTGGAAGAGCGCCTCCACCCGGCAGGCGGCCTCGTAGCCCAGCTGGTCTGCGTGCAGCAGGCTGTACACGCCGCGGCCCCGGGCGCCTGGGCTCAGGCAGCGGCGGAGCAGCAGCGCCACCTCCTCGAAGGTGGTGTCTGGGGTGCACAGCAGCACCTCGTCGTAGGTGGGCAGCGGCTGCTGCGGGCTGTGCATGTAGACGGCCAGGGCAGCCAGCAGCACCTCCGAGGGGCCGCAGACGACGAGGTTGGGCTGGCCGGCCTGCAGGCCTTTCGGGAGCTCCCGGGTGACGGGAGGCCGGCCCTTTGTCGCCAGGGAAGCCAGGCAGCGGCCCAGGCCCTCGAGGTCCAGGCAGTGAGGCAGGAAGTCACACATGCCTGTCAGGGACTGTTCCATGATGACCCTCAGCTCGTCCGCCAGGCCGGACGCGCCTCTGAGCATGAGCAGCAATTCGTCCGTCTGTGTCTGAGGCTGCCACTGGGCCGCTGCGCTGTCGGGCCTCCGGCAGGCCTCCCAGACGTCATGGGCGCTGCAGTCAGGCTTGATGAAGGACAGCAGGGTGAGGGCGGCGTCCTCGGGCGGGTGCCTCAGGAGCTGCGTGCTCAGGTAGACCAGCTGCTCGGCCGTGTAGTAGTTGAGGTGAAAGTGCTCAGCTCGTTTCTGAGCCACGAAGTCCTCCCACTGGCGCAGGAAGCGCTCCATCTGCCAGCAGATGGCCTCCAGCATCAGGGCCAGCGGCCCTCGACCCTCCAGCGTCGGCAGCGTCCCCCAGCCGAAGTCCACCTGCACAGAGGCCTCGCCCTCGGGGGAGCAGCACACCTCGGCCCTCCAGTCCCGGAACAGCAAGTTCCCCGCGCAGTAGAGGTTGATGAAGGCATGGACCAGCCTCTCCATGTTGGAGAACACCTGTGGCCAACGGAAGCGGGAGGCGGGTGTCATGGACTCGGTCACGGGGAGGAGACTCACGCACACAGATCGGGGACCTGTGGGGCTGGAGCTCTGGGAGGGGACCGAAGGCCAGAAGTTGTAAAGACTGAGGAGACCGTGTGAAAACTACAGACGAACTTTTAAAAGAAAACCCTGGTAACACAGCGCAGAGCCTGTTCCAACGTGTTCCCGGGGCGGTTCCCGCAGTGCCCACGAAGCCTGGCTGCCGACCTTCCCTGCGAAGGCGCTTCAGGTTCTTGCCCATTTGCAGACTGAAGGGGGCAATTTAAATTTCTTTCTAAGGACTGGGCCCGAGGTCCTCCCCTCTCAGACACAACGCACTCTGCGGACGTTGAGAAGGAGCCGCTAACCAAAGGGCCTGTCACACTGGAGACGCCCCCTCGGTCCTGAGTCTGAAGGACACGCACTCCACAGGCCCACGAGTCCCCGGGCGGAGCAACTCCCAGCTATCAGTCCCCACGCAGCCCCTCCCTGCCCCCAGCCACTTGGCAGGGCCCGGCCCGGGAGGCGGTGCTCACCTCCGAGAACACCTCCACCTCCGTGCTGTTCTGGTCTTTCCTGCCAGACATGAGCATCAGTTTGTTCAGAAGCTCCTTCAGCTCCTCCAGGGAGTACTCCCGCTCCTCCTGGACGGCCCCGTGGCTCTCGGGCAGGACTAGGCGGAGAACCGTGTCTGGGGAAATCTGCGGGACAAGAGACATTCGGGGGTGGCTTGCGGCAAGGGGAGCCCCTACGATGTGCAGCAGCCCGTCCGCGCCCCTCTGCACGCTGTGTACGCTGGGCTGTGGGAGGCTCACCAGCTCGCCGTCGGCAGGCGCCTGGACCACGTAAATGCCTCTGCTGTTGATGGCGGTGGCCAGTGACAGGGATGACAGCTCCACGGACCCGTGACTCTCCTTCACCGTCTTCAGCCACTCCAAGTTCCGGGCAGAGTCGCACTGTTGGGACAGGAGAAGAGAGGGGTCGCGTCCTTCCTCTCTCCCCGCAGGGCCTTCGAGTGCAGGCTGGGCGCGGCCCCCAAGCACGGCAGGCTTCCTCGCCCACAACGCTTGTGCTCTGGGACACCTCTCCCAGGACACCTGTGGTGTGGTGTTGCTGTCTCCCTTCTGGATGTCCGGACGAGGTGGACAGAAGGCCAGATAGAGCGGGGCTGCCAGCCTCCTGTTCCCCATGTCCTTCGGGGGTCCCCAAGTCCAGCCAGAAGAACGAAAACTACACAAAAGACCTTTTGTCTGGATGGGTGCTTCCCGCAGAGGAAAGGAAAGCCCCCATCAGCTCCCTGCGCCGTGTCCCGTGGGGCCCATCTCAAGACGGGTCTGCTCACGAGGGAAGTGACGCCGGGGGCCCGCTCGGACCCGGTGAGGACGGCGCACGCAAACGGCAATGTTTATATTTTCTGATAGAAAATAAATTGATCCAAGTTGTGGAAAATACCAAAAGTCTACAGAAGTCACAACTACTGCCACCCGGGGACCCCCTGGTAACCCGGCGCACGTGTGGCAGTTGCGTGTCCCTCTGCAGCATGACACACAGAGGAAGCCCTTTCACAGGTGAGGGGAACCTCTCTGCAAACGTCGTCTCCGACGCCTGCGTGAACGAACACCCATCACGGGCGCACGACGGTGCGCGCTGGCCCCTCCGGTCCGGCAGAGCAACGCCCCCCAGACCCCACCAGCCCTGGAGCCAGAAGGAAGACTCACAAGCTTCCTGGGCAGGTGTGGGTCGTTTTCCAGAGCCTTCCACAGTTCCTTCAGAAGGTCCATGAACTCCTGGAAACCCGCACTGGCGTCCAGCTTGTAGAGCAGGCACGCGTAGCCTTGCACCGCGTCGTGGAAACAGGCCACGCGGTCCACGTCGATGTCGTTCTCCCCCGCAGAGATGGAGGCCAGGTCCACGAACACCTTCAGCTCGTGGATGCCTGGGGGTGAGAAGAGACCGGGGTGCGCGGGGCCCCTCGTGGCCAGGCAACTCTCCGAGACCCAAACCGCGGACTGTCACCCTTCCTGACCATACCACGGGATGTGCAGTCGGTTGTTAGGGGTTCAATCCACTGTCTGCTTTCAATAAGCAGCCGGCACCTTTCTCTCGCCCCTTACTGGACCGCACCAGCCACATCCGCCCTCGCTAACAGCAGCACCCGGCACCGCCCACAGTTTCACGTGCCTGATCCCACTGGGTACGTGCGGCACCGCGGCCTTGTGTTCACAAGAACGGGTGTGGCCGGTGTGGACCCTGACTGCAGCACCGGTGCACACCGGTCCCGGCCTGTCCTCCAACAGGACCTGTGACTGGGGCTCACCCTGCTCACAGGTGGCAGGCGGGAACCCTGCTCTGCTTGCCCCACAGACTCCAAAGACCAGACGTGACAGGGACCTGAGCAACAGACGCTTTTGGGACGGACGACCCGCTGCCAGGAAGACTAGTGCCGAAGGTCCCCCAAACCCAGCCTAAACCACAGGAGTCCACCTTGACCTTTACTGGAAACGAACCAGAGGAAAAACTCCAGGGGGCGAGATTTTAAAGAAAGCGATCCCCAGCAGTCACAGCAAAGAAGTCGTTTTCACACCAGAGCGTGAGAAGTGTGGTCCTGATAGAAAACCTACTGCCACTCACACGTGGCCCACGGCCCATCCCTCACGCATCCCATCTGCTTAGGGTGGCCAGCCCGGCCACCACGGGACACTCACCCCCGCAACCCCAGTGACAGGCCATACCTCCGAGCGCCCCCCGGACCCAGGCGATGAACTCTCTCCTCATGGCCAGCTCCTGCAGGGCCTGGAACCGGGGCTCATTGACATGCTCCAGCAGACTATTGGCGGACACAACCGACTCGTCGATCTCGTTCAGGGTCCCGTGGTGGAAGTTCTCAATGTGGTCCGTCTGCAAGACAAGGCTGTGCTGGGGCGGGGCCTGCCCAGCCGGGACCCCGGAGTCTGCCCAGGAATGCAGACCAGCCCGATGGAGGTCTTGCGGACCTCCTGGGCCGCGGTCGCTATGACGAGGAGACAGCACGAGGCTCTGCCCCCAGACCTGCACGCTACGCCCTCGTGCTGCCCCTGCCAGCGATACTCCGCTAAGCAGCTTGCCCGAGAGCCCGCTTTGCACTGTGCATTCTCAGTGTGTTTTGCAGGTAGGGAGGCGAGGGCCCCCACCAGGACCCACTCTAGAAGCCACCATGGGGAGCAGCTGGTGGGCGTGTGAGGCCACATCTTGTGCTGAGTTTTAACCGCCATCACACCTGGGTACACTGTTGCACAGGTCACAGCACAAGTGCTCGTCTTAAAACAGCAGAAGCCCAGGCTGACTTCCGAGTGGGAACAGAAAGGACTTCCTGTGCGTTGCTCCTGACAGGTGCGAGGTGACAGGTGGGGGAGGCCACAAAGCACCTGCTGTCCCTTCCCTCAGTCCCTGCCCCTCGTGCCAATGAGCAGTCACACCATTTATAGGCAGAAGTGAAAAGCAAGCCCCGGCATATCTGGCATCACGTGAAATACAAATGAGAGACTCCTGGAGGCGGCTGCGGACCCGCCCCGTCTGGCTCCAGGAGAGTCTGGGCGAGGACCCCCGCCCCGACCCCAGGGGTCCCCAGCGAACAACTCACAAGTCTCAATAAAATGTCCAGAACCTCGAAGTCACCGGTCAGGCCCAAAGCCGCTCTGACCTCCTGGATGACCCTCGCCACGTCGCCGGCCCGCTGCAGGCGCTGGTACTCCCTGATCTGCTTGACGCACCTCGGGACCCAGTCCCTCGGGGCCTCGGGGTCCAGGGCGCACATGATGCTGAGGTCGGCGGCCAGGCTGCTGGACCGATCCACAAAGACCTTGAAGACGGTGTCCACTTCCGCCAAGGTCAACTCTCCTGACTTCAGGTCCTCATACAGTTTACAGAACTTGTCCAAACAAGGACGATACAGCTCTTCGTACACGTCCTCAATGTCCACAGATGGCCGCGCCTCCTCCTCCTCCTCCTCCTCCGGCACCAGGTGCAGGGCCTCTGCGGCCTCCTCCCAGAGGGTCCGGAAGATGTGACTGTCCTTGAGCAAGTCCACCCTTTGGGCCATTTCCTGGACACTGGGGCTCAGACAGTAGTGTGTTACCCACATCAGGCCTGAGGAGGTGGGTGACGGACGCATCATCACAACACCATTCAGTCTTTTACCGCTGAGGTCTTCCGAGTGTCTGCGCGCGATCTCTCCGAAATCCACTTAAAGGCCAGGAGAGAAAGACCCGGGTCAGCCACGTGGCTCCGGTCCCCGCGGCCCCGCCCCCGGGGGAGACGCAGGCGGGCCACTCACTAGCCTTCTTTTCTCAGCAAGAATCCAGACGCCACCCTGCCCCCACTTCATCTATTCTCACAACCAAGAAAACGGAACTTCCAGGTGAAGATGATGATGGTCTGAAGATGGGTGCCCGCTACCTCCCCTCCCTCCTCAGGGCCAGCGGGGGTGGGGCCCGAGGCCTAGAACCTGGCAGCCCAGCCCGCCACAGGGAAGCTGGGTGTCAGAGGGTCCTGGCTGCAAGGGTGGCAACAAAAATGGGGGGGAGGGCAGACCCTCTGTGTGACAAGTCACCACAACCCCGTCTTCAGAGCAGTGGGAGGAGGCATTCCGGCAAGGACAACATGGGGGGGCTCCCCCCGACCCCCACACTCCCGGCAGCAGCCTCCACGCCTCTCCACCGCAGGCCGGGTGGGGAGACCGGGCCGCCCCAGAGCGAAGGCCTCCCCCAGGACACAGGCTGTTCGAGGCCGCACCTCCTCTGGCTTCTTGGTCAGCTGGCGAGGTGCCCCTCTTAATACAAAACATGGGGAAAGTCTTCAACGTAAGAAGTAGGTAGTGAAACCCACAGGTAAAAGTGACTCGGAGGAAACAGGAAACTACGTGAAAAAAAGGAAAACCTCTGAGCCCCGAAGAGCAGGAAGCCCAGGGAGGTAAGACACAGCAGCAGCCTGCACCGTGCAGGGAGCCCAAAGAGGCTCGTCCGAGAACAGAGGGCTCCCGCTACTTGAAGGCACGTGAGGACTGAGGTGTCGGAAGGTCAGACGGTCCCGCGGAGCAGACGGCTCCGAAAGCAGAGCAGAAACCAGAGACGGGAAACCGGGGAGGAGGCCCTGGAAGCGGACGCCGTGGCGGGAGCTGCGGCACCCAACTAAGGGCAGCCTGGCAGGAAGAACGGGACCCTGGAAACAGTTTGAGAGGTCTTTCCAGAACTCCAGGACTTGGATTTCAAGACTGCAAAGACGCATTTAACCGTGCCCAAGACAATGGAGGGAAAACTGACCCAAATTTCAGGACCCTGGGGACGGGAAGAGCTCAGGAGCTTCCAGAGAAAACGCCCCACGGGAAGCATCAGAGACTGGACCGCGTCCGACTTCCTGGAAGCAGCCTGACTTCCCCACGGCGACACCGCACAGGAGATGCAGCCACGTGTCCGAAGCCCCAGAGGGGAAGCACTTCTGGTCTGCATTCCGCCCGAGCCCAGCGATTAGCCCAGCAAGAGAGTGGACGTTCTCAGACTCACGAGCACCAAGGACCGAACCTCCTCTGCCCGCTTCTTGGGGGCATCACGGAAGATCGTGTTCCACTGAAACCCCGGTGGGAGAGCGTCTGGGGCCCAGGACACGGGCCCACCTGAGGTGCGAGGCCCAGGGTGACGCAGGGACTGGAGAGACCCCTCCCATTTGGGGAGACTCCTAACAGATCAAACTGATCGGAATTTGAGGAAATTCGAACAGGGAAAGAGTCTGGAATTGAGTGAAAAATAAAATACTGAGAACAGAACTGGGACAAGACAAGAATTTTCACTCTGGAGAAAACCAAGTGATTGCAAGAAGGTAAGAGGGTCACGGCTGGGCCGCCGAGGGGCTTCAGCGCCCTCGGGCCATTCGGAGTTGGAGAGCGAGCTAATGATGGAAATTACGTGAAGGAAGTCAGACAGGTCCGGACTGGGGGGCAGAGATGGGAAAGAGAGACCAAAGCCCTCGTCCCCCACGACAGGTAAGGCTCATCTGGGAGATCGGGGAGCAATCCCAGCATGCTCTTAAGAGGGCTGGGGCAAACGCGAGAAGAGGGGACACGGCTACCTCTGTCTAAAATTAACACACCCCAGCAGGTGTGGCTCAGTGGACTGAGTGCCAGCCCGCAAACCAAAAAGGTCATTGGTTCAATTCCCAGTCAGGGCAAATGCCTGGGTTGCAGGCCAGGTCCCCAGTAGGGGGCGCGTGAGAAGCAACCAGACACTGATGTTTCTCTCCCTCTCTACAGCCCTTCCCTTTCTCTCTCTAAAAATCAATAAATAAAGATGATTTTTTAAAAAGTTTTTAGAAAATTAAATCAACATGTAACTGAAAGCCCAACCTGAGGGAAGACTGCGAGGGTGACACGTTTTGACCGATTCTCCGCCGCCCCCTCCGTTTCGGTCCCTGAAATTCTCATAAACATCACCTTTCACCAGGTTCCGCACCCCTTCGCACAGCTTCAGGAGGCTGTCCACACGCCTCTTCTCCTCCTGCAGGAAGGCCAGCGCTTCCCACTGGCCGCGCAGCACCTGCTGCATGTCTTGCTTTTTCTCCTGGGGCGAAAGACTTTTTCTCTCTTGAAAAAACAAAGGACCCAATAGAACAAACACGCCTTCTTCCACGGCGGGCACGTCTTCCCTCTGCCTCTGACGACTGCACGCCCAGGGCCGGGGGGCGGGGGGGGGGCCCTGACGAGGCAGCCACCAGCCATGGGGCCTCAAACTGTGGGCACTCCCATGTGGCAGGAACACTGTCACCTGCCTGAGGTGTGGAAGCCACGAGGCACTAAACACAACATGTGATTCTGAGTGAAGTCTTCTGCTCCGTGGGATGTGGTGGAGACAGTTGGTCAGAGCAGAATGGGGTCTGAAAACCCCAGGCAGTAACGCCCCAGGGTGAGCCCTCCGACTTCAGGGGTGAAGCATCGGAACTTACTGAGACACACACTTAAGGTCTGGGGACGGACTGGCGCTCACATGGCTGAGAGCTTTTAAAAAAGTTCTTTCACTAGATCTCCAATATTCTATAACTTTGTGTTTGTTTTAAAAATAATAATAAACAACCCTGGCTGGTGGGCTCAGTGGATTGAGTGCTGGCCTGTGAAACAAAGGGTTGCCAGTTCGATTCCCAGTCAGGGCACATGCCTGGGTTGTGGGCCAGGTCCCCAGTAGGGGGCGCTCAAGAGGCAACCACACAGTGATGTTTCTCTCCCTCTCTCTCTCTCTCCCTTCTTTCCCCTCTCTCTGAAAAAGTAAAATCTTTAAAAAGAAGTAAGAAATTATAAATACATTCATCAATCTTAAAAAAAAAATCCCATCAGTTTAGTGGCAAGAAGAGACCCTCCACGAAGAGAGAACAAAGCCCGCCTTCCGTGGACCCGCAGGCACAGCCACCGCCCCCCTCGGTGTCGAACTCACTCAGCTCCCAGATGTCCAGGAACTGGCTCCGGTGGCTCCAGATCAGCTCCAGCTGTCCCACCAGCACCGTCCCACTCAGGAGGTCACGGGCTACTTCGGTGATGATAGAGTCAGCGGCAGCCATCAGAGTCTTGCCTTCCTCGGTGAAGTGTTTCAGCAGTTTCTCATCACTTCCTGTGCAGGTTGAGGACAGACAGAAAACCAGCGGGCAGCTGCTTCTCTCCCGCCTGCCTCTGCCCAGCTGAGGTCGCCGTGACCTCTCGCTGCGCCGCCCGGCTTCCCCTTCCTGCGGGGGCCGCAGGCCTTGCTCACACGCGTGTCCCCAGCACTTCCTGGATCAGGAACACGATCGCTCCAACGGCCGCAGCCAGCTGGGGACCGTGTTTCCCAGGTCGTTAAGTCCTGTGCCCATCAGGGTCCTTACGGGACACATGACCTCCCCTGACATCCCCCTTCTCCAGAGTCCCCGGGGCAGAAAGACACACAGGGCCCGTCATGCCTTCACACCCAGTGAGGGACCCGCACGGCCCACGGGGACGGACACGGCCTTGCGAACATCTGAATGTGAATTTCAGGATCAGTTTGGAGGGCAGGGTTTTGAAAGATCCTTATTGTGACCACTGGGAGAGTTCTCTCCACGTGGCACCTGGGTCAAACAGCATTATGAGAAGGGGAATTTATCTGCGCCATTAAAAAATCAGTGTAACAGCTTCAGTCATAATTGCAAGCCTTTGGAAGCACCCAGACGTCCTTCGGTTGGAGAAGGACAAACCCTGGACTGTCCAACAGCACCATGTTAGCCGGTGATAAAGAAAGAGACGAGAGCTACGGAAAGGAAACTCCACTGCACACGCCCAGGCGGGAGAAGCCCGTCCCGACGCCCATGTGCCACATGTATGACCCTCTCAAAAAAAGCAGAGCTCAGGGGGCAGCGGAGGGGGGCGAACAGGCACAGCCCAGGGTGCCTCGGGGCAGCGACGTCGCTCCGTCCCATCCCAGCCCAGCCGTGTACGTTTACACGTCTGTCCGACGACAGACATGCACCAGCAAGAGGGGACGTTGTGCAGATGCTGCGCCCGGGTCACTAATGACGTGTCAGTACTGCGTCATGGACTGCAAGGAACAGACCGCACAAAAGCAAGACCGTCGCGGGCGAGGTGGGGGGAATGTGCACCTCTCTGTGCTGTGTGCCCAGTTTTTCCACAAACCCCAAAACCGCTCTAAAAAATAAGGTGTATCACTTAAAAAATATACAGTCATTGCACAGGACTAGCTTTCAATGTACAGAGAAGTCCCCCCTGAGTGATTTGACTTTATCCCTTTAAGAACCCTGCCACGGACGCAGCTTAGCTTTTTCTTTTTGGTTATTCTAATAATTTGATAAGATCAAGGCTCAGAATCAACTAGCGTGGGATTTTTAGATCCAAATCCACTGCTTTTCCTCTAAATCTGAATCTGACGACGTACACACAAACCGGACCCCTCCTTGATCGCAGAACATCTGGGCATGGTGTGGGGGGCCGGAATCAGACACACTCAGCGCTCTGTCCCCCCCACACACACACAAGACTCAGGCACTCTGGCCTCCGAGTGACACAGCGGTGTCAGAGTGGGACACTCCCAGGTTTGGGCTGAGGGTCTGGATGCCTGGTCTCTTGGACCCAGACCTTGAGGAAGTCCCACGCCACCGTCCAGCTGAGTTTCCTCATCTGGAACAGGGGGACCGGTGAGGGACATGCAGGACAGCTCCCGGGACCCCAACACCGCTGCACAGTGGGGATGCACGGGCAGGCGGCCAGCAGCGCCAGTTCCTAGTCACACACAGGACACCTGGCCCTCGCTGGCCCCCCCATCCAGTGTACCTCCCGGCCAGACCTCAGCCAGTCTGGAGCATCAGGTCACGTGCCTGTCCCCACAAAAGCCAGCGAGACACCGTGTGGACACCCCCGCCCACATACCATACAGTCTGAAGAGGTGCTTGATGTCCGGCCCCGTGAGCAGGTGCTTCAGAACCTTGGGCGGGTCATCGATGGGGCCCCGACTGTCTCTCGGCCAGGACTTGGTGATCACGGTGGACACAAGAGTGCCAAACCGGTGCAGGTCTACGCAGGACAGTCCCTCCAGGACGCTGGTCTGAGACTGCGAGGGGTAAAGAGAAGGGAGCATGGGGGGCGGTTCTCACTGGCTTGTTTTTAAATGACAGAAGGGAGTTAGCCAATAGCGTTTCAGCAGTCTCTCGTGACTAGTTTCACAAAGGTTCAAAATAACGCAAAAGAGTAAATACACTTAACACCTTTCTGAGGGCATTTTGCTTCGCTGGGAGCAAAGACGAGAGCCGTGGAAACACACACACACACATGCGCGCGCGCACATGCACACCCCTCCCTCTGCTCACCACCAGTTTCCACGTTTTCTCCTGGACGTTCACATCACCGAAAACACATCACATACGTTGCATTCCTAAACCATAATCCCTTCTGAGGCTGCCTCGGACGGCACCCACGTCTTAACTCTTCCTGCTTCCCCACCAACCAAACGTTTTCATCTTTAGGAGCCAAGGTTTCACAGGAAGTCTCAGTAACGAGTTAAAAAAATAGAGGTCGAGTTAGCTTGCAAAGACACATTCTGATACGTAAAAGGACAAAAGAACGCCGCACCCAGCAACTTATAAAACGAATGAAACACCATGACCAAGTGGGGTTTATCCCAGGGGTGAAAGTCTCATAAATGTAATCCATCAAATCGACAGGAAAAAAGTCACACGATCAACAGTAGACGCAGAGAGAGCATTCCGCACGTCTGACACCCCGTTGTGACAAAGACTCCCAGCAAACAGGAGCAGGGGGACGGGCCCGCCCGGTGGGGAGGCATCGTGAAAAGCCCCCAGCTGACTTCACGCTCACGGGGGAAAACAAGCCGAGGACAGGCCCCCCTCCACGCCTGCGCCACACTGGACGTTCCGCTCCCGCCAATCGGGAGTGACCGAGACATACAAGACACCCAGACTGGGAGGGAAGAAGGAGAACTCTCTTCGCAGGTGACACGGTCTCGTTAGAGGGGCCCCTGGAGAACACGCACACCTGGTAGAAGCCCAGAACTTGCACGCACGCACGCACGCACACGCACACACACACTTTAAACGCAGGCTGTCCCCAGGGGGCGGTATCTTTCTACTTTGCAGGAAAAAACCCTCAGTGACTGGATGAGACTTTGGCGTCTCCCACGGAGCACGTGCCAAGCAGTGTCAGCAGACAATGCACACACGGAGCAGTGACTTCACAGGGACCTTTAGGAGCAGCCTGTGACACTGCGGGATTCGAGGTCACACGGGAGTGGCTGTGACCGGACCGCCCCTGCAGGCTAGGAGGGGACGTCCCTGCCCATTCTTGGGGCAGGGCATGATCTCAGCACCGGCCGGCGCTTACTGGCCCTTCTTGCCGAGGCCGGAGGCAGCTGCGACCCTGAACGTGCCCTGGTGGGTGAGTGTGTTCACCTGGCAGGCCGAGCTGATGGCTTCGATGACGCAGTTCTCAAAGCACTTGGCCACGCCGTCCTCCGCATCCGCACCCTTCCAGTCCACACTGCAGAAGGCCAAGATCTGGGAGCGAGGACTCTCCTGTGGGGAGATAAGGGAGCGGTCACAGGTCTGGGCGCGGTGCCCCAACTCCACGGGACAGAGACACCGCCTGGGCTTACCCTCCCACTGTTTTATCAGCTCCCCATCGTCGGGGGCTTCTCCGCACCCCTCACCGGACCTGTCCTTACTGCCCCCCCGACGGGAGACCAGCGAGAAGACTGCGACCCAGCCTCGCCCCACTTGGCAGAGGCAGCTCCTGAGGGCAGTTTGCAAACACCTGTGGGTCGTGGAGACCGGCTCGATTCCGCCTGGCGGACATCTCCCTGCCCAGACTCACCGCATGGCAACCTATCAAATGCTTGTCTCGTTGAAAAGTCAACCTCACGTCCCCAGATCACAGCCCTGCCCTGGAACGAGGGCCGGTTGTGTCTTCCCCACGCGTCGCCGGGCCTGGCAGGCTCCTGTCCTGTCGCCACCAAGACCCCCGGAGGTTCCCCAGGCAGCAACGTCTGGTCCCCTTGTTCTTCCCACGTCCTGACTGGGTCCCAGACATGAGCTGCACCGGCAGCAAACATGTGGCCACACCCCCATCCCTGCACACAGCGGGGGCGTCCGTCCAAGCAAACGCCCCCTTCACCTCGACCTCTGGCCCCCCAAAGTCCGCATGTCTCACCCTGCCTCCCCTGAGAGAACAGCCCCGACCGCGGGTACCTGCTTGAGCCTCCCCTCCATGTCCCTCAGCAGGGACTCCCGCCAGCCGTGCTCCGCGGGGAAGTCGATCTCCACCAGCTGCCGCCAGACCTGCAAAAGCCACATGTCGGTGACAGCCCCCATGACACGGAAGTGCCACGAGAAGGAAGGCTGCCGTGGAAACGCAGAGAGCGTGGGACTGCGAGGACGCCCCACCCGGCCCTGGCTGCTGCCACTGAGACCCGCCAGCGGGAGTCGGGGCCCCCACCTCCGCCCCCGAAACACAGGGCCCTGACTGGACAGGTAACCCGTCTGGTCCTTCGCTGTGTAACTGCTCTGTGTTGGGGAAGAATTTCCCTCCAACGTTTTGTTTTCGAAAACATCAAACTTACGAGTGTCACAAGAAGCCCCTGCACCTCCATCAGATTCCCAGACATTAACCTTGAACATGACTTTCTCCGTCTTCAGTTCCCCTCCAAGTGCTTCCCCTGCAGAGCCCCCCAAAGGTGAGCCGCCGGTGCTGTCCCCCGCGGCCCCCCGAGTACGTGGCCCACCTCCCACACAGCACAGTGAGCGTCACGCTCAGGGCGGTGCACGTGGGCCCGACACTGTGCTCTAGGACCCGTCCCCAGCCGTCCCGCTGCTGACTCTGTCCCGACTCTTTGGGTCCAAGGTGCGACCAGGGGACACGCACTGCAGCGGCCGTCATGCCTTTCTCCAGTAACATGCTCTCCGACCCTCTTCCTCCGTGAGCAACGTTTGCAGTTCTGAGAACTCCGGGCCAGCTGTTCCGGAGACCGTCCCTCACGCGGCCGCGGCTGCCAATTCTCCCACAATTCGATTCAGATTGAACTTTTTCTCGGGGGCTTGAGCCGCACTGAAAATGCACCTTCTGTGGGTCGGGCAGGGCGAGACGTCACACGTCCCCGAGACTCCCGTCCCACCTCGTGGTGGCTGCAGCCCTCGGGGCCTGATGCGGCTCCCGCTGCCTGGCGCTCTCACCACGGGTCCCAGCGCTGGGGCGGGTGCCGTGCCCGCCTCAGCCAGCATAGAGCCGGCCCTGCGGCAACCGCTTCTCCGGCGTTCATTGGTCAGCTTTCTTGTGTGAAATTTCAAAAGTGAAAAAAAAACGGCTTTCTTTCTTTTTTCCTTCCACCTGTTTTCCTGTTAACACATCTGAAGCGCCACTGATGTTGGTACTCATCTGTCCTAGGTGTGGCTGCCGGGGTCCCCTTTTCAGGCCAGCTTCTGCTTTATTTAAAACGCGAGGGGTCTACAGAGACACGTGACTAGCGTGATGGTCTCCCTCCTGTTCACGTCCGCCACGGTCGAGGGCCGGCTCTCACAGCTGGGACCGCCGCAGGGACAGCTTCTCAGAACCCAAAACGCAGACCGTGTCCCGGGAACGTCCTCTGCCACCCCAGGAGAGCACGCTGCCTCGGTCCTGCTGCCTGGTGACAGGTCACCGTGCGTCGCAGCGTCTGGCAATGAGGGACGTTTCGGGCTGGCCTTGCCTGTCACCTGCCGGAGTCGGAGGCCCCGTCCCGGAGCTTGGGTCTCAGTCAGTGGGGACGGTCCTTGAACTCTGTGGCGGGCTCTCTGGGCGCCAGGGGGGCTCTCGGACCCAGGGCTATGTTTCTAGGCTGGCTCAGTGGACAGAGATGGGAACTGTTGCTTTTTTTAAACTTATATTTAAAAAATTTTTTTTCACTTCCAGTTTACATTGATTTCAAATGCACAGCAAAGTGGTCAGACAATCACACGCCGGACGGGAAAGCGGGGTCCCCCCGCTGCCCCCGCCCCACCCGCTGTCGTCACGACACTGTTGGCTGGCTCCCCGTGCCGCGGTCCGCGTCTCTGAGGCTGCTCTGCTGCCGACTGGCACGGCCTGATCGCCTCCCCGCCCGGCCCCTCCCTGACACCTGTGGCTCTGTCCTCGGCTTCTGAGTGTGCTTGTCTATTTTGCTCATGAGACTCCGTGTGTGAGTGAGATCACATGGGACTCATCTTTCTGACACAGCTCACTCCACGTAACACCCTCCGGTCCGCCCGTGTCGTCACAGAAGGGAAGAGTGCCTTTTTTTTTGACAGCTGTGGAGCACTGCACCGTGCGTGTGCCTCACGGCTGGTTCTCCCCCTCGCCCACCGCTGGCACCTGCCTCTTTCCGGACACAGCAATGGCGACGGCAAGCAAGGCTGCAGTGACCTGGACCGCGCGTTCACGCTGCTGCCTGAGCTCCTTCTGACCCCGAGCCCTCCTGCCCGCCCTCGTCCACGCTCCCTTCTGCACAGCGAGGAGAAGCCTGGCTTCCAGCAGCACGGAACCCAGCGTTCCTGTGCTGAGTCCTGCACATTCACAGGAGTGTGAGCATCGAGCATCGCTACACCTGCGTCGGTGCCGACCACCAAACCTCCGCTGGATTCCAAGTAGATGTGCATCTTCTCGGCTCTCGGGTTGAGTGCTGAGCATCTGGGCTCCGAGGACTGGGATGGAGGCCCTTTGCCTCTAGTGGGCCACCGACATGTGAGAGTCATCAGTCCCTGTTCATGCAGCGTCTGCTGGGAGATGCTGTGGTTGTGCTTCTAAAGTGACCCTGGAAGGCGGCAGCCCACAGTGGCCGGCCCCGTGAGGTCAGAGGGCCCTCGGGTGGGTGGCTTGTCCCAAGCTCTAGACAGCAGCATGGAGTTGGCGGTCTTCAGGACCGCGGGCAGGGTCAGCTGCCCACTTTGCTTCGAGGCTGAAGGTGAGGGGCCTGTTCTCGGGGCAGCTCGGCCTGCATCCCCCCAAACCTTGGGTCCCTCCTTTGTAGAACGGGGACAACAGCAGCACCTGCCCCAGTGTAGACACTCAACATTTAAATTATCGTTCATGTTAGTTCACCACCCGCACAGCATTTGACTCGGAATCACTGTCTCTCGTCAGGGGCCGACAGCTGTGCACGCTTCCATCAGGCTCGCAGACGGACACGGTCGGGAACCCGGACAGGACGCTGAACCGTCCGCCCCTCTGTCCAGGCGGCCGCTCCGTCTGCGAGCCCTATGACCCTTTCATCCAAAGCACAAGTCCGAGTCCACAGCTATCTTCCCAGGGCCCAGGTTCTAGTCTGTTCTGTGCCAGGGTCTCTACTCGCAGGTGTTTTCTATCTTAACGGAAAGCAGGCGCTGACCTAGACGCCTGGTCCTGTTAAGAGGCCAAGAAAAGTCTGGAAATCAGTGGTGAGCCGCATGTTCATGTTATAGCGCCTCCAGTAGACGCAGGAAGGAAACGCCTCAGGCTGGTCTATGAAGTGAGTGTGGAACCGGTTCCTGTGGTGGGCACGTGACTCCCACCCACCTCACGTCTCCCACCTGCCGTGCCATTACGGTCACGTTAGCAGCCGGTCAGGAAAACGGCGTCACCTCCAGTGACCGTGACCTAGCCAGCAATGCCTGTGTGGCCATCACCCCTCTGGTTTTCCTGGAACAAGGAAAACAGGCCTCGCTCGACAGAAATGGGACGTGTGGGTATCGGCCGTCCAGACCCAGACCACAAAGCCAGAGGTGTCCTGTTCCACGGACACAAGACTGAGAGGAACCTTGCAGGAAGGGTAAACGTCATTTCATGGGTCACACTGTCTCCCAACACCCTGGGAGCACAAGAGGTCTAACCTTGGCAACTTCTAGGACACAGGAAGAAGACAAAGCCACTTAAAACCCAACGGGTGTGGAACAGATTCTTGGCCGGCAGGTACCCGGTCCAGCCACTGCCTGGGACTCGTGCCCAAGGCACTGCCGCCAGCCGCCCTGGTCCGTCACCCTCCTCCTTAGTGTGCGATTCTATTCGACGCCTGTCTTTCTGGAATCCCTTCTGAGTCCTACCTCGTGGGGCTGTTTCCTCTCTTCCTCACATTCAGACGCTGTTCTGCCCAGCTTCCCCTTCAAGCACTTCCTGCTTTCACCTTTTCTTCCACACCCAACATCATAAACTTGACTCGTGACCTCAGTGCTGAATCAGACCCCGAATCCCCCATGCAAGTCACCGCCCTGGACAAGGTCGGCCTGACGCCAGGGCACCCAGCGGGCAGCATGACCAGCGTGTGGCCGTCCACCACCTGCTGGGGAGCAGTGGGCCTGGAAGCCCAGGTCCGGGCTGGTGGCACCCGATACCCAGCCGAGCTCCCCGCACTCGGGATGCAGGCACAGCCCCCGGTGTCGCGTCCCTGTGCAGACACACGCCCCAGGCTCTGTGGGGCATGCCGGCCGGCTCACCTGCATCTCCTGCTTGTACGTGAATGTGACATCAGTGAGAGCAGAGGCACCTGAGTTCTGGAACATGCTCTTATTGAAGATTCCCCGGAGCCACGATTTCGTGGTATTGAGGGCTGTCTGGACGATGGTCCTCACTGAGCTCTCCCCAGTTTTACTTCCCTTCCCGTCTGCTGAATCCTGTTACCCAAGGGGAGAGAAAGAGTTCATCGCTCTGGCACTGTGCCCCGCGCAGTGCGGGCAGGAACGTCTTCCCCCTGCTCGGGAATCGCCCAGCCACCTGAGGTTCTGCACCACCCTCCTCGCTCCCTCCAGGGTGAGACCCGAGGGGACAAGGCATACAGGTTCACCGCCACCTCCTGATGCGCAGAACAGAGCCGGTGTTGGCCAGGCACCAGTGATCTCAGAGGACGGGGCCGGCCACCCTGTGTCGCCCCCGCCACCCGGGAACTCGCCAGCCTCCTTTCGGAACTGAGGCTGCTTAGAATCCCACCCCCTCCCTGGGCGTGACCTGGGGGGGTTGCACTCTGCTCACCGCCAGAGGCTTCAGTGAGACCACTGCGCGCACAATTTTTGCAGACAAGGCCAGCAGCTCGTGCAACAGGTGATCTTTGGAGAGTCTGCAGACAGTCTGGTGCAGCTTCAGGCACACGGTCGGGTAGGACAGGGCCAGAGGCTTCTCCAGGACACTGGCTCGCAGACAGTGAGGACAAGCCGCTGAGGTGGGACACCCGAGAGGACAGCGCCCCCCCCAGGAGCCCTCCCTTCAAAACACGGCCAGGTAAGGCATGTATTTGACCCCTCAGGGTAACAGCAGTAAATTCAGTCCGTCTAGAACTTGTGACCCAGGGGAAAAGCAAACAGCATTTTGGGCCCCTTCTTGGTCTGAACTGTTTTAAGAAAAACAAGTCGAACCATTCCAAGGAAATCCCCTTGCTTGGAAAATGGCTAGGGGGGTCTATCACAACGCTGAATGGCACTAAGTTTGAAAACAATCCGGGGAGACCCCCGGGGGAGGGACCCTGCACTGTGCACAGTGTGACCGCACAGTGTGACACAGAAACCCACGGGGAAGGGACCCGAAACCTCAGCAGTCCTGGCTATCACTTCCCTTACAACACAGGATGGCCACCTCGCTCACGCAAAGAAAGAAGAGGGACGCACACTGACCGGTGACCTGCCAGTGAGGGCAGCCAACACAGGACACAGCCACCCAGTGAGGGACGGCCCCGGGCCGGAGACCAGAGAGGCCACGTTTCGCTCTTCTACTTACTTGTCCTGAAACATGTCCAGGAGGTGCAGCAGCATTTTCAGGGTGTCCCTGACCTCCTAGGGCGGGGGGGGGGGCGAGTTGCAGGGCGAGGTGAGTTACGCAGCCGCTGTTCCTTCCCCACTTCCTACAAACGCGCTGTACAGGGCTCGATACTACACTTACATCCTTCAGGAATAAGACTCGGGGCTTAAAATTACACCACCAAAAAACAAAAAAAGAAAAACAGAAAAACGTAAAAGCAGCCCTGGCTGGTGTGGCTCAGTGGATTGAGCGAGGGCTGGTGAACCAAAGAATCGAGGTTTGATTCCCAGTCAGGGCACATGCCTGGGTTGCAGGCCAGTTCCCAGCAGGCGATGCACATTGACGTTTCTCTCCCTCTCTCCTTCCCTTCCCCTCTAAAGATAAATAAATAAAATCTTTTTTAAAAATTAGCCTCAAATGTTTACTGAAAAAAATGTAAAAGCAATAATACAAGAACAAAAAACAATAAAATGGAATAAAATTATACCACCGTTGCCACCCCCAAAACGGGGGAGCTGCCGGGAACTGCGGGTGTGCCAGCCCCGGGGTCAGCTTCCGCCCCTGCCTCGCACAGCCATGCAGATGACCGGCCGAGTGTCACTGCATCGCAGCAGGGGCCCTCCCAGCCCGAGGGTCTAAGGGCTCCGCCCGGCCCCCTGGTGCGCCATCGCTGAGCAAGGGCTCCGGTGCCTCCTGCAGGGGACAAACCTCCACCTTCCTGTTGGAGATTTCCTTCAGTCCTTGAAGACGGTGGAAGGTCCCCAGCAGACAGTCCAGGACGTGGGCCGGAGAGCGACTCAAGTAGTGGATGAATTCTTGCAGGTAGAAGACCAGGGTGTCCAGGGGCAGCAAACTGAACCAGGAGCGGAACAGGTGCGCGTCCAGGTCCAGCAGGTGCTTCTTCCCCTGCATCAGATGCAGTAACTTCTTCCTGGGGGAGGGAAGGAGGAACCGTGAAAGGGTGGTGACATTAGTCACACAGACTCAGTGACATCAAACTGCATTAGGGGCGAGGTAGAGTGTTCAGTTGTTAAGACAATTTAAACGCTAAGCAGTGAATCAAAAGGCAATCGAACAATGACATACAAGAATTCACTGTGGAGGGACCTTGAGGACATTGTGCTGAGTGAAACATCCAGTCAGAAAAGGACAATCCTGTGTGCCCCTCCCATATGGGTGGAGGACCTGAGGGGGGTCACACCCACAAGGACAGAAAGGAGAGGGCTAACCAGGGGCCCAGGGAGGGGTGGGGAGGGAGTGTGTCCTGTGGACAGAGGTTCAGCTGGGGACAGTGACAAAGGGTGGGGTGACGGCTGTGGAGGAACGTGAATGAGCTCAACGCCACCGAGCCGTGCACCTGAAACCGTGGAGCTGGAGACCTGCACGTTATACGCACATTCGCACGAGGAACAGCCCGCTAAGGATTCAGCATCTACCAGCCGCACTGGAGCGTCACTGCCATCGGGCACTGTCGCTGTGCTGTGTCCAGGCGCTGCTTGGACTCACTCGTGTTCTGCGCCCCGGCAGCAAGTGCGCCCCGGTGGCTCCTTAGCCGGCCACGGCGCCTGGGACCCACTCTCTACGCTGTCCCTTGGAGTGTGGCTGGCTCCCGGCGCTGCCGGAAAACGTGTCTCGAGGTGCGCCCAAGGGCCAGCACGGCCGGAGCTCCGCCTTCTTTCCTGTGTGCGCATGCGCCTTTCTGACCCCGCCCACCGTCCACACACCGTGCCTGTGTCCGCGTGTTGGCTTCTGTGAGTGCGTTTACACCAGGAATGACATCCATGACCGTAGCTGAGCCTCACTTCAAAGGGCGCCTTCCAATAGCAGCGAAGAAACCATGACGACGGCTTTACTCCCCGAGCCCTTCAGGCCAGACCCCGCAGTGGGCGGGGCGGGGCGTGTACCAGCCCGGCCTCCGATGGAAGGCCCCACGCACAAGCAGGGGGGCGGAGCTTGGGGAGGAGCCCCGGTATTCCCTTTTTGTACTTAATTCACATTTATGTTTTCTTCGGTTTTGATGTAATGTTTGCACTTCTGTTCAATTTACCATTTTCTTTGGTGGATTCTGCTTTCCACGTCCTCTCTAAAAGGACGGCACTTCACTACTGTAAGACTTTCAGTGGACCCCTTTCGTATTTCTCTTTATATGCCTCGTATGTTTAAAATTGTCAAGAAGTCACTTTACGAGGAGAGACACATCCCTCGCACCCCGACGGCAGTCCGCCGAAACTGACGTGCACAAGCGGGGGACACTACTTACCCGTCCGCTCTCTTTTCCCGGAATTCCTTGAAAGGGATTCCTTCGAGGGCTGCCCAGGCCACCTCCTGCTGAACCGTGGAGTCCCCTCCGCAAGCGGGCCGCTCCGTGCAGTGGTGGAACACAGGCAGGACGCCCACCCAGAGGTCGATCCTGTAGGTCACGCTCTTGTGGCACAGGTCTACCAGGGCCTCTCGCCACCTGGAAAAGGACCAGAGACCCTGCAGTGAGCCGAGGGTGGCCCGAGGGGCCTGAGAGCCCCCCAGGGCAGGGCCAGCTCCTGCTGACAGGAGCAGACAGGAGCACCCTGTCTGAGCACTGAGCACCTGGCCCAGGCAGGAACGGGGTCGCGTGGGAGACAGGGTGTCCTCGGCCTCACCCACCAAAGCACTGGGAAGTGAAGAGGCCCCTGTTGAGCCCTGCAGCAAACCCCCAAGGACAACTGTCCCATCTTCCTTGACATAAAAAACTGAGGCTGGGGTGGCCCACGCCAGCAGGCCTGTGACCCCAGGGAGTCTGGTGGCAGTGAGGACACATGAAAGCTGTTGGGAACCTTACACCTGGCTTCTAGCTAAAAACACTGCATTGATTACAGGAACCTGTGCGCTCCACAAAGCCAATCCGCTACAGGTACATGAGGTGTGCATGCGCTCCCCAAGCCAATCGGCTACAGGCACATGAGGTGTCCACGAGTACCAGTTGCACCCAAGTAATCAATAAGCGGGCCCTTCTTTGTCTCAGGCTAGCCAATAGCAAGCAACCTAATCTTCTTCCTCTCCCTCCCCCCCTATATATATACCCAGTGCGGAAAAATAAAGTTTGCAGCTTGATCAGAATCTTTTGTCTTGCTGCCATTCTTCGCGCCTCTTGTCCCCCCAACATCATTTGTTCTAGGTAGGTGGTCGAGCCCCAGTTGATTGCTCCGCGGGCCGGAGCAAGTGGCACCCAACGTGGGGGCCCCGATAGCCGCCGGAACAAAGGGCCGTCCCCGCCAGTGACTTCCCCGCACAGATTGGATCGCCGCGACTACTCGACCGCGAGACAGATCCAGGAGCCCCTCCCCTCGACGGCGAACTCGGCCAGGTAAGGCCCCCAATCATGGGACAAGCATGTTCACAAAGTGATATTTTTATAAGTCAATTAAAGCAAACTCTCAAGGTGCGAGGAACTCGAGTTAAGAAAAAGGATTTAGTTTTATTTTTTGACTTTATATTCAAAATGTGCCCCTGGTTCCCCCAAGAGGGGACGATTGACCCGCAGTGTTGGAACCAGGTCAGAGATTGCCTTAATGACTATTATCGAGTCTCTGGCCGCGAGACCGTCCCTATCACCGCCTTCAGTTATTTTAATCTTATTAAAGAAATCTTAGTCACTCATGGGCATTCTCCGGATGTCCAGAGCCTTTGTAAAGAGGGACAAGAAGTTCTAAAAAATCAATCCCGGCCCCCTCGAGGGCCCCTTCAGCCAAAATCTCTGTAAAGAGGGACAAGAAATTTTAAAAAATCAATCTCGGCCCCCTTCGAGGGCCCCCTCAATTTGCCCCTCAATTTCTATTAACATAGAGGAAGAGATTAAAAAAAACCCCTAACCCTTCCCGTAATTCCTCAAATAACCATGTCGACCAATTAAACCCAGCAGAAGAGGCCGAACTCGAAAAAGAGGCAGCTTCTTACAATAACCTTGACTGGCCTCCTCTCTCTTCTGCCCCCTTACTTAAACATCTCCCAGCTTTTCGGCCGCCCCCCTATGCACCCTCAAACCTACCGCCCGCAGCCACCCGTATTCTAGCCCCCATTCTAAACAACCCCGAGCCACCAACAATCCACCAAAAACCCCTTCTCCAAAAAACCTCCATTCAAGAAGCCTTAATTCTCATTCGAGAAATCAAGGCCGTGGCTAAAGAATTCACTGATTTAACCATATCCACCCTCCACTGAATTACTAGCTTTCCCCAAACTGCGGAGAGTAGACCTAGATACCCAGACTGCTGACATTTTAATAGCCACACATCAAGCTCTTAACATATCTAACCCTCACCTAGCCAAGGATTGCTGGTTATGTGTGAGCCTAGGCACCCCCATGCCTTTAGCTATTCCTGTCAATATATCCACCCTTAATAAATCACAGCTACAATGTAACCCTAGTTTACCTTTTAGAGTCCAACCTACAATATTTCCACCCTCCCCGTGCTTACAAGGCATAGCTCAAAATAATAGCTTTGACATTCCTGTCGGCTTTATAGAGTTTACTAGTTGTAGAAGCATAACCAATTATAGTAACCCCCTTTGCCCAGGTCATGGACAAATATTCGTTTGTGGAAACAACCTGGCCTTTTCAGCCTTGCCCGCTAACTGGACCGGGCTATGTGTCTTGGCTACCTTACTACCAGATATAGAGGTTCTCCCCGGAGACGAGCCTGTCCCCATTCCCAGCTTAGACCATATTGCGGGGCGACAAAAAAGAGCATTAACATTCATACCCTTATTAGTTGGATTAGGCGTCTCTGGAGCAGTTGCCACAGGGACTGCAGGATTGGGAGTCACAGTCCATTCATACACAGAGCTCTCTAAACAACTAATTGATGATGTCCAGGCTCTGTCCAGTACCATTAGTGACATCCAAGACCAAGTAGACTCCCTAGCAAAAGTTGTCCTTCAAAACAGACGAGGTCTAGGTTTACTTACTGCAGAACAGGGAGGTATCTGTTTGGCTTTACAGGAACACTGCTGCTTCTATGCCAACAAACCAGGCATCGTCCGAGACAAGATAAAACAGTTACAAGAAGACTTAGAAAAAAGAAGAAAGGAACTTTCCAAACACCCCCTTTGGGGTGGACTCAACGGAATTCTCCCCTACCTCCTTCCCCTCTTAGGACCTTTAGTTTCTATCACCCTCATCCTCTCCTTTGCCCCCTGGGTTCTTAGACGTATAACCAACTTAGTCAAAGACCAACTTAACAGTGTGCTAGGAAGACCTATTCAGGTGCACTATCAACAATTAGAAATGCTGGAACATGGAGCGGACTCTGAGCCGTACAGCCGCTGGGGTGCTAGCCCACGATTCCTGCCAGGTTCCCCTCCCTGCGGGAGCAGCATAACCCTCGAAGGTATGCTTCACAGCCAAGTAGCTGTGATAGACACCGCTGGGTGCAAGGCAAAGCACTGCAAGGAGAGGCCTGTACATACGGCCACTTCGAGTCTCCTGAGAGGTAAGCTGACTTGCAAAGAGGTTGGTACCCAACTCCTCTCCTCCCAAAAGGTACCCTACAGCTCAGAATGAGCCCAGGAGGAGTCAGGCCTCTGCCTCCCCCCAGCCGGTTAAAGTCTACCCTACCTACATTCTCCTCGCCCTCAAAGTAATAAAAAGGGGGAGGAGATGTTGGGAACCTTACACCTGGCTTCTAGCTAAAAACATTGCATTGATTACAGGAACCTGTGCGCTCCACAAAGCCAATCCGCTACAGGTACATGAGGTGTGCATGCGCTCCCCAAGCCAATCGGCTACAGGCACATGAGGTGTCCACGAGTACCAGTTGCACCCAAGTAATCAATAAGCGGGCCCTTCTTTGTCTCAAGCTAGCCAATAGCAAGCAACCTAATTTCCTTCCTCTCCCTCCTCCCCTATACATATACCCAGTTCGGAAAAATAAAGTTTGCAGCTTGATCAGAATCTTTTGTCTTGCTGCCATTCTTCGCGCCTCTTGTCCCCCCCCAACTCATTTGTTCTAGGTAGGTGGTCGAGCCCCAGTTGATTGCTCCGCGGGCCGGAGCAGAAAGCAACCCCTCAGATGTAACAGAGCAGCCTACAAAAGTGTGTGGCATCTCCACAGAACACGGCGATGCCATGTGTCTGCCACAGCCCCTCCTCTCGGTGGAAACAGTGCCCAGCCGGGAGGTCCGCAAACTCACAAAACCTAGCGGCGGGTGCCCTGCAGAGACCCACTGCTGGGGGCCAGCCGCCTAATACTGCCCTGAAGTTCACTTCAAACAGCCACCGAAAACACGGCAAGAAGATGCTGGGGTCACCAGTGGGGCACTGAGGAGGGCCCCCCACACCAGTAAAAGGTGAGCTCTTCCGGGTAACCACAACCTTCCCACGCAGACACTCCTGGGCCAGCCCGGCACCTCCCAATCTCCTAAACACGGAGGTGGCAGACAGAGGCCGCGGGGCGGGCGCCCAGGTCATCTGTGCAAGTGTCCAAGGGCTGCGGCGAGGCCCACTCGCAGCATCTCGGAAGCGGCGCGGCCCGTGGGTTATGCGGTAAAACCCATGCATGTGCTCGGGACCAGGCTGGGGTGGCACTTTCCGGCTGGCGCGCCCCATGAATTTTCAGGGGCGCTCACCCCCTTCTGCATTAGACAGTCAAATAAAAAAGGGACCACAACCAACACAACAGCCATCTGGTGTGAATGAATCAAAATAATACCAATTGTGTTGGTCAGATCGGTGAAAGATGTATTTTGGGACATGCCGCAGAATCCAGCCATCTGTGTGTGTGAGCTGTGAGGTGGGATGGGGTGAAGATCGCCGGGCTGAGGGGTGGTGCTCGCGTGACGGTGGTGACTCGGCAGACGGTTTGGGCCGCATTTACTTCCCGTGCACCCCCGTCCGTGCCGTCAGCAGCACCGGCTCATCATTGGACGGAAACTATCCGAACAGCCATGAAATCTTTCCCCACTCCCGTCTCTCTCTCTCTCTCTCTCTCTCTCACACACACACACACACACTCTACCTCTGAGGCGTTTCTGAGATGTGGCTTAGGTCCGCATGGAAGTCCCCGGGAGAACAGGCATCACAGCACAGGAGGTCACACAGCAAGGACAGGTCGTGCGGAAATGCAGGAAGCTTGAATTCTTGGACCAAGCTCAGGATGACGAGGCCCATCCTCAACCTGCTCCGCACCGGGAAGTCCGCCGGCAGAGGGTCCCCGCTCCTGTGCAGGAACCGGGCCGCTCTGGTTCTCAGATGCTCCCACAGGTCTTCCTGCACCTGACACAGGGGAAAGGGGACACGGAACCAGGTGCTGAATCCATCTGTGCTGTCCCATCACTGCCCTGAGTCCCCGGTCACCTGGGCAGAAGGCCCACATCCCTGCAGGGCAGGGACAGCTCTGTGAAGGGGTCACCCACTGCACTGCCTCCCTGCTAATCCCTGACCACCCCCCTCCCGTGGACCTTTGGGGGCCACCACCAATGATGCCTTCCAGAGACCCCGGCATGGTGGAGGGGCTTTCAGATGGGGGCTCAGATGCTTCTGAAGGCTCAGCGGCCTTCCCAGACCCGGCCCAGAGGCGTCTCCAAACTGCCCAGGCTTCACTGCAGTCCAGGTACAGACCCAGTGAGGGGGTCCCACCCCTTTCTCCTCTGCCTGCCGGCTAGGTGAGGGGTGGAACCAGCGGTGGGAGGAGGAAGAAAATGGGGGGAACAAGGCATTCCCAAGAGGAGGTGTTTGGAGGAAAGGGGTGGAAGGTCCACCTGTCCCATCTGTTCCGCTGAGTCTAGCCGTCAACTGGCCATGAGGAGGTGGGTAATGCCGGCTGCCCAGAAGGTGCAGAAGGGAGGGGCTGCAGCCCCCCAAGCCCGATACCTGCTTCTCCTCATACTGCAGGGAGCTCCAGGGCCGCTCCCCTGCTTCGTGGATCATGGGCACGCGGATGACAGAGTAAAACTGGCGGAACTGGGTGAAAAAGCTGCTGAGATTGGCGGCGCTCCAGGGCCGGAGGACGCCGAGGAGGCTGTCCAGCATCATGCCGGCCGCCAGCTTCTTCCCTCTCACCAAGTCTTTCCTGGTCTGGTCCGTGATGAAGTTTACCAATCTCTGCACCATCCCAGGTGGCTTCTTGCAAGCAATGTCATCGTACTGATGCCAGCCTAGGGAGGACAGAAAGGGCGTCAACCTCACCCAGCCTGGACACTGTGCCCTGGAAGGCTGCTCTCGAGCCTCAGGAACAGAACAAAGAACCGAGGCAGGGAAGGGAGCAGGACGCCCGAGAACTGGGGTCAGTGGAAGGCAGGCGAGGCGCACTAGGCAGGTGCCTGCGGGGCGAGCTCGGGCGGCCTGGCCAGTCAGGGAGCACAGCTGGGTGACGCTCGGGGTCACACGATTCCACTGCCCAGGAAGGACTTGGCGACCGCAATGGCGTGGCAAGCGTGGTGCAGAAGCACCTCAGAGAGCCCACCCCCCGACCCCCACCCCCCTCTGCCAATGTCTCCGTCCCAGGAGCCCCCTGGAAATCTGCCGGGAAGCGCCGCTCCCCCTCCTCCTGCCCTGACCTGCCCACCGCTCCTGCCCCCGCCACCCCCACCGCCGCCCAGCCCCCTCCCCCGGCCTCCTACAGCTTCACTTTGGCCCTTCCCTTCATTACAAACCCTGTCCCTCACTTCCTCTCACACGTGAGTGCAGTGTGGACGTGCTTGCACACTAAGGTTTCCTGTTCTTGGAGCTGGGGTGCAGCCAGTGCCCAGCAGAGAGGACCCACGTGGGCCAAGGGAGCCCGGGCTCTCCGGAGAGACACGCCAGCCCCGCGTGTGCGCTGCGGCCGGCAGCACGCCGAGACCCACCTCCCCTGCCCAGCAGCGTGGACTTCACGTGCAGGCAGCGGTCGATGTGTGTGTTTTCCTTCTTCTGCTTTTCGTAGATGAACTCATACTCCACGGGGTCCTCGCCACGGTCGACCACGTACTTGTACGGGATGGGTTTGTCCAGGTGCTGCTTGGAGATGGCGGTGCTGCCTTCCACCAGGTACCCGTGAGAATCCAAGTCCCTGTGGATGAACAGGACGCCGCCGGTTGTGGAGGACCCTCCCGGAAGCTCCCAGTCACAGACGCGCACGGACTGCAGACCAGGAGCCAGGACTCCACACTGATTGCAGGACGTCCCCACAGGGACGCGCGACAGCCACGTTCGAAATGTTCATATTCCGAAACGCTAAGGGGGCCACCGTCAGCCTTGCTGCGGGGAATCGTGCCAGTCGATTTCAAAGGTGGGGCGCCCCCCCCCAGCCCGGGGACGCGCTCGCTCACTTGATGCAGTGCATCTCGCAGACGTTGTAGCGCCACCGCGGCTCCCCAAGCTCCTCACCCCCGCGAACAAACACCCGGTGGCGGCCGGGTTGGAAGCCGAAGTCTTTGGAGATGATGGCGTGGAAGAACACTGTGACCCCTTCCCCGGGGCTCAGGGGGCTGCGGAAGTTACCAGGACAGGAAGGTCGGACCTGGGTCTGTCTTCCCGCCCGTGCGTGCACACAAACTCACACACGTGGTCACACACAGACACATGCCTGCACAAACACATATGACTTCCATCTGCACCGACACACACCACACTAGTGCACACATAATCACACACCCATGAGGCCACGTGCCAACATGCACACCGCAGAAGCACACATGTGATCACACACCTTTTCGGTCACATGCACATACACCCACCACTATGCACACCGGCACAGGTGCACACACAGGAGAGAGTGCACACCATGCACACGTGCATGTGATAGGGCATGAACACACGTGCACACAGAGAAGTGGCCACACACAGACATGTGTGTGCACGTGCCCGTGCCCACGTGTTCACACACTCCTGGTTTCCATGCCGCACATGAACACGCACCAAGCAGCAACCCAGTGCGCCGACCCTTGAACACACTGCCCCCCGAGTGGGTCCTCTCGTCTCCTCCCCTACAGGGTGGGCGCAGGGTGAGTGAGGGGCACACTCTCGTCTCGAGGGCCGGGGCCGTGGCGCGTGGGGTGGCGGGGACACTGACTCGTGAGCCTGGGTCCTGCAGGGCCCTTGTTCCCTCCGGGTCCCTAGGACTGGGTGACTGAGAACTTAACCCGGGCAAGAAGTTGGGGCAGGCAGCCCGCCTCCACTGGGAATCCCCTCTACGGGGCGGGGCGGGCCACCGCGTCCCCTGCACTCCTGTCCCCACCGCACCCTACCTCTCCGGCACTCCCCGCGCATCGGCTCTCGGGTCCTTCGGCACCTTCTTCTCGGCAGCCACATCCTGCCCAGGAGCCCCTGCCGCCTTCTTCGGGGCTCCCGGCTGGGCTTTCTCTCCAGAAACTGCAGTCTCGCCCTTGGGTTCAGTTCCCTAGGTCAAGTAACCAAACCCCAATCTCTAACACCAGCTTCCAACTGTGCCCCCAGCAGTCCGGGGCGCCCGCCACGGATGCCAAGGGTACCTCGCCCCCGAACCTCTCCCCTCGCGGCTCCTGGCCCCGGCTTCCTGCAGATCCCTGAGCCGCCACCACGCTCCTCCTCGGGCCCCTGCACGTGCCGGGCCACTGCCAGGGACGCTTCCCCTTGTCACCCTGTGGCCTGCCTCTCACCCACCATGTGTCCACAACAGCAACCCCTCCTTGGAGAGTCTGCCCAGCCGGGCTCCCTGGCCGGCACGTCCCTGGTCCCACCGCAGGTCCACCCCAGCACCTCACCCGCATTTGGTGAATTAACCGCATGAAGGACAAGCTGCAGGAGGAACGGGGCCTAGAGGAGCCGACCTCGGGACAGAGCGCGGGCGCGCGGACGCTGTACCTGGTGGTGCTCCCGGGAAGCAGGGACGCTTGTGGGCGGCGGTTTCGATTTCTGAGTCTCATTTTGAACTTTTTCCTTGGCCCCCTTCTTTGGATCCCCTGCCTTGGCTGTGGCTCCCATAGCCTGGAAGAAATAGAGACCCCAAGCCCTGACCAGCATGGCTCCACGGGGCGGGAGCTGTCCCACAGAGTGGAAGGTCTCCGGTTCGATTCCCGGTCGGGGCACAGGCCTGGGTGGTGCGTTCAGACCCAGGTCAGGGTGTGTACAGGAGGCAGCCGACTGACGCTTCTCTGCCTCTCTTTCTCCCTCCCTTTCCCCTCTCTAAAAATAAATCAATAAAATCTTAAAAAAAATAAAAACCCCCAAACACCAAGGCCAAGGTGACAAAGTGAACAGGGAGACCAGAACTCAGTGACATGAGGGCCCCCCCCCATTCCCGGGAGCAAGTCCCGGGGGACAGACTCCCTCCCCAGACGGGCCGGGGTGGTCAAGGCAGCGCCACGCAGCCAGGTGTCCAGGACTTGGCAGGCCAGCCCTGGCCACCACTCCCCCACGACTCACCCCAGAGGTGGGGGCCGCAGGCGGCTCTCTCCTGGGCTCAGAGTGGGCGCCATCCAACTTAGGTGGCGGGAGCTCCTGGGCAGCGGCTTCCTTCCCAGGACCACCCTCAGTGGCCTTGGGGGTGGGACCCTGGGAGGCCACGCTGCCTGGAGACTCGCTTCCTGCAGCTCCCTCTGCGCTGCCTACAGCTGGGCCCAGCAGGGACCCTCTGTGACCACCAGGTGTCACAGCTGCGCCCGTGCCTTTGCCCAGGGACCCACTCGGCTGGCTGTGGAGACCACCCTGCTGAGCTGTGCCTGGAGGCAGGGCTGCATCCTGGAACCCAGGGTCTGCCAGCGGATCCAGACTGCAGAGCATGGAGGGGGAGGAGGACTCCGGCCCCATGGAAGCGGAGGCTGTCTGGTTCTTTCTCTTCCTCCTTTCTCTTCTGCTCTTACTCTTGCTCTAGACAGAAAAAGAGACGCTTCTTAGGTGTATCCCATCCTCACCCATGCTTTGTTCCAGTTTCCTTTCAATGGCGCAAAGACGCCAAGCTCAGCGGCACCCACCCCGTCATCCGTCCGTGGGGCCTGCCATCCCTTATCTCAGAAAGAGCAAAGTCGAGACACGGACAGAACGAGTGGTGCCCAGAGCCGAGGGCGGCGCCTGTGTTCTGCACGCGCGGCCGAACCAGAGGAGACAGAAGGGAGTGGGTGGGCAGCTGCACCCCGCCCGCTCTCGAGCACAGGCCGGGAGACCCTCGCCCAAGCGCGGCGGCTCTCAATCTCGGAACCGGAAACAGTGCTTGTGAGGCAGGGGTGGCGGGACTTTGCAAGGACGCCACGGGGACAGTGCACCAGAGTGAGGACTGATCAGTTCGTTCATTAAGTGCAGGCGACCGCAACCCGCCTGGAGGCTGGTGCAGATTCCGACCTCGCCACGTGCCCCACCCGGGTGGTGTTGTCCGGACGGGGCACCGGCAGAGCGCGGGCTGCATCTGGGTGTGGAGCGGGGTGGCCTCGCCCTTCTCTGCTCCTGGATCTCCTGACCAAACCTGCCCCAGGCCTGCCCACGGTGACGAGTGTGGTGCAGAGTCACCCTGGAGGACAGCTTCCGGCCTGTCTGGGGGCGGACACCCGCCAACGTGGTGGTGGAGAGTGGGTTGAGGGCGGTCGTGCCTCCTGGACCGAGTGTCCAGATCTCTAGAGGTCACAGAGGCGGTGCCACTGCCGAGGCCTCCCTGGAAGCCTGGCCCTGGCTCCCTGGCTCTGATCTGTGCTCATGGGGGCTCAGTCCCAGCCCCTCCATTCACTCTGGTTCAGAACCACTGCATGCAGGGACCCCCTAGTCACCAGCCCTTCCCAGGACCTTGGGAGTGCAAGGCTGCCCACGACCAGTCGCTACTAATCGGCACGGGCCACCCCAGGGTTCTGGAGGACCGTGCCAGGAACAGGGGCAAGCGGTCGAGACGTGGTCCTCACGAGGCCAGTCACTGTTGGGGGGGGGACAGAAAACAGGCGGTTTTAGTGCACAGACAGGCTGCTGCAGAGGGCACGTGAGGACTCTGGGAAACTAGAGGCTGCCTGTAGCCCGGAAGGCCTCCTGGAGGAGGTGGCCCAGGATGAATCTAGAACACACTATTGCCAGAGAACCCATCAGATTCCCTGGCCCTGTGTGCATGAGGGCTCTGGCCGCCTCACGGCCTCCCAGCTCGCCCAGAAGAGAAGCCCGGGTTCGGGCCGCTCCCCACCAGGCAGCCCGCCCCACCCTCCTCCTGCCCAGGCTCTAGGCACTACGCCTCTATCTTATTTTCTGTCTATTAGGCTTTGTCATCTGGGGGCCTTGCTGACCCTGGAGGCAGCCACTCCCCAGGGCAGACAGCCAGCCAGGAGCCATCTTTTTTTTTTTTTAGTATATTTTATTGATTGTGCCATTACAATTGTTCTATTCCCCCCCTTCATTCCCCTCCACCCTGCACACTCCCTCCCCCACCATTCCCCCCTTTAGTTTATGACCACGTGTCTCAAGTTCTTTAGATTCTATATTTCCCCTACTATTCTTATCCTCCCCCTGTCTATTTTCTACCTACTGTCTATGCTACTTATTTTCTGTACCTTCTCCCCCCTTCTCCTCCTCCCACTCCCCTGTTGCTAACCCTCCTTGAGATCTTCATTTCTATGTTTCCACTCCTGATCTAGCTGTCCTTTTAGTTTGCTTTTGTTTTAGGTGTGGTTGTTAATAACTGTGAGTTTGCTGTCCTTTCACTGTTCATCTTTTTTATCTTCTTTTTCTTAGATAAGTCCCTTTAATATTTCATATAATAAGGGCTTGGTGATGATGAACTCCTTGAATTTGATCTTATCTGAGAAGCACTTTATCTGCCCTTCCATTCTAATAGAAAGCTTTGCTGGATAGAGCAATCTTGGTTGTAGTTCTTTGGTTTTCATGACTTGGAATACTTCTTTCCAGCCCCTTCTTACCTGTAAGGTCTCTTTTGAGAAATCAGCTGACAGTCTGATGGGAACTCCTTTGTAGGTGACTGTCCCCTTAGCTCTTGCTGCTTCTAGGATTCTCTCCTTCATTTAATCTTGGCTAATGTAATTATGATATGCCTTGGTGTGTTCCTTCTTAGATTCAACTTCTTTGGGGCTCTCTGAGCTTCCTGGATTCCTGGAAGTCTATTTCCTTTGCCAGATTGGAGAAGTTCTCCTTTATTATTTGTTCAAATAAGTTTTCCACTGGTGGCTGTGCCTTTCCCCCTTCTGGTACCCCTATAATTCGGATGTTGGAGCGTTTAAAGATGTCCAGGAGGTTCCTAAGCCTCTCCTCATTTTTTTAAATTCTTGTTTCTTCATCCTTCTCTGGTCAATTTTTTCTTCCTTCTGGTCCACTCCCTTGATTTGAGTCCCAGTTTCCTTTCCATTACTATTGGTTTCCTGTGCATTTTCCTTCATTTCAATTAGTTTAGCCTTCATTTGTTCCTTTAATTTGTGACTAAAATCAACCAGTTCTGGGAGCATCCTGATCACCAGTGTTTTGAACTGTGCACCTGAAAGTTTAGCTATTTCTTCGTCACTTAGAGTTTTGCGCTCTGGGACTTTGAGTTCTTCTTGAGCCAGAATGTTTTGGTCTGTTCGCACCTGTTACGTATGAGGAGCAGAGCCTTAGGTGTTCACCAGGGCAGGGCCACCCAGGTCACTGGGTTGTGACGCTGTCTGTGGGGGGCGGGGTCAGAGAGGGACAATGGTGGTCCCCTCTGTTGCTTCCCGCCGCTGGGGCCTGCGTGGTCGATTTCACTGCTCGCTCCTTCACCGGTTTATCTGTGCGCAAATGTGTGACCGCGGTCAGTCTGCCGCCTTGCGTCCTCAGTGGGTCCGCCCAAGGCTGCCTGAGCGCCTGGGTCCCGCGCCCGGGTTGGTCTGTTGGATCTTTCCTGCCTGACCCCACTCTGCTGCTGGCTCTGCCCCTCTTACCGGTTTGGCTGAAGGGTTCGTTGTTGTCAGACTTCCGTACAGTTCAGTTTTCTGTGTTTGGTTGCATTTTTGTTACTGAAACTTTATCGTTTTTAAACTTGGTTGTGCGAGAAGGCACAGTGTTTCCACGTAAACCTCCATCTTGGTAGAAGTAGTCCCAGGAGCCATCTTTCACACTCGAACCGCGCAACCCAGAGCCCACGGCCCCCTGCCTCCCCTGGCGCCTCTCACACTCCGGGTTGCTGTGCACCTGCCCCCTCGGGCCAGACCCAGGGACCTGACAACTCTGCCCTGAAGCCCGCAGCAGCCAATCCTAAACCTGCACATGGCTGCACACGCTGCACACGGCAGCACACGCTGCACATGCAGCACACAGTACACGCTGCACATGGCAGCACACGCAGCACACAGCAGTACACACTGCACACGGCAGCACACGCTGCACAAGCAGCACACGGCAGTACACAGCAGTACACACTGCACACGGCTACACACGCTGCACACGGCAGCACGCGCTGCACATGCAACACACAGTACACACTGCACATGGCAGCACACGCAGCACACAGCAACACATGCTGCACACGGCAGCACACGCTGCACATGGCAGCACACGCTGCACACGCAGCACACAGCAGTACACACTGCATACGGCTGCACACGCAGCACACAGCAGTACACACTGCACACGGCTGCACACGGCTGCACACAGCACACAGCCACAGAAGTAGCCCAGGCAGCAGGCTCCGCCCTGTTGTGTGCTTCACCCAGGGCTGAAGCTAAGCAATTGGCTCTGCCTGGGCTCACAGAGAACTAGAAGGTAAACCGGCTAAGTCTTCTGGGGGGCTGGTGATTTTGCCAGGAGTCCAGGCTTTCCCCACCCAACTAGGCAGCGCCTGCTGTTCCCCACCCCATACGGAGAGGCCCGGGCCGGCAGCAGGAGGCCTGGCCCCTCACTGAAATGAGCACCAGGTGGGGAGTCCGCAGTGGGGGCGCTGCTGGGGACCCTGAAGAGGCACTCGCTGCAGGGGCTGGGTTTGCACAGCAGAGACGCCGAGACAGCACGGGCCAGCTGGCGGGGTGGCTGGCCGGGCAAAGGCCCAGGGCCCCCCCAAACCGCCGTGGTCTGCCGGCTGCCCTGCACTGATAGGGAGGCGTTGGGCTGAGTGGGGAGGACGATAGGCCTGAGAGATGTCCCCTCCCCACCTGGCACCTGACCCGACCCTCCTGCCAGCCCGCGGGGACCGCCAGGGGCCCGGGGGCCTGAGCTGCCTTCCTAAGCTTCAGTCTCTCTTTGGCAGAACCCAGATGGCGCGTTGGGGTGGGGAGGCGCCTCTGTCCACGTAAACTGTGTCTTTGAAGAAGCAACCAGGGAAGTGGGACTGGATGGGACCCAGAGAGAGCGGCTGAGCCGCGCGCGGACTCCACGCACGCCACGCTGACCGGGGGCGCCAGGCTGGGGTTGCTGAGCCTCCGTTTCTCCACCTGAGGCATGGAGACGGCAGGCGTTCCCACGTCACCAGGCCACTGACAGCACTGGGTGGTGCGCAGGACACCAAGCACCTTGGAGAGAGGCCTGGCACGTGCGGCCCAGCACAGGCAGGGCGCCCTCGGTGCCCACACGGCAGGGGCCACTGCTCTGCAAACTACCTGCTCCGGGTCTGCGGGGAGCCCGTCAGCCGCCGCCTCAAGCGGGCTTGCGTCCTCCTTTCTTCTTTTGCTGGGACGGCGATTAGCAGCCTCCAGCTCACCAGCGGAGCAGGCGGCTGCGTCTACACAAACCTCGAAGTCGGGTCCCTGTTGAAACAGGACCCCTTCGTTCAGACGAGGCAGGACCCTCGGGGACCCCTCCTGCAGGCCCCATGGGCTCCCAGCCCCCACTGTCCAGCCCAGCAGCAGAGGGTCCCCCGGGGAGGGAACCCCTGAAAATGCGCCTGCAAGAGGGCAGATGAGCAGAGCAAAGCCATGGAAGGGAAGTGCGCCCGTGCCAGCAAGCCCGGGTCCTGGCTCCCCAGGGCCTCTGTCCCCCACACGGAGGCTAGTGCTCCCCACAAGGGTGTGGCTGTGGGGACGCTCCTGGGAGGGCCAGGCCACCAGGCACGTCAGGCAGAGCCAGGGCAGCAGCGGACACCCCCGTGCACAGTGCACCTCGGGCACCACAGCCGGGGGCAATGGCCCTGGTTGGGAAAACGGACAGGCGCGCGGGCACACACAGGAGCTGGGCCCACAGATCGGCTTTCCCGTGGGGAATCGGGCCTGCGTTGTGCCTTGGCCGCTATGAGACTTGCTTTTGCTAAGACTCCCTGGCCCTGAGTTAAGACAGCGGATGTTTAACGCATGTCTTTGAAGTGACTCCGTACAGTCTGTGCTGGGCCATCCCGAGGAGCACACCCGCTGGCCGCCCAAGGGGAGCAGAACCAGCAAAGGCTGGAAGTCAGTCAGCACCGAAGGGCCACCAAAAGAGAGGCAGGTGGGACAGCAGCCCAGGTGACCGGTGGACGGTGGCGCCCATCAGCCCCACCAACCGCCGCACCCTGCAGACGCCCCAGGACTGCGGACAGCACGCCCCTCGCTCACCGGCTGGGGAACACTCTGGCCTCGTGGCCAGTTCCTAATGCCGGGGCCTCCCCCAGTCACAGCGTCACAGGTAACAGCATCGAGGCCGGGCCTCAGTACCCCACACCCACTTCCTGGTCAGGAGGGTCACAGAGGGTCACGCTAGGGGCTAAGAATGGTCACAAAGCCCCCTCGAGTGAATCACCGGAGACAAGCCCACCAGCACGCGTTGGTGCCCTGCACCCAGCTTCCCCTCTGGGTACAGTTAGGCATTATTTTAAAATTCCCTCATGACAATAACTATCTCTATTTTTCTAATACTGAGGTGAAAATTCACAGGATGCAAAGCTAACCATGTTAAAGTGCATTCTTCGCCCCAGCTGGTGTTGTTCAGCTTATGGAGCGCCAGCCTGCAAACCCAAAGTCGCTGGTTCGATTCCCAGTCAGGGCATGTGCCTGGGCTGAGGGCCAGGTGCCCACTGGGGGGCCTGCAAGAGGCAACCACACACTGACGTTTCTCTCCTTCTCGCTCTCCCTCCCTTCCCCTCTCTCTAAAAATAAATAAAATCTTCAAAAAATATTAAAAATAAAGATAAAAGGTGCCCTCCTCAGTGGCACTTGGTGCAATCACGGAGTCGTGTGGCCGCACTCTGTCTGGTTCCAACCGCCAGCTGCTGGGAGAGCGCCGGGCATTCCCGTGGCTCTCTCCGGGGGCCCGCTTCTCAGCCCAGGCTGCCCCCGGGGCCCCTTGTCCCAAAGGGACCTGTCCTCACAGCGGGCAGCAGCTTCCTCGCCCCCCTCGGCGGCCCCCAGGCGCACGCCCCGCCCTGCACCCACACGGAGCTCCGAGCGAGGTGCCCAAAGGAACCGCAGGCAGGTCGGAGCACACGGCTGTGCTCCACCCCCGGAACCAGCCGCGCACGGGGGGCCACCGTCAGGCCCCACGGGCCCCCGGAGGCTGAAGCCCAACCCGCACCTGAGGCGGCCGCTCGGGGCCCGGAAACCTGGGGCGACGGTCCAGGGCCCCAAGTCTATCGCCATTTCGCTCCTGCCCTTCCCCTCCCTGCCACGTCCGTCTCCTGCCACCAGTGGAAGAGGGCACGTTTGAGTGACCTTTTCCAGGATCTTCTCTCAGGCGACGGCAAGACCATCCTCACCTCTTCAGTCTTTGGCAAGAGATTCTACCGAAAAGATGCCGCGACTCCGGAGACTGTGGCCGAGACAACACCCGCGCCGAGTTCGTTTTCTTCTCACCAAACCAGAGACGACGCAGGGGAGCAGGTCAAAGGGCACCTGCCGGCTGGGTGGTCCCCAGGTCGCCCTCAGCACTGGCACCGCTGCCCAACCCATTGCCACCCACGAATCCAGGGTTTGACCCGAAGGCCGAGGCGACGCCGCACGCTGCTCTCAGCGATCGCTGGCGAGTTTGCCGGCCGCTGACACTTCCGTGCCCTGGGCTGCAACCTCTGGGGTTGGCTGCCACTTTCGACTGGATTCCCAAGAGTTTTTGACACATGGGGCGACTCGCTCTTTGCTAAGACCGCTCGTAGGAGAGCCAGACGGTGTCCGTATGTCTGCCCTGAACTGCCTGCCCCGTCAGGGCCGATCACGGTCTGCAAGGTGTTCAGCTTTCGAGACCTTTCTGGGAGCAAGACCCGCCCATTTTTGTTTGTCTCTCCTGCCCCTCTCCTGCCCCGACCGAGAGATCAGTGGATCGTCCACGTGCACCTCCTGCCCCTGGTGTTCGCACACCCGAGGCTTGTCTGTGCTGCCCTCCCTCTCCCAAGGGCACCCCGTTTCTGTGACTGTGCCTTTGGGACAGTTTGGCTCGATCCGGGACAGCCTAGCCCCACTCACGTTTTCCTTTTACACTATTGTCTCAGCCATTATTTCTTCCAAAAGAGCCTTGAACTTACTCGGTCCAAAAAATAAACCCCCACCCCACCTGGTCCCGATTCCAATTTCAGTTCACCCAAACTCCCATCATCCCACGGGCCAGCTCTGCGGGCCGAGCGTCCGCTCTGGGTGGGCTCCTCTCCCAGAGGAAAACCGCATGTTCTCACACCTGCATACACACCCACACACCCCAACACACACACACCTACACACCACACACACCTCCACTCACGTGTACAGACATGCACATTCCAATACCCCCCCCACACACACACTAGACCCCAAAACTGCAACCTGAGGCCAGTCCCGCCCCAGCCGGGCCACTACTGGGACCACCTGAGGGCCAGACAGGACAGCCGCCCCAAGCTGGACACCCACCGAGAGACGCAGGAGAGCCGCCCTCTGCCGCAGGGCTGCACTCTGGCACGGCCCCGTCCTCTCTGAACTGCCCAGGGAACTGCCCTGCAAGCCTGGCCTTGAGCTCCAGCCTGGTCCCTGGCCCAGGAGTCACCGGGGCCGGATCCTTGTCAGGAGATGCCACCCTCCTGCGGCCTTTCCGAGCACTGCCTGGTTCCCAGAGCTCGGGGGCATGTCGGGCGGCACGGTCAACTCAGAGAGGACCAGACCAGAGAGGGGAGACACCTGTGGGCAGAAGCGGCGCCCAGACCTGCCCAGCCACAGCTGCTGGGAGACAGTGAGCCAGGTCCATGGGGGGACGGCAGGTGGGGGCCCCAGGGGCACGGTGACCCAGAGACCAAGCAACAAAGCAGGCACAGGGAGGGGGCAGCTCTGCCACTGCCCCGGGCTGGGCTGGGGGGGCAGTGGCATAACCGATTCCTGGAGAGGGCACAGTGGGGACATGGGGAACCTTGGTCAGCCGCTGAGGACACCGCAGCCAGCAACGGCAGCTGGGCAGGACCAGGAGGGCCCCTGGCCGGGGCGGCACTCACTTTCTGGGTGGTCCAGGAGCCAGGCTCGTCCAGACTCTCCTGCTGGTCACTGAGGCCCAGTGACGGGAAGGGGCCACCTTCCTCCTTCAGCTCCTGTCCACACTCCATGTCCTCCTCGGGGACCAACGTCACGGTGGGGCCACCTTCTTCCTTCAACTGCTGTCCACACTCCATCTCCCCCTCAGAGACCGAGGTCATCTTGGGGTTGTTCTCAGACTCTAAAAGGCAGTGGAGGGAAGCAGAAACTGTCACCCTCTGGGATATTATTGTAGAGGGTTGCTTTTAAGAAAGGGCAGACCCGGGAGAAGCAGGAGAAATGGGAAGGCTGAGCAGCTTCGGAGAGACCTTTACATCTGAGAGGGAAACCTCCATTGGTGATGGGGGGGGGATGGGGACCTGTCCCTGGGGACTCCAGTCCAGCCCAAGGCTGTGCCTCCTGTCTGCAAGACGACCTTGCCCGGGAGACTGCAGGTCACTGGAACAACCACCCCCAACACACACACACTTTGGCTTCTGTCTCCCAGAAGGGGGCGGCTTCTGCCTTCTGCCGTCTGTGGGGAGACTCGGCTGTCCTGGGCCTCTCCCAGGAGTGTGGGGCCAAAGGAGTCATGACATGTTTCTGTTCTGTTACCGAACAGCAGTGGGGGTCCCGCCTGCCGCCGCCACCCTCGGCAACGTTCCACGGGCAAAGCTTTGGTGATAAAGGAAAGGAGTCTCTACTCAGGACCCGGCACTAAGGCTGTCAGTCACTGCTGGAATCATGTAAGACTGTTGGTCAAGGCTAAACTGTAACACCTGGGCCCTTCTAGCATCCCCGGTTAGCTGTTGGTGACTTTACAAACCAACACAACACAAGATACAAAAGCTACGCAATTTGGGGAGAACGGCGGGCTTCTGCCCCAGAGCCTGTCCACTCTAGAACGCCCAGAGAATGACCCTGCCACCCTCTGTCAGGCTAACTCCATCCCAGGCTGCACCCGGAGTTCCTTCCCATCCAGAATGCGGCCGTTGGGAAAGGCAGGCAGGCACCCAGAGATCCTCCAGGAAGAAGAGGGAGCCAGTACACCCCCATCAGAGCCCAAGGACGCTGCTTTTATTTCAAATCTGGCCCATTATCCCATGCACTCCGAAGGCATCCAATTCATCAGCCAATCCCGTCCTAGACTGCTTACCAGGGCCTGGCAAACTCCTCCCATGGCCCCTCCCACTCCTCCCCAGTGAACCAATCAGATCTCTCTGGATCAGTTCTGTGACTCTGATCTTCTGTCGATTTACTCATTAGATCAGCCAGAGAACCTGTAGAGAGAAGCCCTCTCCGTCCCCACAGCTGATGCCAAACCTCAGGGGAAAGCAGGTGAAGGCCCTAGAAAGGCCTGGGGTCCCCCAGCTTCTGGACAGAGCAGCCGCTCCCTCCCCAGCCCCCACCACCCATTCAACTTGGCCTCCTGTGGCATCTCAAGTGTGGGGGCGACTTTCCTCAAACCCCCCCCCCCACACTGTGTGCCATGGATGAGAGTAATCAGGACTGAGACATGATGTGATCTGCTTGGGGAGGAGAGGTGGCCAGTTTCCCAGAGGACAAAGGCGTTGAGCTACTTCCTCCAAGGGCTTTTATTGGGTTGTAATACACAGGAATACAGGGCGGCAAGGATCAAACAGTAGATAACATTTCAAAGAAATCTGAGGGTTTAGTATAAGTCCAAGTTTGTCAGGAACAGAGTTTTAGGGTTTCCTGCTCGAACGAACCATTAACATATGAATGAAAGCACTCTTAGCAGAGCAGATTTCACAGGTTTATCAGGAAGTCTTTGTGATGCCAGATTTTTCCCCAGGACACGCTCTAGCAAGGCAAGGAGCTGCACCTCTCCCCAACAGGTATTCAGGCTTAAGGGGATTAGAGCCAGGAAGCACTTCTCCCAGAGAACATGGGGACTCGGACTTTGTCAAAGCCAGGAAGGGGGGAATGAGAGTCCATTGCTCTCTGTTGCAGCCCCCTGAGTCCTTCCATGAAGGCCACCCAAGTGATCGAGTCTGGCTTAGGTTGCCCCCCGCTGTGAAGGGTCTTACCCGTCATTGACTTCTGACCAAGCTCTGGGGGCAGGGAGAGGAAACTGAGGCAGCGTTTGCTACCCAAGACAGGCTTTGTCTCCTTTGGTGGTTCCTCGCCCTACACCCCAGGGGGTCGAGAAACAATTCCTAGAACCAGGCAGAGCAGTGTACAACACTGAAGGAAACATGGAAAACACAGAAAAAAAATTTTAATGCATTGCCTGGGCCCTGGCTGGTGCGGCTCAGTGGACTGAGTGCGGGCCTTCGAATCAAAGGGTCACGGGTTTGACTCCCAATCGAGGTACATACCTGGGTCGTGGGCCAGGCCCCCAGCAGAGGGGCAACTGCACACTGATGTTTCTCTGCCTCTCTCCCTCCCTTCCCCTCTGTCTAAAAATAAATACATAAAATCATTTAAAAAAAAAAACTCGTTGCCCGAACCACTTCACCCCCCACCCCCCATAACTTTCCAGCACTGAAGGTCCCACCTGAGTCCCCTGGGGCTCTGCCCGGGGCAATGGAGACTTGGGGTGGTGAGGGGCTCCTAACCCCGCCCCTCAAGTGCTGACCCTCCGGGTGGTTCAACTGTCCACTGGGGGACCAGCCCACCGCCCCTCCCACCCTGCAAAGCCAGTTGCCCCGTGTTACAGAACAGACAGGGGTGGGGGGCAGGTGCTGACCATCCTGACTATATCCTTTTACCGAATGGACCCCCCCCCCCAGAGTCCCCTGTACTAGGTTCGCCTTGCCTACCACCAGGGAGTCACAGCTCTCAAAGGCCAGAGACTGGTGAAAAGGAAAGAAACTATTCAAAAGTTATACAGACTTAGAGTAATGACTTCACGTCTTTGTTAAAATGCCACAGTCCCTTAAAACACCCACAAACACACACAGTCCTCCCTTCCCCACTTTGCTGGGTCTGGGGTACCATATCTCGGGAACAGAATCAGAAGTGCGTGGCTCAGGCAGCCCCCGGTTCTTCCCAGGGATACCTGCTCGGCTGGGAGGCCCCCCGTGGTTCCCAGCACCATCAGCTGTGTCGCTGCCGCGACCTCCAGTTCTCAACCCAAACCCAAGTGGCACCGTCTCAGGGCCCACCAGCAAGAGTCCTCTCACCCCTTTCCTTCCTGGCAAGGTCTCTCCTGCTTCCTAAGTCACGTGGCAGGAGGGCGCACCAAACACACACACACAGTCCCAACCGTGCACTCCCAACCTTGCTCAGCTGCCGAGCCCGAGTCTAAATCCCAGCACCAGTCTCCTGCTGCAGTCCCATTTCCGACTCTGCCCACAATCGGCCACAATGGCAGCATTCCCTCATTTTCCCAGCTTTTTTGAGCTGCCACAGTAAGTCCGGGCAGGTGTGGCCCCGTAGCGTGGAGCCAATCATCTCCCAGCTCTCAGGTCGGCTCTGTAACCAGGGGGAGTCGCCTCCCACTTACATCAGGGGTTGAACTCACACCCATCCCCCTGGCTCAAAGCTGGCCACGGCTGTTTAACTTAGAAACTGGCCAAAAGTTACAGACACGTTAAATGCCTGACCCTGAGGTTATCTGCAAAATCACTGCTGTGCAGAACAGCTCTCTACGGCCCTGCTGCATGCACCCCATCATCCCCCGGCTCGGGCTGGTGGGGGTGAGGGCAGTCTGTGTTTTTAACATTTCCCGGACACCCTGAGTTCTGGACCCCGTTACAAATCCCTATTTGGGGGCCCCCAGGCTGCACCCCGTTACACCTCCACCTCGGCCTGGTGCATCTGGAACTCTACACACATTCATTCCCCTTGCTCACCCTTATCATCAGTGCGACCCCCAGACCCAGGGGTCCTGGCAGGCCCCCCACTGCCTGCAGCACTGCGGAGCCCCAGCCCCCAGCAGGGGAGGAGGAGCGCCCGCCACTGCCAGAGCTCCAGCCAAACCCCAGCACCTTGGTTTCATTTTATTTTTTTTAAGATTTTTTTTTAATTTTTAGAGAGAGGGGAAGGGAGGGAAAGAGGGAGAGAAACACCAATGTGTGTGGTTGCCTCTCGCACACCCCTAACTGGGGACCTTTGACCTGGCGGTTCCCAGGCCGGCACTCAGTCCGCTGAGCAGCGCTGAGCGGCACTCAGAATGGAGCCCAGATGGTTTCGGTTTCCATTCCCGCAAACGGGGGCACAGGCAGGGCGTGAGGAAGCAGGGAAGTGGCAGACAGGAAGTCTCGGTGTGCCTGGGGTCACGCTCACTGAGCCGGGCCCTCAGGGATACAGTGTGCGGTGCTCAGGGGCCAGCGGAGCCGGGCAGGTGTCTGCCCCCACTGGGCACTCCCACTGGCTGGCAGGACCAGTGCCTGCCACAGCCAGCTGTGGGTGAGAGGCCACCCACGGTCAGCCAGCCCAAAGGACCGTGGCCCCGTCCCCCTCGTGCTGCAGTGCCTGTGCCCTGCCGGGGGCCCGTGGTCCTGGAGTGGCCTGGGACTGGCCGCGGACGGTCATGCCAGGGACCCGGATGCCACCACCCCACCGTCTCTGTCGTGAGGACCATGTCAAGCTGACTGCTTTTCAGAGACAAAAGACTCAGGAGGGGCCTTTTACTTCCCCCTGAACTGCCTGCAAGCACCCGGCGGAGGGCTGACAGGGGTGGGCTCAGCCCTGTCCTGTCCTGTCCGGGCCGCTGTCTCAGCAGGGCCCAGCACACACCTGCTTACTCACATTTGTTTATCCCGCATCCTGGTCAGCGTCCTGCCCTTCAAAGCCCCAGCCCTGCCCCCTCCTCCTTAGCCCAGGAGGCTGCCTGGGCCTCGGGCTTCCTGACCCTCGTGGGGCCCGCCTGGTCTTATGGACCCTCATAGGTACAGAATCGAATGTGGGTTTTTCCCTCCCCTTAATCGGTCCTATGTTAATTTGATTACTAGACCAGTTGATGAACCTAGAAGGGGAGGGTGAAAATATCTCCTCCCGACACAAGCCCGCCTGCCTGCCCGAGGGGGAGACAAGCCCAGGAAGGTCGGCCGCAAGCGTGCAAAGACGTCAGGGCGTTCCGTGCACACGCACGGCGCAGCCCTCATTCCCCGACGCAGCTTCCTCCTCCTCTGTCGGAAGCCCCTGGCACAACACGGCAGGAGGGGCAGATGAGTGGGCTTTCCAGGGGGCCCTCAAAGACAGGGTAGTGTTTCCCAAAGGGGCCGATCTCCAAGACCCCAGACTCAAATGAAGCCCTTCAGGTTCTCTGTTTGTCCACGCAAAACTCCTTCTCAGCGACCAGCCAAGGGCCACCCCGGTTCACCTGGCTACTCAGTTTTAACCCCTGAGGACCACACGTGACACCTTCCTGGCCCCTGCACCCCAACCCCAGGCCAGGCCCAGCAGGGCCGGGCGCCTCGCCCACCCAGCCCCCGGGGCGGGCACCCCAGGACCCACTCCACCCTTCCTCCCTTTGAGGCGGGCTTTCTCCCAAGCACGGGCTCTGGACCCTCAGCCTGGGTTCCAGCCGTGTGACAGCTGTGTGACGCTGGGTTAGTCACTTCACCCCTCTGCGCTTTGCTCCTGGCCTCTGTAAACTGGGGGGTCACAATAGCGCCTCCCTCAACACTTAGCACAGCACAGGGCACACCGAGGTTTCATTTTACTGTTCAGTCCCTGGAGACACTAAGACCCCTTCCCGACCGCCCCCCACACCCCGAGCCCCCAGTCGGGGCAGATGTTCTTGGGCCCAGGAGCGGGAAGTTCCACCCGGACACCAGGAGCTCAGCCGGCCTGTGATGCCAGGACTCAGTACCCAGACGGCAAGGAAATCAGTGACGGGAGCAGACACTCCCTCGGCTGCTCGGCTGCCCCCACAACCACATGAGGCTCCCCGACGCCTCTGGGGACCTCAGGGCCGACTGGCGGCCGGAGCTCCTCCACAGGGGTCAGCAGAAAACCGACATGCACAGCCTCTGCCCCTCCTGCGGCTCAAGCCCAGGCTCAGCGCCTGCAGCCTCAGCACTCAGCACAAGTGCAGCCAAAGTGGAGAGATGGAAAGACAGGCAGGCCCCGCCCCCAGCCCCCTGGGGCGCACCCTCGGGATTACCCGGGGCAGCGAGCAGGGAGGCCTGCCATCTACCCTGCACACGCACACACACGCATAGGCATGTGTTCTCAGGACCTTCTTTGAATCATTCAGCAAATATTTATTGAGCACCTACTGTGTGCAGTCACTGTGATAGGGGACTCAAGAGTTGGAAAATTTTAGTTTAAGGTAAATAGTTATAAGCCTAGGAAGTAATGCATATGTAAAGCTTTTGTTTCTCAAACTACAGATAGATAAGGCCCATCCTGGCTCCTGGGGAAACAGCCCACCCCCAGGGGCACCACCAGAGACCACCGCCTGGGGGCAAGTGGAGGCATTTGGTTCTTTGTGTTCCAGGGAGGGACAGAGGACCCACCCCCCCAAAGGCCCTGGACACGAATGCTGCACTCTCTTTCACCTAATTCTCCCCGATTTTCAAAACCACACCTGGTTTATTCCCAGCCATAGAAACCTTGGCCTGGAAAGAGAAGGGAAGATGGTCTGTCAGGGTGCGAACCCGCCGTCTTCTCAGATCGCAGGCCATCTGAGTAAAGTGCCCATAGAGATTTAACCCCTGTTGCTGCTTACTGGGTTTGGAATGACAGGCAGCCCGAAAGCTGGGCTCTTTCCCGGTATCATCTGTGCGAGGGACCTGGGGCGAAGCAGCGAGAAGAGAGCAAAGGTCTCCCCTAAAGCCAAAGAAACGGATGAAGTGTGATTGGGGGCAGGGGGCAGTTTCTTTGGGGGGTGTCAGGGTGAGCCTCAAGGGCGGTGAGCCAGCTGAGCAAAGGCTGGAGGAAGGAGGGGGGGCCCTGAGGACAGGGATGTCCCAGGAAGGATGGGGGGCCATGGGCTGGGGGAAGGGCTGCAGGAGGGAAGGTCAGGAGACACTGAGGGGCGTTCGTGCAGGACTTGCACCTTCCACTGAGAGCCGATGGAGGAACAACTTCCTGGGTGGGCTCTGCCCCTGCAGCCAGCGGGGTCTCCTGGGGACCTGAGGCCAGAGGAAGGGAAAGGGGTGGAGGTCGAGCAGCGGGCTGGGCCGGAGGTGCGGCAAGGAAGAGCAGCCCCGGGTCAGGGCAGGCAGGAAGCCTGGTGCGGGTCTGGGGGAGAGAGGAGCTGGGCTTCAGACTCGGGAACCCCGGAGGCCTGTCACACATCCGGGGGAAGCCACAGCGGCTGGGATGGGGGGACAGACAGGTCCAGGAGCAAAGGTTGACCTGGGAGCTGTCAGGGCCTGAGCGGTTTGTGAACACACGGCGTGGGGGGAGGTCCACTGGAGAGCAAGCAAGACAACAGAGAAAACAGCCCGAGGGAGGAGGTAACATCCGCATGCCAGGGGCCTGGAGTCCCAACCTGCAGGGCACCAGCCGCCACCCTCACCAGGGAGGGGCCTGGGCTGGCTGGGGAGCCCCTCACCCACCCTGTGCCTGGGGTCCAGCTCCCGTGCTGCGTGTTCCGAAACCCCCCACTGAGCTCAGCTCACACTGCCCATGGCCAAGGGGGAAGGAGAACCTCGACTTCTCTCCAAGAAACAAGATAGAAATTTCTAAAACAGTGACAGGTGCCTCCAGCAAAGGACCCAACAGGACTGTCCTAAGCGCAGAGCTTCTGGAAGGAGAAGCCCCGGGAGACCCCACTCGGCGGCCAGGCTGCCGGCTGGCCTCCGCTTCCAATTCCGGGAAAGCAGGAAGGCGGAGCTGACTGCCCACCCACCGTCCCCGCTGGGTCCCCAGCCCCAGCGGCGCCCCCTCGGGCCTCACCTGGCGCGGGGGCCGCGCGGGGCAGTGGCTTTCCACACTGGCTGCAGAACTTGGCAGCTTCCTCTCTGCAGACGTGCCGGCAGGAGGGGCACTCCATGCCTCCGGGCTCAGCGGTCTCCGGCCGCCGCAGATCTGGAAGCAAAACTCCGGAGGAAGTGGCCGCCTTTATTCAGAGCCCCCTGTCATGTGACCAGAGTCCCGCTTCAGTTTCATTTTCTGGAAAGTGAAATTACAGCAGCTGGGGAGGCTCTGCCGCCCTCGAAACCCAGCACAAGCCCCGCCCCGCCTCCCTCGAGACCCAGCACGAGCCCCGCCCCTGCCGCTCAGGGCCGCGCCTCTTTCCAAGTCCATCCCTCCCGTCCCCCTGATAGGGGACTAAAGGGTTGGAAAGGTTTAGTTTAGGGTAAATAGTTAGAAGCCCAGCAAGTGATGCCCATGTTAAAGTTTTTGTTTTGAAATCTTCAGATGGATAAGGCCCACCCTGGCTCCTGGGAAAACTGCAGACCCCTTGGGGCACCGCTAAAGACCACCGCCTGGGGGCAAGCGGAGGTATCCAGGCCTTTGTGTTTCGGGGAGGGACAGACGACCCCCACCCCTGGGAACAGCTAACCGCCCGGGACGCCGGCGTCTTTTCCGGTTTCACCCCCAGCCCCAGCCCCAGCCCTTCAGCGCCCACTGCCCTTTCTGAGGCCTGGCCCTGGCCACCCAGCCCACCCTCCCGGCCTCCTGAACTCTCCACCTCTCAGTGAGCCCCAAACTGTCCCCACCCGGCTGAGCCTGCAGGCCAGGGTGACTGAGGGCTGGGTCCGGGTGCAAGGAAAGCTAAAGACACAGCTTGCCCGAAACCCCCAGATAAGACCTGCACACCTTGGGCAAGGAGCTCATAGGTGAGGAGGACCAGGTGAGTCCTACAGGACAGATGTGCTCACCGCCAGCACACACAGGCTGGCTGAGTCAGAGCCCGCCCCCCCACCAGGGACCACCTACAGGGGGCAGCACTGGGCTGCAGCCCACCTCCTCCCCCAGCCCCACCCCCGGCTTAGAGTTCCTACTAATGGGCAAGATGGGGCTGCCACCTACGATGAAGCTGCTACTCCTGTCATTGACCATCTGGCCCCACAGAACAGCATCAGATCAAGGTCAGGGTCATGCCTGTCCACACCAAGGCCAAGACTGGGGCCAAGGACCCCAGGGGACACTAAGGTCTCTTGGAGTACAGACCGGCCTGCTCAGCTGCCGCCCTTTCTTGCTGGCTTCAGACCCAAGAACTCTGCCAGAGGGGTGGCGAAGCCGGCTTCTGGGCCAGCCAGAGGCACCCAGGGGACCCTCAGGCTGGGTTCTCCCTGAGGCTTGCCTCAGGCCCCCTTCTCCCTGGTCTGTGGCAGGGGTGCCCGCCTGCTGCCCTGGGCTTGGTCTCCAGCAGCTGGGGACCTCCTGGGAAAAGGCCAGGGCCAGGGCCCAGACCCCGGGGTGCCCCCTTCCCTGCCTTCTCCCACCACAGCCGGGCCCAGCCTCCTCCTCTTCCCCAAGGCGGCCGCCTGGGCGCGCGGGCTCTCTCTCACTCAAAGACGGTCGCCCGCCTCCGCAGCCCGAGCCTCTCTCCTTCCCTCAATTGTCTCCCTTCTCTCAGAAGCCCTTCTTCCCCACAGCAGGGCTCAGTGAGCCCCAGGAAGGGTGCCCTGTCTCACCGGGGTGGGGCCCGAGGCTGGGCTGGGGCCTAAGGGCAGAAATACACTTCCCAGTCCACTCAGCTTCCAGATCTTTCCTCTCCCTTTCTTTCCAACCACTGAGCCCGCCAAACTCAAAGCCCATCCCCCACCACCACCCGGCACTGGGTCGGGGTAGGAGGGCGTCAGGCCTGTGGGGGTCTGGGCGGATGGGGGTCCTGGCCGCCCCCCCCCCCCCCCCCCCGCCACCCTGACACGTTCTCCTTCTGCACAGGCCTTGTGGCTCCCAGGGCCAGCACCAAACAGACCCCAGCCTGGCCATGACCCCCTGACTTGGGGCAGCCCTGGGCTGCGGGGACCCTGCGCGATGGACAGAGGGGTCATGTGAGTGGTAATGCTGTTCTCCTCAAAGCTGCTGCGGAATAAAGACAAGGCACGTTTCGGAAACCACACTTCTCCATGGTTGCCATCAGTGAAAGGGCGGAATTCCCGGGTGCAGGCACAGACCAGGTCTGGCCGCCCCAGTCCGCCGCCGGCCCTGCAGAGACCCCTTCCCCGGTCCAAATTCATGCTTCCAGACCCGGGGCGCCACGCCGGCGGTTGGGCCTCTGAGAGGGTCGCCTGAGCGCCCAGCATGCACAACACCAGCAGGCGGGGCTGAACCGGGGACCGGCAGCGAAAGTGAAACCGGCGCCGCAGGAAGAGTCCTCCCGGAGGGGAGGGTGGCCGGATGCGGCGTCTGGACACAGGCGCCACGACCTGGCTGGCGTCTGCCGGCGCCACGACCCCGACCCAGAACCCCTGCGGGTCCCCGGCACTGCATCCCCGCGCCCCCGCCCTGTAGAGCATCCTGGCACCCATGTGACCCGCACCCTTTACCCGCGAAACCGCTCCCAGGCAGCGCGCGCGCACCTGAGGCACCGCCCCCGCGCCCGGCACTCCCGCCCCGCAGGGTTTCATTTTCTGGGTCCAGGCCGGACCCTCCTCCTCTCCCTACCGGAGTCCGGGAATCCGTGCGGGTGTGACCGGAATTTCCCCGCCTGGTGTCAGCCCCCAGTGACTCAGCCGGTGCGGCGCCTCCTGCCCCTGCGCGCGGACGCGGGCAGCACCCAGTGCTCCCTGTCCGGTCTGCACCTGGGTCTCCCCAGTCGCCCACGCACCGCTGAGCAGATCCCGGAGCCCTTGGCAGCCGAGGTTAGGGGTGCGCACAGGTCTCCCAACCCCGTGCCCAGAAACTTGGACGGAGTTCACCGCCTTGCAGCACCACCGGACAGCAGGGGTATGGCCTAGTACACACCCGGCAGGTCACTGGGCTGAGCTTCGGGTCACTCGGGTGCAGTGGAGGTCACCCACCCTGCGGTATCGGGCCCTGATGTGGACTAAGTGACCACAGCTATGGCAGTGGGGGCTCACTGCCCACGCTCAGGGCTCCACTGGTCACTGATAGCCCAGAGGCCACCTAGTTCTGGGTCTGCACTCCACCTGCTCCCTGCCTCAGTTTCTTCATCTTTGAGCTCATAGTCCCAAGCCTAGGGCTGTGAGATAATTAGTGATAATAATGTATCTCCCTGGTGGGCATGGCTCAGTGGATGGAGCACTGGCCTGTGAACTGAAAGGTCACCAGTTCAATTCTCACCCAGTCAGGACACATGCCTGGTTTGCGGGCCAGGTTCCCAGTAGGGGGCGCATGCGATGCAACCATATATTGATGTTTCTCTCTCTTTCTCCCTCCCTTTCCTCTCTGTAAATATAAATAATATATTTAAAATAATAATGCAGCAAATGCTGTTGCTCCAGACCCCAATCAAAGTGTTTGATGTGTATTATCTTATTCACGCCTCACCACCTTCTGCCCTGCTAAGCAGCACGGCCCGGGCACCCGTGGGGGGCCTGCCCCACCCCCCCGTTGCTTCTGCAAACAACGGGATGATTATTATCAATAACCAAGGTCAGTTCCTACCCCACCCTGTCTAGTCACACTGTCCTTCTTCTGGGCAGCACACAGCAAGTTGGGTCTTTCTTGGAGTTCCCTTCCTACAGGACCCCCACTTGCAGGGCTGGACCCTTTCAGAGCGAAGGGTCCACTGTCCAGGAAGACCCACCTTGAAACCCCTTAAAATCCCGTCTAGACCCTGGATGGGGAGACAGGCTGCAGCCCCGCCTCCTGTCTCCTCCCCAGCTGAGCTCACAGTAAAAGCTCCTGCTTTTCCCCAAAGCCGGGGCCACCGTGTTGCTCCCTGTGAGTGGGGGGCGGCGAGCTCTTGCTCAGTGGCGCCCCTGTGCACAGCAAAACTCGGGGCCTTCCCCAAAGTCACAGGGAGCCGGGAGCCACTGAGGGGCCCCCCGGGTGGGCAAGGGGGCCAGCGTCAGATCACGCAGACAGGCGCGGCACGGCCTAGCCACGTAGCCTGAGAAAGCAGCTCCCAGCCTGACACAGTGTCTTCAATTGTGAAAGCTGGTGTGGCATTCAAGAATTAGAACTCTGTTTTCAAAATCTTTAAAAGAATTAACAACTGACAGTCAATATGACATCATTGTCACATGTGCAGCAAGCACTGTGGCCAGACATTTGTACACCTGCCAGGTAGCCCTCCCAACTTAGACTTTGTCCCCAGAGAGACCGGGCTCACCCAGGGAGCTGCCCTTTGGATTTAAAGGCCATTTGAATGTCTCCAGGAATTGTCCCTCCACCGCCTTTCCAATGTCCTTGTTCATCCCTTAGGGAAGCAGGGGAGCAGTAAAGAGGTTTAAACACTCCGCATGGGAGAGGACAGCCACTGTGCATCGGGGTAGATGAGGCTGCGGTGGCTGGCGGCTCACCTCCTCTAGGGAGGCCTCCACCCACCGTCAGAGCCCAGTCGAGCTGGAGGCGCAGACTTCGGAGCAGAACCAGGAACGCAGGGTCCAGCCATCCGAGAGAAAGCTGTTTGGAGGAGGAGGTCCGACCTCCCACTTCCTGAGACGTCGGTTCCAGCCGGTCAGTGTGGGCACCCTTTGACAGGCGGTAGTTCGGAGCCGCCAAGTGCTCCAGATCGGAGGCTGTGGAGCCCCAGGCACCGAGAATCTGGCGGGATGGGGCCCCGTCGACAGGACGGCTAAACCGAGGAGACACCTGGCGCCCTGAAGAACCAGGTCAAAACTCACAAGCCCACCCAGGAAAGGCTGGGTGAAGGGCCCCCGCATCCACAAGAAGGGCCCTTCCTCCCCTGCCTGCTGGTGCTGCAGTAAACGTGTTCACGGGAATGTCACAGGAGGTTTGAAAGCAATAAAAAAAACCCTGTGACATAAATAACATATAAATGTTCTGATGTGACTAAAAAATGACCCAAGACAAGAACAGCAGCAGGTGTGGTTGACTCTGTGGGGCGGAGCCAGGAGGAGCCAGAGCTGGGCAGGTGGGGGGGGGGGTCCTGGGGTGAAGGAAAGAGGAGGGGGCGACACAGCCTGGGGACTTGACAAAGGCTTCGAGTGCCGATACCTCCGGCTTTGTCCCCAGAAAGATGGTGCTGCGGCTGCGGCAGGCCTGGACACCGGCTCCTCCTGGGGAAGCCTGCTGGTCAGACACGCTTCCCGGGTCCCCAGCAGGACCTTGGCAGAGAAGGCTCTGGACAGAGCCACACCGTCCACCCGGGAGCAGGCCGTGGTCCAGGGGACGCTGGATGGTTCCAAACGCCCCGATCTTGTCGTGGCAACCATCAGTGTTTGTAGAGTGGGTTCGTGGGTGCCATGCACCCTGTTGGCCAGCCTGGCTGCTCGCCTGCGTATCTGGAAAATCCTGGGTCGCTTATAGGAAGGACAGGGTCCCGCCACAGTGTGGGGCCAGCAGAGGGCCCTTTGTCAGGCAGGAAGTGTGGCAGGAGGCGGAGAACCGGGGCTGCTGCTGCTGCTGCGGGAGACCCAGCCCTTGGCCCCCGCTGGCCCTGGGACCCGGTGGCTCACAGCAGGCCCTGTGTGACCGGGCAGGCTGCGCAGAATGCCCCATTTATTCCGAGCCGCGTCAACAAAGTCAAACAGAACAACGGGCCTGTGTCCTGGCTTCGATGGCACCTACTCAGCAGCCTCCTACAAACCAGAGTTCCAGCTCCAGTTGTTCCCGTGAGGGGGTGGGGGGAGGACGCAAGCGGGACAGCTCGGTCTGGGCCAGGCTTGGCTGCAGGAGCCCCATTTCTGGGCCTGGATCTATCTTCCTTCCTTCCTTCCTTCCTCCCTCCCTCCCTCCCTCCCTCCCTCCCTCCTTTCTTTCTCTCTCTCTCTCTCTTTCTTAAATATTTTATTTATTTTTAGACAGAGGGGAAGGAGAAAGAGAGGGAGAGACACATCAATGTGTGATTGTCACTTGGGTGTCCCGTTTAGGACCTGGCCTGCAACCCAGGCATGTGCCCTGACTGGGAATTGAACCAGCAACCCTTTGGTTCACAGGCCTGCACTCAGTCCACTGAGCCACACCCGCCGGGGCTGGGCCTGGACGTTCCTGACTGCAGATCCTGCTCCGTGGGCCCCGTGGGGTAAAAGCTGTCCCCAGGTGAGAGCAGCGGGCAGGCTGGGCACACGCACCTTGGGCTGGAGGCCGGGCAGACAGTGCGGCCTTCTGGGGGTCACAGGTGGGGTGGGGGGACAGTCAGGGAAGGACGGCACCAGACTGTGTGGCTCCCGGGACGGCGTTCTGCCCGCCCGTCCGCTGCTCTTCTGTGAGGACACCAGCCGTCGGGCTCGGGAGCCTCCTGGATGCTGCAGGAGGTCGCCTGAACTTCAACTCCATCCGCGAAGGCCCTGGTCCCAGATAAAGGCGTGGCCACCGTGCCTGAGGGGCACAATCTTATCCACCGCAGACACCGGGCCCTAGGCGAGGCAAAGGTTCCACCCTCTGGCACCACCCAAGGACTCACTGGATCTGGAAACACTGAAGTCCTTCCAGGGGATTAAAATTATTCTAGCCCTGGCTGGTGTGGCTCAGTGGATTGAGTGCAGGCCTGCGAACCTAGGGAACGCAGTTCGATTCCCAGTCATGGCACATGCCTGGGTTGCAGGCCAGTTCCCAGGGAATGCAGAAGAGGCAACCATACATTGATGTTTCTCTCCTTCTCTCCTTCCCTTCCCCTCTAAAAGTGAATAAAAAATTTAAAAAATATATATTCTAGCCCTGGCTGGTGTAGCTCAGTAGATTGAGCGCGGGCTTGCAAACCAAAAGGTTGCTGGTTTGACTCCCAGTCAGGGCACATGCCTGAGTTACAGGCCAGGTCCCCGGTGGGGGATGCACAAGAGGCAACCACACATTGATGTTTCTTTCCCTCTACTTCTCCCTCCCTTTCCCTCTCTCTAAAAATAAATAAATCTTTAAAAATATATATATATATTCTAAAAGGCAGTGGTTGGCGCGGCTCTGAATCTACAGCGTCGGTAGCTGACTTCCCGCAGGGCGGACAGACCCACGGGACTTTGTGCACAGAGCCACGCTTCCAGCAGTCAGGGCTCTGCACTTCCTGCCCAGGATAGCCCGGCTCTCAGCCAATGCTCCTTCAAAGCTAGGATGGTCCGGGCCCACCCTGTGGCCCTGAATGAGTCACCCCCGTCCCAATGCCCTCTAGCCTCCTGGGTGGGGCCTCGGGGCACAGCGGCACCACCCAGTGTCCCCTACGGAGCTCACAGGCAGGGTGGTTCCGGCTACAGGGACAGAGTCTCAGCTAGTGTCCGCACCCCACCTGCCCTGGTGCAGCTGAACAGACACCTGGGGCGGGGGGGACACACACGGCTGTTAGGCTGTTACTGAGGCCGGAGTCTGGGTCCTTCCCCCATCCCCTGCTCCCTCCCTGTTCAATCAGCAGGGTTCCTGTCCCAAAGACACCCTTCTTAGTGAACCAGACCCTGTGGGGGGCCGGGGGGCCAGCGGCGCACCCCTGTCCAGTACATGGAAGGGAAGTCACGACACCAGCAGGTCCCTTCCAACAGCTGCGGCTTCTCGGGAACCACACACCTGCCCAGAGGACGCTGCCCACGCTCCCTCCCCCAACCCCACGCCCCTGGGCAGGGCAGGGACGACTGCCCCTGGGCCCGGTCTCTGTGCTGCCTCTTCCCGGAGGAGCCCAGGGGCAGCTCCTCCGGCAACTGGGCGGCACCCCTCTGAGGACCAGGGGGAATTTCAGACGCGCCCGCACTGACTGGGCCCCAGCCCACGTGCAGAAGCCCACAGAGGACATCACGACAGGAAGCTGTGTCTTCTCCATTTATTATCACAATAAATAGCTCACGGCAATGACTGCGGGGAGAGGGGCCCACGGCGCCACGGCGGCCTGAGCCCGCGCCCGTGACGCCGAGCACGCGCCGCGCACTGGGGCCGGGTCTGGGGCCACTGCCCACGGGGACGGAACGTGGTCTCCTGTGGTTTTCACAGTAAGCGTTTATGGTTTTTACAAAAACACCAAAGCTATGACGTTTTTTAATTTAAAAAACACAGAAGTAGCTGCGCGGACACCGTGTGGTTGGGACACCTTGGCTCTCTCCCGAAAACAGCCAGACACCGTCGTGCAGACCAGAATCACAGAGACGCGGCCCTCACCCCGACCCCGGGGAGGCCCTGGGCTGCCCGGCCTCCGCCCAGGGGCCAGGCGGCCGCACCTGCTCCTTCCCTTGCCGTGGGTCCGTCTTGCTAGAAAGCTCACTCCAAACCTCTCCTCACGATGGGGCTCATGCCCCAGGACAGGAGGGGGCGGTGCTTCCATCGTCCCGAAGGAGGCCAGTGAGGCCCCCCTGGTCTCCACGCCCCACTGCCTCCTTCCTCCGCCGCGCCAGCTTCCTCGGACCCTCCGGCCAGCCTGGCACCCAGCCTCACCAGGACAAGAGCCTTCTGCCAAACTCTCCAAACCTCGGCGTCCCCTCGGCGTCCCCATCAGGCCTTCAGCAGGGCCACCGTGTGCTCCGGGACGGACTCGTCGCCCACGTTGTAGGGCTGGGTTCCCGGCTCCTGACTCAGGAATTTCTCTGCAAAGGTTGACGCGTTTCAGTGGAAACGCGCGGGGTCAGCCCACAGGAGGGGACCGACGGCCCCGTGTCAGGGTCGCCGGGCCACGTCCCCGCGCCTGTCATCACCGCCTTCCCTTCCCTGCCACGGAGACCCTTTCTGGTGGGTGGGGGCCGGTGTGTCACTTGCTGCCTCCCACGGAGGCGTCTGGGCGGCCTCCTTCCAGCGACAGCACGGGCTCGGCTACCGGGCCAGGCTGACGCTGCCAGACCCAGCGACCCCTACGCCCCATCTCGTGTGATGTGCTAGGGGGGCAGAGCCAACCACGGCAGGAGGACAGGACAGCGGCCCTGCCGTGGGGTCCCCGGACAGGGGCCGAGGGACATTCTGGAACAAGGGGATTTGCTCTGCCTGCTTGGTGCACACCCAGCTGGGTCCAATCAGAACCGAAACTGATGGGCGGGGTCCGCACACTTCTCCGCGTGTAAACCAAACCTCTATGGAGACATACACTTGAGAAATGACCCCAGCACCAGAGGGCCCGACTGCCCGTTCGTGTCCCCGTAACTGGACTCCAGCATCCAACCCTCATGTCCCCCAGCGTCCAGTCTGCCGTCCCAGCCCACGCTGTGGGGACGCCGGGCTGTCTTACCCGTGGCCCTGCCTACACACACCTGCTGCTTCCATGGTGGGGAAGTGCCAGACGCCCCTCAGGTCAGCGGACAGCAGGGCTTGGAGGATGGACCCCTGTGGGACGGACAGATGTGAGCGCCAGGCGGGAGGCCCCGGCTGCGGCTCAGGGACAGGCCGGCGTGAGCTCGGCAGCAGTCTCTGGGCTGACTCCCCTGCCCCCACCCAGGGACCTGGAGAGAAGGCCACCGCTGGGAGAGGGCCTCGAGGGGACTTTTAAATAAGCAACTTTCCAAAGGACGCAAAGGTGTGCGCCCCACAAACGGCACACGGACGTCCCAGGTGGACGGGCCGCCGTCCTGGCCATGCGACCTTGGGCAGTCACTCGGCTCCCCTGGGCCCCAGCACTTTCGTGCCGACATAAGGGGGTGACGAGACTGGCCTCACGGCTGGCCAGGGCGTGACCAGGGCCAGCTGCAGTGGGACGCTCACCTGCAGGCCGACGAAGACGAGGGTGACGCCCGCCCTGTCAAAGTCCTCCATCAGCTCGCTGAGCCCCAGCGCCACGGTGGCGTCCATGCTGCAGACGCGGCTGCACTCCAGGATGGCGCAGCGTGGGGGCGACGCTGTGGAGACAGGCGTGGGCGGGTCACGGTGGGGGGAGGCCGCCACGTCAGGGGAGCGGGGTCAAGGCGGGCTCAGGGGCCCAAGACGGGAGCAGCGGTCTGGTCTCCCCCAGAGGAACAGCCAGCCCTTCTCTCCCCAAACACCAGCCCCCAGGAGAAGGAGCAGGTCCTCAGGGACCAAATCAGGGAAGTGTCAACCCTTGCTCCAGGCTGTGTGCAGAAAGTCTGTGCCCTCTGGAACGAGGGGACCAGACCTGGCCACGGAGGATGCTCCTGAGATGGCCTGACCCCCTGGACTACCCGGGTGGGCAAGCCTGTCCCTGACAGAGGGCAGAGTCCTGAGGTCTGGCAGTGGGCTGGTGCAGAGGGGACAGCAAGGAGCTCAGGGCGACCGGGCCACGCACCTTCCAGAGCCCGGCTCACCACCACCTTTCGGAGGGCCTCGATGGCGGGGAAGTGCAGGCCGCTGGTCGGCTGCAGAATCAGCACCGGCCCCTCTCCGTCCAGCACCTGGGGACAGTGGCAGGGAAGGCAGTTGAGTCCTGAAGGCCACCAGGCCAGCAGCACCAGGCTCAGGGTAGGATGGGGACAGGGGTTCCAGCCAGCCCAAGCCCTTGGCCCACGCACCACCGCCCCACGTAGTGGGGTGCCCCCTGCGCTGTCCTGGCCGGACAGCTGGCCCCTCACTCAGCAGTGCCTCAGGCCACAGCCTTACCCATAGCTCAGAACTCAGGGCCAAGGGGTCCCACCCAGGGCTTGCTTCTCCCCTGGGGCCCAGGGCCAGCGGCTCCCTTCCAGACCTGAATCTTGGGTCTGGCCGCAGAGTACAGGAGAATCAGCACCGACACCAGGGTCCCTGCCAGGATGCCGTACTGCACCTCCCAGAAGCAGAGCAGGAAGGTCACGGCCAGGGGCAGCAAGTCCAGCCCTGGGGGAGAAGATGAGCCGCTGAGAGGCTGCTTCGCATGGAGCTGGGCTCCCAGCCACCAGTCGGCGTGCGCGGCTTTGCACGTGCCAAGTGGAGGGATCAGACCCCAAGCAGCCCCTAGGCCCCGCAGGAGACCTAGGACTCAGGGGCTGCCAATGGCCATGCTGGCTCAGGAACAGTCCGAGGCAGAGGCACTCCCTGCCTGGACCGGGGCAGCTGAGGCCTCCCTGGCAGGGCCCAAACCGCCTGCCCTCTGGGAGGCGGCCAACACGGACCAAGGAAGAAGGGACTTGGGGACGAGACCAGGCCTGGGAAGTGAGGGTCCAGGAGAGACCACCTGGGAGCCCTTAGGCAGGATGCATGACTTCTCCTCACTAGAGGAGGGGGTCCTGGGGCCGAGTGGGCAGGGTGGGGGTGGTCCCACGTTCGACCTCACACAGCTCGCTCAGGTTGTCCCTCACCCTCTGGGCTGCACAAAGATGGAGACACGATGACACTCGAGCATCCCCAGCCCACCACGGCACGTGACCTAGTCACGTTCCCTGCGCTTGAAGACCCCTGATGGGGGTGGGGGCGGGAGCGGGGAGCCGCAGAAGCCCCTTAACCACCGCGAGAAACAGACACTTGTTCCCGTGAAGGGGCCGCTGGCTCTGCAGGGACCTGGGACCACGGCGCTGGTTTAAGGTGCCCGTGCGAAGAGGCAGCCTGACCCTCGGCCCCGCGGTGACACCTCCCAGAACCACGCGGCCTCCAGCTCCCAGCCGGCCACTGTGGTTTGGGGGGAGGGCGGGGCCCTCGAGCAGACAGGCGAGGAACTACGCACTCTTCACGCGCCAGAGCGTCCCCACGATTGAGGTGTCCACCAGGGGGGCCACGGCCGTGATGATGATGGCCGCCAGGGCGGACTTGGGGATGAAGTAGAAGACAGAGGTCACGTAGTCCAGCGACAGCAGCACCAGGACCCCTGCGGGGTGGGACACCGCTGACTTGGGGCCCCCCACGCCTCCCACCAGGCGGGCGATCCGCCCCCCGCCCCAGGGGGCACCACTGGGCTCCAGGCCAACTGCACCGGGACCCCTCCTGTCTCCTGTGTCACCGCCTGGGCACAGGGGCTCGGCGTGGGGGACTCACCTGTCACCAGCCCGCCTGCCGGGGTGCACACCCCCGACTGGGCATTCACGGCGGTCCTGGAAGGCACAGGGGACCCGTTAGTGGCAGTGAGAGCAAGGGAGGTGACTGTCCACACAGGCAGCTGGTCTCAGGACAGGGGGGCCCCAGTGGGACCACCGGGACCCCTAATCTTAAGAGAAAATGGACTCTGGGGGTCCCTCACCAAAGGGGGATGTCCCAGACCCAGAACAACCCATGGGTGCACCTTCGAGAAACACAGTAAGAAAGCCAGACACCCCACAGGGCCTGCAGGACTGACCCCCACAGTGGGCAGAGCTGAGCCCCCTCCACCCCCCACAGCTGGGCCCCAACACAGCTCCGCAGCTTCTTAGGACAAGACCCTTGTCCACTCTGACAGGGACCCCTTTCGGGAGAGGAGATCAGGACTCGGAAACACCAGGATGGACACACAGAGGGACAACCACACTGGGGACAAGGCGAGAAGGCAACATCTGCTGGCCGAGGGCAGAGGCGTGGGAAGGAGCCAGCCCTGCCTGCACCCCGCCCCCCGCTGCCAGGGGGCCGACAGACACAGCCCGAACCTTTCAGGATTAACCTTTAGCATACAGGCTAAAGAAAACCTGAGGAGACGCTGAGGGGAGCAGGGCGAGCCTCTCCCACACCCCAGATGCTGGAGCAGAACCGGGAGAAGGAAGCTGGGCTGGGACGGGGGCAGAGGCCAGGGCCCGGCCCGGGGAAGTCGGATCTGGGACCGGGACCTCCCAGAGGCACAGAGGACAGTGGGCACTCACCGTCCAAAGCTGCCGGTGACCGGGAAGGATGAGAAAAAGGAGCCCAGCATGTTGGTCAGGCCTGGGGGACAGGGAAGAGGCAGACGTGTGGGGAAAGGGGCGTGGCACGGGGGGGGAGAGTGGGGGTGGGAAGGAGGTGAAGCCAGAAGGAAACAGGAAGACGCGGGCTCCTAATGCTCTCACAGGAAGGACAAAGAAACCCAGTTCCCTGGGTGGGCCTGCGTGCTCCAGCCTCGGCCGGGAGTGGACGCAGTGGAGACAGAGGCCCACCATCCTCCGAGTTGAGGGGCGGGTCGCAGCCGGCGAACGGTCTTTCCCGCGTGACGCTGACTACCCCGCACGGAGCAGAACCCACACCTGGGGCCCGGACCCGGGACGTCAGCCCACGGCTGTCCATCGGCCCCCAGGGTCCGTCTCAGCCGGGAACCTTCCCACAGGCCAGTCTCCCTGCCCCACGGGGGCTCCGACGGGGACCCTCCCCGGGCCAGCCGTCTGGGGGTCCGGGCCTGCCACCTACTCTGCGCTGGCCGAGAGCCGCCTGCCTGGCACCCTGGGCTGCAGCCTGGGCCACCCAGCTCATGGCCTCTGTCTGGGCTGTACCCAGACCCCCACACCGTCAGGGGCAGACTCTGAGCTCCTGGCAGACGGGAGCAGGGGCAGCTCTGCGGGCTCCCCAGGGGGCATCAGTGGGCGGGCATGTGGGTCGGTCTTTCTCTGTCTAGGGGGGGCGATTCCCGGGACAGCCCAACTCCACCCACCGACGGAGCTCAGAGAGCAACAGGGGAGCCTCCCTGGGACCCCAAACTCTTGCTATTGAGAAACTCCACAGCTGGGGTCCGAGACGCTGCCCTGACAAGGTTCCTGGTGGGCCCCTTGGAAGGGACCCGGCGGTGCCACCCAGGAAGCCCGTGCCCGCCTCGGGAAGGGTACGAAGCAGGGCAGAAGGCCCGGCACCCACAAAACGAAAAACGGAAGTGATGGCCCTGGCCGGTGTGGCTCTGCCGGTCGGGCCTCACTGTGACCACCACTGCCACTGGCCCAGCTCCAGAGCACGCACACGCGTGCCCGGCCTCGGGAGAGCGGCGCTGGGGTCTCACCGATGGACAGCAGCTCCTGGTTGGTGTTGATGCGGTAATTGTTTTGAGACGCTGAAGAGAAGAGACGATAAAAACGCTGTCACTAGGCAGATGACATCAGTGGGAAAACGTTCATGAAATGAACACACAGGCCACACGTGTCCACCTGGGACCCCAAGCTTTGCAAACACATCGACACACCTGAAGCACACACACGACTGTGTGTGGGGACACGCCTGTGAGTCTCAGGACACAAGGGCAGGCAGGGTGTGAGGAGGGCGCCTTACCAAAGGATCTGGCCACGGCGATGCTCTCCAGCAGACCCATGAGGGGCACGACGGCCAGCCCGGCCCCCATGTCCTGGGGAGAGAGGAAAGGACTCACGGCTGTTGCCCCCGCGAAAGGGGTTTCCTTTCCGGAGCAGGAGCGGCTCAAGGTCGCACCGTGTGTCACTTTGTAGCATGTCCAGCTCCCCCACCTGCCTCTGTTCTTTGTCTTTCTGGTTATCTTTTGTGTGGGGGGTGGGGTACCCTAGAATCTTCATCTCAGGGCTTTCACGCATCTTGGTCGTGACTTAGAAAACTGCGCTCCTTCAAAGTCAGCTGCCCGCCGGACCTGACTTGGGAAGCTGAGGCAGATCCCACATTTGGGGGAGCAAGGGTGTGGGCCTCGAGGTGGGGCTGGGAGCTCGCACAGCCAAGGTGCCTCTCCCGACTGGACAAGGAGCAGGGCGCAGAGAATCCCTGCCCCGCCGCATGCATGGTGGCAGGAATACCCCAGCCCAAGGCAGGAAAGTCGGCGTGGGGACCCGAGGCCGGGCCCCATCTGGAGTTCCTTCCTGCCGGCCCCTACACCCACAGACACCCCTTCGTGTGGGGAGCTCCTAGCTGAGCTCAGGGCTCCCTGCCACCGAGCAGGTGGATCAGGGGGCAGAACCCGGCTCCTGTCCCCACTCACCTGCACCATCTCGGTGAAGGAGACCGTGCCGTTGGCAGTGGACAGAGAGAAGGGAGGGACCTGCAGGGGAGGGAGCCCCTCGACTATCTTCCCAGTGAGGATGAAAGGCTGGCACCCGGTCACCTCGAAGGAGTAGGCGATCAGCGCCGCGAAGGAGACCACCAGGGCGTTTCGAGCTAGAACAGAGAGAAGGGCCTGTGGGTGGCACCCGCGTGTTCTGGGGGAGGAGGCGGAAGACCCCGCCCCAGCCACCACCCCCTGCACTACAGCCTGGGGACAGTGGGGACATTCGTGGCACAAGGAACCGTGACACCGAGGGAAATGCACCGAGGCGGGACAGAGGACGGGCCGCACACAGCGTCCGCACACGTCATCCACCAGGCACTGGGGCCCCCAGAGCCAGCTGCGCGGCGGAGCCCCTTTGAGGTCAGATGGCCCAGGACGGTTCTGCTTCGAGGCAACACGGAGCGAGAGAGCCGGCTTTCCCGGCGCCCGAGACCACCAAACCTGAACAACGTGCGTGGGGAATCGGGTGTGCGTGTAGGTGGCCTCAGGCCGAGCTCCTGGAAACGAGAACCTGAGCGTCTGACACGGAAAACGTGCCGGTGGAGCTCCACACGGATCAGACACTAAGGCGGGTGGTGGCCTGTGAGCTGGAATGCGGTGCAGACGCCACCCAGGACGAGCCCAGAGCAGATGGGCCCTGACGCGCCACCCGGAGCCGTGCGGGCGACCCGAGAGGCCAATCCGCACGCAGCAGATCCACACGGAAGCCCACGCTGTTGGGGGGGGCGGGGGGTTGAGGGGCAGGCAGCACAGGTGCTCAAAGAAATAGCGGCTGAATCGTGTTCCAAGTTCGATGGAAACTGCCAACTCGCATCTCCCAGAAGTTCAGTGACCTCCGAGAAGAGATGGGGGGGGGAGAGCAAGCTACAAGACACATCTTAGTTCGACGACCTGAAACCAGTGGCAGGGAGAACCGTGAGTGTGGCGAGAGAAAAGGGCCACAGAGAGAGGGGCAGAGATAAAAACGACAGCAGGACAGAGCAGTATCTTCCAAGTACGGAAAGGGGCACCTGGCCAGGGAGCTCAGTTGGTTAGTGTCGTCCCGATACACCAAGGTGTGGGTTCAATCCCCGGTCAGGGCACATGCAAGAATCAGCCAACAAATGCATCAGTATGTGGAACAGCAACTGGATGTGTCTTTCTCTCTCACTTCCTCTCTCTAAAATCAATAAACTTTTTGAAAAATGTTTTATAAGATTTTATTAATTTATTTTTAGAGGAAGGGGAAGAGAGAAAGAGAGGGAGAGAAACATTAATGTGTGCTTGCCTCTCACACACCCCCAACTGGAAACCTGGCAGGCATGCACCCTGACTGGGAATCGAACTGGTGACCCTTTGGTTCACAGGCCAGCACTCCATCCACTGAGCTACACCAGCCAGGGCTAACATCAATGAAATTTTTAAAACATTAAAAAGGAAATAAAGCACAGAAGGGGTGAGGGGAGACCTGTCTAGAACTCTGCATCAAGCAAAACTACCTTCTACATACGAGAGCGAAACAAAAATGTTCACAGAGCCATCAAAACCCAGAAGCGAGTGGCCCGCAGGCCTGCACCACAGGGACCCAGGAAGGGGTCCTCGGGGCGGCAGGAAGGCGCCAGCGGTGCGTCCGTCTGCACAAAGGAAGGCAGAGAGCTGGGAAGAGCAATGACGCGGGAGAATGCAAGGCCCTCTGTTCGTCAAGGCAGGGCGTGTGGGAAGCAAGACCACGGTCCCAGGGAGGAATCCGCGGGGCAGCAAGGGCACTCCTGCCCGCGGGAAGCCGAAGGGGTGCGTTGGGAGGTGAGAAGGGACACTGTACATGTGTGAAGCCCGTGCCCCTCCACCCCGGGGAGCCTCAGCCCTACTCACGCTTCTAGTCTGCAGAACGGGGGCCGGTGAGGGGACTGGGGACCACCTGAGTAGCTGGAAGTGACTTAAGGGCTGAACTGAGCAACCCCTCTTCCCACAGCTGCTGGTTTTTGTGGCCAAGGAAGAGCAGGGCCAAGTGTGGTGTGATTCCCACGCCCCCTGAGCTCCGAGAAGGTCCCGTGCACACCTGTGCTTCCTTAGTGTCCTGTCCCTGCCTTCCCCTCTGGGAGTCACCGACTGCCAGCAGAGCCTCGGGGACCTCTGAGGAAAGGTCCCCACCTACCCAGAGATGGCTCCCAACCAGCGATGGCCACATGGACCAGGCTGTCCCCTCAGGCCGTGCAGCTCGGCTGCGGGGGCGGGTCCTCGGCCGGAGGGCCCCTCACCTGTCGTGGCGGTCCAAACCAGCCCACAGCTGATGCGCATGCCGGTGGGCATGTCATGGAAAGAAGATGGCACGTGTTCCCGCATCATCTTCAGCATGACCAGCAGCAACATGCAGACCATCCCCAGCACGACGTCGCCCGGCCTGCAGACAAACGGGGATCACCGCCTGACTCGGCCAAAGGCACACTGTCGGGAGCCGACCAGCAGCCGTCCCTTGACACAGTGGGGACGGATGAGATGCGTCTGCACAGCAGAGGCAACTGTGGCCAGACTTCCCGTCTATCTCTCCCTGCGTGTTTGTCTTTGCGGTTAATAGGTGGTGGGATTTTTAGACACCTGTGTTTCAGGTCCAGTGATCTGCATAATTCCAATGAGGTTGTACAAAGTGCTTTCTTGGCCAGAGAACAAAGTCCCCCCTAATGAAGTAGCCCCTGAATGTCTAAAAGTTGGTGAGTAACGGCCCCTCCTCTACCTTGGACAGGAATGTATATCAATTAGAATTAGGCAAAGAAACAGGAGAAGCTGATTAGCTATTACAAACGAGCATGAGGAAACAATTACCAAGGAGTCACAGTCCGTGGTATATAAGGAAACATGTTAGACAGAAAGATAGTCAAGTTCGACACCACAAAGGCCTTGTGGGTTTCCCATAACCACCATCCAGTCTAACGTATCCTCGCGACCCGTGCCAAGTTCTAAATACACATCTATTCATCAATGAAACATCTGAAACTCTGTATATACAGCTATTTCTAATTGTCTGACTGATGGCTCTCTGGTCGAAATCACCTTTGTGTAACATGACTGAGCCTGTGGAGTTTCCTGTATTTTCCCTAATTACCTCTGTATTGATTTTTTCTGCTTAACTGATCACGCCATGCCCCTGTTTCTTTTATGATATGTAACGATCTCTACAAAAATAAAGCTTAAATCAAACTCAGAGAGTTCGGTCAGACCCTCAGAGGCATCCAATCGGGTGTCTGACTTCGTCGCCTGCGCCGTCCATCCTTCAGGGACCCTGAGACCTGCCGAGGCTGGACCCCGGCAGCACGTCCTGGCCGACAGGTGGCCCTTCTGCTGGAAAGCCCCCTCTCTCGCCATTGCTCTTTTTGCGTTTTCCTAGAAAATCTGCACCCCTGTTCTACTTCGAAACTCGGTAGGTGCACAGGTCGGTGCAGGACCGGGAGCAGAGGCGGCAACCAGAGAGGCAGCAGTCCCTGTTTCTGGTCACGTGGTTCCCTGGGCTACACAGGCCTCATCAGTTCCAGAAGGTTTACTCCTGACAACCTAGGACGGTCTCCATCCCGTCGGTCTCCATTTCTGACCCCCCACCAGCTACGCATCCCTGGTCCCCTCCTCCCCCGGCCTCGGCTCTGCCTCCCAGGGCAGCACCTCCTGCAGTTCCCCTCAGGTCGCTCCTTCTGCCAGAGGTGTCCTGGCTTCCAGCTGGACTCATCTGGAGGGTCTCCTGTTTGTCCCTCTGGCCTGCCTGCCCCTGGGAGCCACCCCTCTGCCTTGAGGCAGGAGACCCAGTTCCCGACCTGCCAGTCTTCCCTTGGGCACCAGCACCACCTACTGGCCTCCGTCTTCCACTTGCTCTGCTCTCTCTTCCTCAGAACTAGACTTTGCGAGACTGCTGACCCTCCTCTACTACAAGGTCTCTTCCCACTGCTACCCACAAGACAGACTCCTCTCGGGACCACAGAGTCCGGCTCAGGTTGCCCAGAGCAGACTTCTCCCCCCACCCCGTGCACCTGACCTACCCAACGGGCTGGCTGCTCAGGTCTCTGGTGGTCCTGACAGTGCTGCCGCAGGGACCCCTGAAGGAGCAGCAAGCCGCCCCCCCCGGGATGAAACAAATGCCAGGCGGAGTGGAAGGGAAGGGGCCAGGAGTGGGGAACAGAAAGACGCCGGCGGGATACCTGGTCTGTCCAATGTTGCGGAAGGTGTAGTACACCTGCAGGAAGAACTGCCTCGGGATGTGCTGCAGACCCAGCAGGTTCTGTGCAAACACAGAAGCTCAGGTGAGCCTGCCCTCCCCACACGGGCCTCTCCGGGGGACCACCTGCCCATTCCCCCAGCCAGGTCAAAGGTCCCCTGGGGGGGGGGTGAATGGGCATTTCACAACGCTGGGGGTGAATGACACACCCTGGCCCACTATTTGCATTTCTGGAAAAAGGGGCGGTCTCAAAGCAGGGAGATGGGTTCTATCCTGCAGCGGTCTGAAGCACAGCCCGCCCCGCCCCCTGCTGAGCAGTCCCTATCGTCATTGGCTGTCAGCCGCATCTGTCACTAAGCAGCCCGCCCCCCACCGTGTAGACCCTGCCACCATTGGTCCCAGACTATGTCCACCACTCTGAGGCCCGCCCACTGGCACCGCCCTCTGCTGGGAAGAACAATTAGGAGGTGCAGGCGCCGCGGCAAAACCTCCCCGGATCACAGAGCAGCTAGGGGACAGGACTTCCCACTGGGAACTGGGTACCCGAAAGGGGACCGGGGACCCACTCTGTGCTTCAGTCCTTTATCCCTCTGGAGACCAGGCGGGGAGCGTCTGAGGGGGAGTCCGGGTCCACACTCCAAGGCGGTCAGCTCCCAGGACCCCAACCCGTGCACACACAGCCCCGAAGGGAAAGGGCAGGGGGTGGGCGGACACGGACTGGGGCCACTGTCCTGGGGAGGTCTGGGGGACCCCCACCGGCAGCACGGCCCAGTGGCTCTCTCAGGTGGCTGCTGCGACCTGGACTTCTGGCAGCTGGGGTCTCTCAGTACCAATGCAACAAGCAGCCACCCTCTACGCCCATTATATTTGTGTAAATCGCCATTGCTGTCGAAAATTGCAGGGCCATGTTTGCTGACAAAGAACAGATCAACCCAGGGCACAGCACCGGACAAGCTCGACGCGCACTGCGCATCCCGTGCCCCACCCCCTGCAGGAGGCACCGCCCACGTCTCTCGGCTGGCAGCTCCTTCCTCCCTCCCTGCAGGTAATGACGCACCTACCTCCCACGGGTGTCGGGTGTCGTGAGGATGAAATGCAGAGGAGCGCCGACCCCAGTACCTCCCACACAGGAGGAGGACTGCTTTATTCTCACACACCCCTCCCCTCCTTGGTGTTCTCTCCCTGGGGAACGCTCAGAGGCCAGCAGGGGGCAGCCTTGCAGGGGGCGCCAGGTGGTGGAGGGGCTGCCATGGTGACGCCAGGTCACCAGGAGGGGCACAGGCGTGTGCGTGTGTGTGTGTGTGTGTGTGTGTGTGCGCGCGTGCGCGCGCGCCTGCCTGCCTGCCTGCCTGCCTGCCTGCCAGCCTGCCAGGGCAGGTGTCCTGGGCTTCGCCTGCGCTGTTGGGCCAATTCACTCTGTACTCCCAACTGAGCACTTACCTGCCAGAGACAGAGCAAAGCCAGGGCCTGCTCTCTGAGAACCTAAAATTACTAGAAGCTGAGTAAACAATTCCCATACTTCCTAATGATGTGTAAAAAAAGCACCGTACTTGAAAAATATTAAGCACAGATTTTAAAGAAAACGTGAGATGAAATCGGCCAGATTAGTGTGGTGAATAACTTGCTGGAATTCAGCAGTGCGCTTTAGAGAGAGCAGGACCGCTCTGTGAGCTGAACTCAGCACAGCTGCAGTGCAGAAATCTCACCCGCCCACCCTGCTGGTTTCTAGACTCTGACCATCTAGACATCTCCCCCAGGGCCCGCTGTTCCAGGAGACCCTGGGAGCGCCCTGTGCTCTGAGCTCTGCAACTGCTCACCTTGATCTGCCCGAAGCCAATGGTGATGGCGGCAGCAGAGGTGAAGCCTTTGATGACGGGGCAGGAGATGAAGTCCAGCAGGATCCCTGGGGGGTGAAGGGGGAGCACTGAGCTGGCCCCAGAGGACTTGGGTGGACACAGGCTGGGAGAGGGGTGTGGGTGGGGCAGGCGCACCATCCAGGTTGGTTTGGATAGCAGGAACGGTCCAAGGCCCTGGGCTCCCCTCCAAGTAGCATGGTCCCTAAGCAGAATGGCGGGGCAGGGGGCTGGGCTGGGCACCCCCACCCCACCCTCACAGGGCTAGCCCTTGCAATGCCAAGAAAGAAATGTTGAGGGCAGGGCATCCCCAAGAGGCAGGTGACTTGGTTATCCAGGAAACAGAACAGCAGGGCACCCGCCCCCCCCCCCCAGCAGGAAGGCCCAGGAGTCTCACCCAGGCCCAGGAAGCTCATGGCTAACTGGATGCAGCCCGACAAGAAGGCCAGCAGCACAGCGTAGGCAGGCTCGTGGAAGGTGTAGGAGGAGACCAGGAGGGACATGATGGCTGTGGGGCCCAGTGTCACGTCCCGGGAGGTGCCCAGGAGCAAATACACAAAGCACCCCATGAAGGCAGAGTACAGGCCGTACTGTTGGGGAGAGAAAGCTGTGAGCTCCCTCCCAGGAGGCAGGCTCACGGGGTGCCTGGTGCAGCCGTCTGAGGGGCCCCAGCGCACACAAGCAGGGAAACCCCTCGCCTCTCCTACCCATGCAGCCCAACCTGCAACGGTCAGGGGGCCTTTGCTCTACCAGCTGTAAAAGCGTGCGAACATCGGGGTCTGCCTCTGAGCATCCCACTGGCCCCATCAGGCAACCCAGGGCTAGCTCGGTGCCCGTGTGGCTGTGTGACAAGGGCAGTTATAGTGCTGTGTCTGCCCAAGGACAGTCACGTGCTCCAGGCTATAACCAAGGAGTCTCGATCCTATGGCCGAGCCCTGGGCGCCCCCCCTGTCTGGAGGCAATACTGTGCATTCCTGCTGAGCTTCTGGGCGGGCACTGAGGCCCAGAGCGGGGTCAGTGTGGAGGGGACACGGGGGCAGACCCCTCACCTGGGCCGGGAGCCCGGCCACCTCAGCATAGGCCAGCGCCTGGGGAATGACCGTGAGCCCGACCGAGAGCCCCGCGATGAAGTCCATCTTCAGCCACTGCATGGAGTAGTCTGGCAGCCAGGCCAGGATGGGCAACCACTTCTGCAGGGTCGCCCGGGAGCAGCAGCAGGCCATCGGGGCCAGGCCAGGAGGCCAGGGAGTGGCCCGATCCATCGCCTTCAAAGATGACGACATGCCTGTGGAGGGGGACACGGACCAGCGATCAGGGTCTGGGCTTCAGAGACGTCAGCAATAGGGCGAGGGTCCAGGGGAGACCCCGTCTGTCTGTCTGTCTGTCTGTCTCCAGCTGGGGGGGTCTAGCCACCTGGGTTAGGGAGCCTGAACCAATGGTGGAAGCCCCCCCTATCCATTCCCCCCAACTGCTCTCCCTGAATCCCACCTGCCTAAACCCCAGAAACCTTCTCTCCCTCCATCAGTGCTCGCCAGGAAAAACACAGTAACTGATTTCTCAATGAGAAGCCTGGACACTAATTACACTCAACCTTTGTACTCAGGAGAGAATTTGTTCCCTTTTTTTTTTTCCCCTTCTGTGAGAATCCAACTGCAAGAAACGTAGAGAGGCAGGTTCACGGGGGGCACCCCTCGTCTGGCTGCTGGAGTGTGGGTGGGGACTGGAAGCCCTGAGGAGCCCCGATTTTCTAAGTGCGCACTAAGGCCCACTGCGGCGCTGACGCGGGGCTGGAGCTGGGGGGCTCTCCCATACTGAGGCTGCGCGTTACTCCAACCCCCACCTGTGGCATTCGCATCCCTAGAGGAGCCCCAAGAATTCTAGTTGGTTCTGGAAAAACGTCAGCGGCCCCTCCACTAATTCCAAGTGCGCAGCATCTTCCAGGGCCACCCCCAAGCCCGGACCCCGCGGGGTCGCTCTGGGCGGAACCATCCCCCACCCCGGGAGCCTGTCCGGGCCCATGGGGTCTAAGAATGAGGACCCCATACCAGCCGACGGTCCGCAGCCCACGGACCCCAGCAAGACGAAAGGCGGCAGGGACTTGGGTAGGAATGCGGTAGGTGGGCAGCGGGGGTCCCCGAAGGAGGAGCCTGAACCCTCGGGCCCCTTGCCGCCCGCAGCGTTGGTCGCCCCCGGCGACCCTGGCCGGTCCCCAGCAGTGCGCCCACCCCACCCGGGCCCCTCACCACCCCCCACCCGCCGCGGACTCACCGAGAACCGCAGCCTCACCAAGAACCGCAGCCTCACTGAGCGCCGCAGCAGCAGGTCTCCCCTCGTCGCCGCAGCGGCATCCGCAGGAACCGCGCGGGAGGGGGAGCGAGAGGCGGGACAAGGGCGGGGCCAGGAGCCTCGTGACTGTGCGGGGCGGGGCCTGCCTCCCACGTGACCGCGGGCAGGCGGGGCCAGAGCCGTCGCCATGGGCTGCCTGGGGCCCGTCTGCTGGGCGCTGCTGCTAGCCTTGGGGCTCTGCCGCGCACACCGGGCGCGCCCCCGGAACGTGCTGTTGATCCTCGGTGAGTGCGCCCTCGCCGACCCGTCGCCACTGCGCTTTGTCACCCCCAAAAGCGGCTACTCGCCCCTCTGCAGCCGCGGTCACTGTGGACCCAACATGCCCTGAAACCCTTACCGCCATTCCCTCCCCGTCCTCTTCTCTGCGTCTCCCCGACACTTCGCGGTCGACCCCTTGGAGAGCGAGGCACCCCAGCCTCGCCCACCGCGGCGCAAGACCCCACCAGCCCCAGCATTCAGCACCCCACTCTTGCCGTGGGCTCTGTCCCTGCAACCCCTCCCGTGCTCCGATCCCCCAGCTCGGGAGGCCGGTGGCTTTCCGGAATCGGGTCCACAGATCCCAGAGGGCTGCCAGAAGGAGTTCCCAGAGACTCGCATCTCCTCCGCAGCGTTTTTTCGGACCCCCAGGGCTCTGCAGGGCAGCTCTGCCCCTCGCTCCACACCTGCCCTCTTTCCCAGCCCCAGCACCCACCCCAGAAACTTCAAGTTCCTCAGCGCTCTACTGTCCACGAGACTTGCCTGTGGGTGACCAGCAGGCGGTCACAAGGCAATCCCGTTATTTCCTCTTTTGAGGTCTGGCCATCTGCCATGGTGGCTCTTTTCTGATTAACTCTGGCCTCCCCCAGGCCCTTCAGCCAATGGTGACAGAAACAGCTCTCCCCTGGGGGTTCTGGTTAATCCTCCCCTCCCCTGCAAAGACGCCAGTGGAGACTGCCTGCAGGTCCCTGCCAGGCTCTGTCACACTTGCCCAATCCCGTTCCCACCTGCCCGGTAGTAATGCCGCTCGAGTCCTGTGCCTGCTTGTGCCTGCTGAACATCGTCACACTTGCCGCAGTATCATTCTGTTTCGGGTGACGCCCACCTGGGTGTCACGCCCATCTGGGTACTGTTTGCCCAGGCCGCCCAGCCACCCTGCTCTCTGTGTCCCCTGCCCTCCTCAGCGGACGACGCAGGCTTTGAGAGCGGCGTCTACAACAACAGCGCCATCGCCACCCCGCACCTGGACGCCCTGGCCCGCCGCAGCCTGGTCTTCCGCAATGCCTTCACCTCCGTCAGCAGCTGCTCTCCCAGCCGCGCCAGCCTCCTCACCGGCCTGCCCCAGGTGAGGGCTCGGGCTGGAGCAGGGCCCGGTGGTGGGAGAGCCCCTGGTGGGCCAACCGCCCCGCCCCGCACAGGACACACTCCCTGTCCTGCCCACTCCCCACACGACCTCAGTGAGCAGGTGTGCTCGGGGCCTCCCTTCCAGCCGGCCAGGGGGAGGCCGGGAGTAGGGGCCCTTAGACTGGGGACAGCAGTGTGAGCACAGACCACCACCCACCAGAGGTTAATCAGGCCGCGGGCGCAGGGGCCGCAGCCACAAGGCGTGGGCTCTTCCTTGTCCGCTGCTGTCTTGCTGTCTGGGGCTCGTAACACATGTGGCAGTTCCTTTCTCGCTGTGAGACAGCAGGTCGACAAAAAAAAGGCCTGCAGCCGTCTCCTCTTTCCTCTCCACAATGAGGGCTGGCGCAGGACAGAAGAGTTGGAAAGCACAGGGTAAAAGGGAGAAAGGAGGACGCCCTGTCTGGGCGAACAGGGCCCCAGTCTGGCACCTCCTGAGCATGTCTGCGCACGTCACCGGAGGGGCCTGCGGGCCCGCAGGGCCGCCTGGAGGCTACACGGGGCCCACGAAGGGCCTGGGTGGGGGGCTGAGGGGCGGGCAGGAGCAGGGCCCCACATGGTGGTGCCCCCCCCCCCCCCGTCCCTGGCTCACTGCGTCCCCGCCACAGCATCAGAACGGGATGTACGGCCTGCACCAGGACATCCACCACTTCAATGCCTTTGACGGGGTGCGGAGCCTGCCGCTGCTGCTCCGAGGAGCTGCCGTCCGCACAGGTGAGGGCTTCTGGCTGCCCAGAGCACTGCTCTCCAAGGACCTGGGCCTCCTGGCTGGGCCTTGGGTCTCTGGGTCCCTGAGAATGAGGGCGTGGGTGCCATCGCAGAGGCCGGGGGCCCAGAAGGGAGCAGAGGGGAGCGGGAGGCCTTGGAAGGGGGCTCCAGACGGCCTCTCTCGCCCTCAGGCATCATCGGGAAGAAGCACGTGGGGCCAGAGGCCGTGTTCCCGTTCGACTTTGCGCACACCGAAGAGAACGACTCTGTTCTCCAGGTGGGGCGGAACATCACTAGGATCAAGCTGCTGGTCCGGAAATTCCTGCAGACTGGGGACGACAGGTGCGGGGCAGGCTCCTGCCCTCCCCTCCCTCCCAGGGCTGGCCCGCTCGCCAGCTAACACGGGGCACAGGTCCCTGTCCTTATTTGGAATTCCACGGACGGCAGGCTGTGGGTAGGGGAGGACTCCCAGACACTTGGGTTAGCCAGGTCAGGGGAAGAGGGGACACGGGAAAGTGAGGGTCACAGGGACTTTCAGTGACAGGGGTAGGTGAAGCCAAGAGGGGCGTTCTTTCCTGAAGTGGGGGTCTCCCCTGGGTCAGAAGCCAGGCCTCAGCACTCACACCCCCGCCCCCCACAGGCCCTTCTTCCTGTACGTGGCCTTCCACGACCCCCATCGCTGCGGGCACTCCCAGCCGCAGTACGGGGCCTTCTGTGAGAAGTTCGGCAACGGGGAGAGTGGCATGGGGCGGATCCCGGACTGGACCCCACAGGTCTACGCCCCTGAGGATGTGCAGGTAACGGGGCCCTTCCCGACTTCCCAAGGCGCCCGCCCACCCTGATTCCTCTGCCTGGGAAATCCAGGGACCCTGCCCCTGCCCCCTCACAACCCCAGGGGTCCGACATAGTGTGGGAGGAGTGATCCTTTGACTTGCTGTTGGGGGGCCTGCAGAGAGAAGCCTGCAGACGTGGGTGGCAAATGCGGAATCATGGACTTCAGGGCCCGTCCCTTCAGAGGAAGGAGGGGACTTCAGGCCCTTGGGGGACGCTGGCACCTCCATCTTCTCCCTAATTCAAGGGCTGGCACCCATCCCCCTGTCTCGGTTCTGACTTGGACTCTCCACCCACCTGCCCCCAGGTGCCTTACTTCGTCCCGGACACCCCTGCAGCCCGGGCCGACCTGGCTGCTCAGTACACCACCATCGGCCGGATGGACCAGGGCAAGTCGGGGAGCTGGTGTGGGGGGAGCCCCAGCGTGGCGCCCGTGCTGGCTTGGAGTGGGCAGGGCCTGTGCCCTCCGGGCCGGGTCCTCGCTCACCTCCCCCAGACTCCAGGCCACTTCCCTGCAGTCTCTGCGGTCACGTGGCCTCCTCTTGCCTTGTCACTGGTCCTTGGAGTCAGGGCCACCTTGTGCTCTGGGATGGTCTCCTCTCAAGGGCAGTGATAATTACATCGGAAAAAACTCTTTCAAAATAAGGTTGTGATCAGATTCTCGGTGGACGTATGTGTAGGGGGGACCACCTTTCCCCCTACTGCAGGACGTTGGTACCTTCGTCACCTCCCTGCTGGTGCCACCCACTCACAGTGCCCTCTGCCTGAGGCTGTCCCTGTGAGCCCTGGTGACGGGAGAGACCTGGTTCTTCTCACTGACGCATGTAGAGATTACAGATCAGCAAGTTGATTGGCACACAGTCGATTCATGAGGGGTTTATTCCCACAGAAGGGAACGGGCCTAGCTAGAGTGGGGGGCGCGGGGCGAGGTTCAGGGCGAGGCAGGGTGGCTGAAGGCCGGAGCGGCGCGACCCCGGGTGGCCTGAGGCTGGGCAGCCAGGAGTGGGAGCCCTGTGTTCCGAGGACTTACGTAGTTGGTGGGACGGAAGTGCAAATGCTACATGTTGATTGGCGGGTGAAGGGGGTGCCAGCTTCCACAGGGGCACGTGACCGCCCAAACGTAGGCACTTGTGGGGGTCTGTTAGCTCGAGTCTATCTTGCTTGGACTCCATTTGTTCATCTTGTTGTAAAACAGATGCACGACAGGAGGCGGTAATTAAAGTTGGGGCAGTCGAGTCACATGTTCTTCGGGCGCTGTGCCCCTTCTCCCGCACGCGTCCCGGGCCTTGGGATAAAAGCAGTTCCGAGGCTGTCTTTCCCAGAGAGGGGAGACGCCACAGTTTCGAGGCCCCCCTCCTGCAGTGCTAGCACGGTGCTTCTGGGGATGTCTGGGCGTGTTGTCTGACCAGACTCGGGGCTGCTGAGTCACGGGGGAGACATGTCTCCCTCCTCCTCGCTGCTTGGCTCTGCTGTTCATTCTACCTGAGTACTAAATGGCGTTGCCTGGCGACCAGGAGGCCAGACGCTGGCCAGTAACCGCAGTGCAGTCTCCACGTTCTTCCTGTACCATCTCCTGCCTCATGGGGCAGATGTGAGATCCCAGAAAACAGAGGCAGCGTGTGCAGCCGAGGTGCCGAGGGCGGGCTCCGGTGGGGGCCCTGGGCGGCGGGTCCAACGGTGCTCAGGGTCCCCAGCTGAGCTCGGGGCCCCTCCCTCCCTCAGGGGTCGGACTGGTGCTCCAAGAGCTGCGGGGAGCCGGCGTCCTGAACAACACGCTGGTGATCTTCACGTCCGACAACGGGATCCCCTTCCCCAGCGGCAGGACCAACCTGTACTGGCCAGGCTCTGCAGAGCCCTTGCTGGTGTCTTCCCCGGAACACCCTAAGCGCTGGGGCCAAGTCAGCGAGGCCTACGTGAGCCTCCTAGGTAAGGCTCAGCATCATGGGGGGGGGGGGGGACGGCATCCAGACTGCTCTGCATCCACTGCCTCATGGGGCTCCCACACTACCTGGGTGAGGAAGGGTCCCCAGCCTATGTAACGAGGCAAACGTGAGACTCAGAGAGGCTCAGTAAGTTGCCCGAGGTCACACAGCATGTAAGCACGCAGCTAGGATTCTAGCCCCCCTGGTTACAGTCAGAAAATCCTACCCCAGAAGTGCCCGACTCAGCAGGTCTGGGGCAGAGCCTGAGATTGTGTGTTTCTGCCCAGTTCTTGGTGATGCTGGACACGGTGGCCACAGCAGGGAGCAGGGGTAGATGAGCCCCCCGGGGGATGGTCTTACTGGTCTAAAGGGTTTAGGAGGGCCCCGAGCACCACCATGAGAGGCGTGGTGGCCCAGAGGGACAGGCAGTGGGGACGAGTGTCGGCCCGCGGGAGCCTCTCCCTGTTGGTGACTTGACCTGTGGGGTGGCCCACCAGCTCTCCTGGCTGGCTCGGACTCGGGCTGCCCAGGGAGTGGACCTCGCGCCCCACACGGCACCACCTCCTTTACAGACCTCACGCCCACCGTCCTGGACTGGTTCTCCATCCCCTACCCGAGTTACGCCATCTTTGGCTCGAAGACCGTCCAGCTCACTGGCCAGTCCCTTCTGCCGGCCCTGGAGGCCGAGCCGCCCTGGACCACGGTCTTCGGCAGCCAGAGCCTCCACGAGGTCACCATGGCCTACCCCATGCGCTCCGTGCAGCGCGGGGCCCTCCGCCTCGTGCACAACCTCCACTTCAGGATGCCCTTCCCGATCGACCAGGACCTCTACGTCTCGCCCACCTTCCAGGACCTGCTCAACCGCAGCCAGGCCGGCCGGCCCACCGGCTGGTACAAGGACCTGCACCACTACTACTACCGGGAGCGCTGGGAGCTCTACGACCGCATCCGGGACCCCCGTGAGACCCAGAACCTGGCCGCCGAGCCGCGTTACGCCCAGGTGCTGGAACTGCTCCGCAGCCAGCTGGCCAAGTGGCAGTGGGAGACGCACGACCCCTGGGTGTGCGCCCCAGACGGGGTGCTGGAGGAGAAGCTCTCCCCGCAGTGCCGGCCGCTGCACAACGGGCTGTGAGGCGGGGCCCGCGCCCTCCTTCCCCAGACCCGGTCCTCACGCCCCCTCCAGGCCTGAGAGCAGCCAGCCTCGGGCGCCGGGACCACGGGCTGCCCCATCTGAGGGCCCCTGGCTGCAGCCCCCCATCTGCGGTGAGGGACATTGCCGTCCTTGTGTCTGGGCCGTGTGCCAGCACGGGAGTTCCAGGAGGACCTAGGCCGGGGGTTCCCCAACCCAGACAGGTGAGGGTGGTCCAGGCACAGGGTCTTGTTCTCTGGGTGGGGACCCAGGACTTGAGACCCTCCCCATTCTCTGGGAACCACAGCTCTCCCTGTGCTGCATGGGCACCGGGTGGGTCCACTCTACACGGGAACGCAGCATCTGGACTTGCTCGACCTCTGGTCTCGAAATCTGGGAACGGCCCTTGGTCAGGCTCCCAGCCCTTGGGCCGGACCCCACCTGGCCAGCCATTCCTGACAGGCTCCTGACCGAGGGCTTTGATCCTTTGATCCTGTGGTCGTCTGTCCTTTTAAATGTCCAAAGACACTCCCGTCCTTGAGCTGGTTCCTTCTGTGTGGGGAGCCGCGGTCTGGCTCAGACTGGGGTCTCCAGACCTGCTCTGCCACCGCCCACCAAGGGGCAGAGCTCTGCCCGGGGAATCCCTTCTCCCTCTCGGGAGCCCTTGTGGCCCTTCCCACCCCATCAGCTGCCCCCCTGGGGGCGTGGAAAGAGAGCGACAGCCACGATACTGTAAAAGCTCATTTTGTAAAATACACCGAAGTCCATTCCTGAGCTCGTCCATGCTGCCTGGAGTTTGAGAGCAACGCCCTGGGGACCCTCAGCCCACGACGGGCAGGCGGCAGCCTGATAGGGGCACCTGGGGTGGCGTCCAGGGGGCTGAGACAGAGTGGGGGTGACGGGTAGAGGGGCAGTTCTGCACCTCAGGAGGACACCCTACAGAGGGCTCTGTGTAGCCTTCTCCAGGGCCCCCACGGTCCCCGGGCTGGGCACAAACCCAGTGCAAATACTGTCTCTGTCACTGGGAGACAGTGCTGACCGGCGGACAGTCTCTGAACGAGTTGCTGAGGGGAGTCGGCTCCGGGCAGGGCCACGGGCCATTGGGGCCACCACCCACCTTTGCCGCACTGAAACCCGAGAGGGAAGTGCAGTGGTCAGACCGGGAGTTATCCGGACAGGGCTCGCCTCCGGCTGCGGGAACGTTGATGGTGGCCGGCCCAGACCGCATGAGCCCAGGGTGACGCAGAGAGGTGGTCAGAACGCCGCCTGGGACCCGCAAGTGTCCAGGTTCGTGGTGGGACTCCAGGGAGGGAGCCGATGGGGGCCTGTCTGGTGAGCGCTGAAGTCCGGCCTGCGAGGCCCCAAGCTCCAGGGACAGGACGCGAAGGTCCCCACAGACCCAGGAGGGGACGGGGCCTCAGGGGGGGCTCTGCTCTGTCCACACGACCTTCTTCTGCTCGTCGGAGATGGCGAAGCGGACGCAGCCGAGCAGGGAGTCCAGGTCACTCCAGCCGTCGGCAGCCAGGCTGCAGTGCAGGCCGGGCGCCCGGTCCAGCTCGCCCTCCTCCTCCCTGCCGGCCTCCAGGAGCTGCTCCTCTGAGGTGCCCAGCCGCTGCAGGGCCTTCCTGCGGGGGCCGGACACGGGGGGCCAGCTCAGGGGGCAGGGCTGGCTGCCAGGGTGGGCCCTCGGGGAGCTGCCCCGCCCCCGACTCAGGGTTGCAGGGGACCAACCGCCCCTGGACGCAGGTGGTCCGTTTCCAGGTCCTTGACAAGACATGGCCCCAGACGGCACAGCTTGGACGGGCACCGGCCTCTGGTTTCCAACTTCAGTTGTCAAACTACACAGGGGTCACCAGAAACCGGGGCTCTTCCTGCCATAAACCCAGGCCCGGCTTTCAGTGCGGCCCTCACCTACCGGGGCGGGGCTGCCCCTGTGCGCACCCAGTGAAGGGGCAGCCTTGGTGGGCTATGGCAGGGGTGGGGGGCAGTGAGACCTTCGTCCCCGAGTTGCAGGGGACCTGCCCTGAGACACCTGGGAAACCCAGCCGCCAGCCCCCAGCTCCCAGGGCACGCCTACCTGAGTTTCCTCGCAGCCTTCTCGTTGACGGGGACGTGCAGGACGATGGGGAAGATGTCCGCCCCGTGCAAGGCACGCACACAGTCCAGCCGGCCGTCCAGCAGCGCATGGGTGTTCTGGGGGGTCAAGACCACACATGGGGGGAGGACCAGGTGGGGCAGCCCTTGCCCGGGAGGCACGGGCAGAGGGTTCGAATGCGCCCCTGGGCGTGCGGGGATGCTGGCTGTCCCCCTTGAGGGCACTGCAGTAAGTGAAATAAGTCCGATTTAAAAAGCAAAAACGAGGGGGAGGAGAAAAAAAATAAAATAAAATGCAAAATCACCAGTGAAGGAAGAACTGTCCTTTGGTTTTCACCTGGGACGTCTAGAAGGTGCCAGCTGGGGCTGAGGGTGCCTCTGCCCGGGCTCCGCCCCTGGGACGTGGGGCGGGGACAAGCAGGGCTCCCCGCTGCGCCTGGCGCTGACCGCTCTGTGTCCACATCACAGCGAGCTGCTTTGCAGACACGGAGCTCACGTGTTCACTTAGTAAACGTCACAAAACGTCCCCTGTGTTGGGGAGACTGGCTCCAGGAAGCGAGGGCGCGGGGCCCGGATGCCAAGGGCAGGGCTGGTCTCCCTGCGCTGTGGCAGCTGAACATCGGGCCCAAGCCAGCCCAGCACCAGCCTGGGGTGTCAGGGCCAGCAGGTCGGCGACCCGAGTCCCTCCGTGTCCCAGCCAGCACCCCCTGGAGGTGGCGCCCCCGCCCACCCGGTACCTTCTCCATGAGCAGCTCCACGGCCGCGCGGGTCACGCAGTGGCGGCCCCCAGAGGCCTCGCTCTCCTGGATGACATCTCCTCTCTGGTGGCAGGCCACGTACTCCTCCTGGCTCAAATACTCTGAAGGTGACAGCAGTAGGGACATCACTCAGCCACCTCCATGGGGTCCTAAGGGAGCCCCACTCTGAACCCCTACCCCGGGGCCCCGCCAGCTCTGGGGGAAGCTCTTCCCGGGGTGTCCCCTTCACAGCCTGGCCCTGCTCCTCCCACATAGACCAGGTTTCGCCCCGCACTTGCACGTGGACCTCGGGGCGGAGCAGGTGGGGGGGAGGGAGGGGAGGGGGAGATGTGGATGAACCCCCTTCGATGCTTCCCCAAACTCCAAACTTACGAGCCTGCCCTCTCCCACCCAGAAACCCCTTAGGTCCCTGAGATCAGCAGCCCCCAACCAGGGGCACTTTTGCCCCCGGAGGCACTGGCAATGTCTGAGGACGTTTTTGGCTGTCACAACTGGGACAGGCGCAAGCTCTTGGCATCTAGCGGGCGAGGCCACAGATGTCCGTTGGCACCCGACACCGCCGAGGACGGCCCTGCACAGTGTCAGCACGAGGCCAAGACCCCGCCACCCAGAGCCCCGTGGGAGCACACCCTCTGGGCCTTCTTCTGGAACGGCGGCTCCCAAGGCAGCACCGCCCCCGGGTCGGGTCGGGGCGGCCTCAGCTCAAAGACAGCCCCTCGGCGGCCATGGACAAGTGACGAGTGAGGGGTGGGTGAACCAAAGCTCCGGCCGGCACCTCTCTCCCGCCCTCTGTATGCCCTGGGGTCCAGGGCCTGACCGGCAGGTGGCTGGCGCCCTCTGGTGCCAGCGCCCAGTGAAGCACAGCCTGACGGCCTGCTGGCTGGGAGCGGCTGCAGGATGGGACGAGGTGCCTTGAGCGCACATGCACCCAGAGAGAGACAGGGTCTCTGCAGGCCGAGTCAGTCAGAATGAGGTCACACGGGACTACAGCCCTAACCCAAGGACTGGCTCCTTTATGAAGGTCAGGGGAAGACAGACACAGGGGAGAAGGCTGTGTGACCAGGAGTGGAGACAGGAGGGAGGCAGCTGCCAGAAGCCAAGAGGGGCCCTCCCCCGAAGAGCCTCCCGCGGCCCACAGAGCAGCCGGGCGGAGCTCCTGCCTCTGGCTGCCAGAGAACACATCTCGGTTGCCCAAAGCCCCCAACGTGTGGCAACTTGCGGCAGCGGCCCCCAGACCCGCAGGGCGACTGCAGCTGCTCTCCCAGAGGCCCGTGCAGAGTTCGCCCCGGAGACACACCTGCAGGGCATTTCTGAAACCCCTGGAGCAGGCAGAGCTTCTCGCTCAGGATCCTCCCCAGCAGCCTGGGCACGAAGAGCACGGGCCGGGGCCGCCGGGGCCGGTGGGGGCGCAACCGCGAGTAGGGCGCCAAGGTGATGCAGCTCTCGGCCCAGAAGCTCCCGGTGGGGGGGTCTGCAGGGGGGGCGAGAGCGTCAGCAGCCACACCCCGCCCACCAGCCCCCGCACCACTGGGAGCGCAGGCCCTGCTGTGTGCCCACAGTCAGGCCCGCGCCCTCCAGGGCCAGCTTCCAGCTGTGCTCTGACCCCCACGCCCCACCCCCGGGGCAGTGCGGGCCCGGCAGGCCACCCACCCCCCCGGCCTGTCCGGTTTCCGTCTCTTTCCCACCACCCTCTCACTGCCGAACCTGGAAGCCCTTCGAGAAGGACATCGGTTCAGACCGACCTGGCTTCACTCTGAAACCACCTCTGACTGTAGCTCCATTTTACCTGCTCGGGGCGTGTGCCCTGCGGACCCCATCACGGCCCCAGGCCCACACCGACCACTCCGGGGGGTTGCCTTGGGGGGGTCCCCAGGTCGTGCCAGGTGTGGGTAGCATCCCTCCGCCACTAGTCTAAGGGACTGCCCTCTCCCCACCCGGCCAGTGGCTTCCCCCTCCGCACAGGTGGCAGGCGGAGGGCCGTTGCAGACCGGCAGCCTGCCTGCTCCCCCGAAAGGCACAGCCGTCAATCACAGTTCTTGCGACACAGATCCCAGCCACCAGTGACCGCACCCGGACCCAGCCTCGGCCGGCAGAGCCTCCCGGCACCCTCGCCTCACCTCCCAGGCCACTGGGGACTGACTGTGTTCCGTCAGAGGGGGCGCACGGGGGGCTGGCCTTGGTTCTGTCCACAGTGACGATGCGGACCAACTTCTGGGGCCCCCCAGAAGTCTGCTAGAGAAGGAAGGAGGGACCAGAAGATGTCCCAGCACCCAGGACTGGGGGCCCGGCACCCGCCCCACCGGGGTGCTCAGGCAACCCCAGACCTGCAGGCTGTGTGCACGGAATGACCAGGTCCCACACTGGGGTAGATGAAGGGGGGCAGGAGAGGGTGCCCGGGTAGCGGTCCCCCCACGGGGCCCGTGTAGGAGAGTGGCCCTAGGAGGCAGGGAGGAAGTGTGGGATCCCCCTACCCTGCTGCGATGGCAGGGCACCCCGTGTCATGCTCAGGGCGGCTGAATGTCCTGTGTCGGGAGAGCACCAGGTCCCCAACCTCAGAGGAAGTGAGGGTGAGGTGCAGAGGACAGAGAGGGATGCACGGGACACCCCAGGGAGAGAGCACCCGTGCACATAGTCGCTCACGCTTGAAGAGCGTGAGCTGGGTGCAGAGTGCGGTCGCGGCGAAGGTTTGCAGGGGCACAAGGGGCAACCCCCCAGTTGGTCACCTACACCCTGCCGGCAGGACCCTAAGGCTCCCAGCCCTCTTCCAGCCCACGCCAGGTGAGAGGATGGGTGGACCAGGTGCTCCCAGCAGGTGACATGAGCCGGGGAGGAGGGGGTCCGGGCTGGGGGGAAGGTGTAGGCAGGGCCCACCCCGAGCCCAGAATCAGGGCCAGCCAGGGGGCGACCTCACCTTGCGCCTCACCTTGCGTCCGGCGGTGCTCTGCTGAGCCACATCCCGGAGCAGGGCAAAGAGCAGCTGCTGGGCCCTGCACAGAGGACAGACCCCGCTGCGTGGAGGCCCCAAATGCCCCCATCCCCTGTCCCGTGCCAGCCGGGGGAACCCTGCAGAAACCCTGCAGCACCTCAGCCCACCCTGGAGACGCAGCTCCTGCCCCTCCCACGCCAGTGGGGCCTGAGGACTCGGGCCTGCCCTGGAGGACATCTCTCAGGAGCCCAGCCTCGGGCCTCCTGCACCTGCTGACCTGAGCGCCAGGGTGCGGGCTGCCCAGGAGGCTGGCAGGTGCTACACCTGACACCACGCTCGGCGGGTGACGGCTGACCTAGGGACAAGGTCTCAGCAGTAACGCCGCCTCCCAGGGGGAAGCTGTCCCAGCTGCCCTGGGACTGGGGGCTCCCCGGGGTGTGGACTTTCTGTGCTAACACCAACACAGTCTAGGACACAGCACAGCTCATCACCCCACCTCCTGGGGACACTGGCTGTGTCTGAAGACATTTTTGGTTGTCTCGCTAGGGGGACCGAGGGATGCTGCTGGACACCGGACCGTGCCCAGGAAGCCCCCACAGTGGAGAGAGCCGGGCCCAATGTTGGCCGTGCCGAGGCTGGGGAAGTCTGGTCCCGAGTGCCGTGGAAAGCTCTGGAGCTCCCACCCCTCCCCACAGACAAGACCGTCCGGGCAGTGAGCCTGGGGCCTGGTGAGTGGGGACTCCAGCCCCGGGGCCTCCGCCCACACCGCGGCTCACCTCGCGTAGCTGGGGATGGTGCCTCGCTCGCCGTGCTGCGTGCTGTAGGGCCCCACGCGGCAGGCGTGCCAGCAGCCGCGGCCCTGGAACATGGTGTCGGTGACGTGCAGGACGTCGCCGCAGTGGGCCTGCAGCTCTCCCTCCGCCCGCCCCTCCAAGGTCAGGTTGACTCGGATGTAGAAGGAGTCCCCCGACGTGGCCGCCTTGGCCTCCAGGTCCCGCACCAGCTTCTTATAACCTGGTCACAGAGGACACGAGGGCAGGTCAGCCCAGGCAGTGACCCCACCTGGGGAAGATTCTGGGACGTGAGAGGAGACAGGGAAGGCGCTGCCCCCACGTCCCGGGAGCCGTTCGGGGCAGTGTCGGTGGGCGGCGTGCCCTGCTGGCTGGGGCCTCCGCAGGCCTGGGGTGCGGGCTGGCGTCCGCCCACCCAGGGCTCAGGGACCGGACTGGGCAGCTGGGTGCGGCTTGCTAGGTGAGCTCGTGGGGGGGCGGGGCGGTGTGTACCCTCCAGGTTGACCTTCACCGACAGGCAGCAGAAGCCGTTCACCCGCTGCAGGAGGCCGACGGCCTGCTCCAGCGTCGTGCCCTCCAGGACGGCCTTGAAGGAGGGCTCCGTGGCCTCGTGGTCCACCTGAGGGCACAGCACCAGGTCAGCCTCCGCTGAGGCCCCCAGTGGGCCCGCCCGCCCTCCCGGCCAGCGCAGGCGCCCACCAGCGTCTTCGTCACAGGCCCAGACCAGACGTCTCGGTTTAGCTCCTCTGAGCCACACAGGTCCCCACCCTGAGAGTCAACTGCCAGCCCTTCCCAACACGCCACACACCAGGGTCAGCACTGAGAACTGAGCTTCTGGTCTCCAAAGGGGCCTGTGTTCTGGAGCATTCTAGAGAGTTCTAGAACGTTCTAGAGAGTTCTAGAACGTTCTAGAGCAGGGACTCTCAGCTTTGGGACTGTGGGCCTCTGGGGCGGGGCATTCTGGGTCAGGGACCACCCTGGGCCCTACAGGGTTTTAGCGGCCTCCCTGGCCTCCCCCTGCTAGGTGCCAAGGCCACCACCCCCCAGCTCCCTGAGCTGAAGGGTCACTGACAGACCCTGCTGCTGGGGACTCAGGGTGTTCGCTGACAGCTGAGACCCCGCAAGGACCGCTAAGAAGAGAATGGGGGCTTCCCCATCGTGTGGAGCGGAGAGCACAGCGCCGCACACATCAGGAGCTCGGCTCCGGATCACTCCAGACACAGGAGAACCGGCTTGGCACGTGGGCGGCCGTGCAGCAGCGGAAGCCTGTGGGGCTCGTGGGGCTCCTGGGCCAGGGGCCCAGCCTCCCTCCCATCCCCTCAGGGCTCACCTCACACCCACACCCACCTACCCCAGTCCGCCCCTGCGCAGTTCCTGCACTGCATGTTTCTGGGTGTTTGGGACAGCTCAGCGCTCGGTCATCCTGTCTCTGCCTACGTCAGGGTCGCCTCCCTGCATTGAGGTCAAACCCCCGCCCCCTGCCACTGCGCTCACTTCCCAGTCACCAGCTACACTGAGCATGTTTCCTGCAGCTTCATGAACACCTTACGACAGAAAGTCTCAACAGCTGCCCCCAACGGTTAAAACGGCATGCTATGTATTGTGTGTGACTCGACACACAGACATGCATGCACACGCCCCGCTGAAGCATGGGCAGCCATGACGAAGCCCCCGTCTCACCATCATGATCTGGGTGCCTGGGCGCAAGGCCATCTCGTCCGCCGCCGAGCCCGGGGTGACCCGGTGGATGAAGATGCCCGTGTGGTTCCCGCCGATGACGCTGATCTGCTCCAGCAACGCGTCTCCCTGGAAGGCCAGCACCGTGACCTGGCTCAGGATCTTCCGGGCTGGCCTGCGCCGCACGGGGGCGCTGTGGCAGGGAGGGTGACGGAGCTCACGTGCAGCCCTGAGCCGAGGGGCCACCAGCGCCTCTGCCCACCGCCTCCTTCCCGCCATGCCCCCGCCCTCTTAAAGGCTGTCGCCTGCCTGCCTGCCCCCTGTACTCTGCCACCTGCTGGCCCTGGCCCTGCCCTCCGCTCACCTGCCTGAGACGCAGAGGGCCCTGGAGGTGGGCTGCAGGCAGCTCTCGGACTCCAGAAGGTCTAGGTAGAAGCAGAGGTTTAGCGGCCAGCAGGACTGGCCCTCGAGGTCACCTGTGCTCGCTCTGTCCCATCAGCCCCCTTTGCTGAGGCTGACCGATGTCCTGGATGCTGAGCCCTGGGTTCACCTTCCCCCAAGGGGGAGGAGCTGGTGGAGGGCCACACCCACCAGGGCTTGACCTGCACTGTGTCCTTCGTGGTACATGAGGGCTGCCGGCACCCTCCCAAGGACAGGGACTCTAGAATCGGCACTTCCGACTTCACGGGAACAGGTCCATTGGGAGGAACCCCGGCCCGCGTTTCTGCGCTGACCCGCTTCTCTGCACGGCAGTAATCACAGCTGGCCATCTGCTACCTGCTGCCTACCCCAGGCCACCCCCACTGTTGGGCCAGACCCCCAGCTGGTCGGGGCGGCCCGAGCTGGCAGTCCTGGGAGCCGATGTCCCCAGGGGCCTCCCAGCGCTGCACTTTAACACGCAGCCTGTGCGGGACGGGCCAGGCAGCAGTTTCCGGAGGCAGTCGAGGCTGCTCTTCTCGCCTGGGGGACCGCCCGCCCGCCCAGAGGACCCGAGCCTGCAGACGGTGGGCAGCCGCCTGCCTCCTGCCGCCCACGGCCCGTGCCCGGCTCACAGGCAAAGATCTTTCTCACTGTGTGTGAGCCGAGGGAAGCCTGTCCCACTGCCGGGGCGTGAAGAGGGGCTCGAATCGGGCTCACGGCAGGAGGCCCAACGACCACCCCCTTCAGACCCAGGCCGGATCCACCTGGGCACATCCCCTCAGCTCATCACAGTTCCTTACAAATGAAACCCTAACGATCTTGAAAGGGGTAAGGCTTCTGGTCACGGGACCCATGGCCCCACCACACAGGCGCCGCTGAGCCGACCAGCATGGGGTGCGTGCGCCCCCTGGTGGCAGTGGGGTGAATTCCAGTGATGGTGCTGAGCACCTACTGTTTGCAAGGCCCAGGCTGGGGCAGATGTGCAGGGCAGGAGAGGTAAGGAGGCTGCCCGAGAGGGGCCCAGGGCTTGAGAAGGCGAGAGCCAGTTAGGTCACACGTAGGAGAATAAGCCACAGGAGAAACGGGAAGGTCTCAGGTGCCAACACAGGAAGGAGGCTCCACAGCAGCGAGGGGCTGCCGCCTGCTGCCGCCTGCTGTCCCCGGGAGGCCTGACAGCCCACGGTCCAGAGCAGGGACGGGCAGAGGGAGCATCGACCTGAGCTGGATGTGGAGATGGGTCCACCCCCTTGGCCTCCAGCTGGCGACAAAAAGGACACCCAGGACACAGAGCAGCCGGGCCACGGTCAGGGTGGCGGTCAAGTCCACTCCTCTCTGCCCAGCCCCTGGAGAGAGGCCTGGCTGTCTCACCTGCCTCCCTGCACACCCAGGCTCAGGCCAGGGCAGAGGGGCACTCACCTGCCCCGTCTACGATCTCGTAGTCCAGGTCCACCTCTCCCACCTGAGGTCCCGGGGTGGCTCCCCGGTCCACCTCCAGGGTCTCCGAGAAGTCGCTGCGCAGAGGGAGACAGCTCAGGCCACACAGCCCGCTCCCAGTCATCGGACCCGGAGCCCCCGGCACCCACCGGGCCCTTCACCCAGCAAACTGCCAGGGGGCCGCACCCTCTGACCCGGACGCCGGTCCCTCTATACCTGAAAGACCAGGGCTCGTCCTGCAAGTCCTCCGTGGCTCGCTTATACAGGGACAGCTGGCTGGGGGGCACAGGGCTGCTGGAGCGGAAGCTGTCCCCCAGCTCATGGCTGGACGTGGCGCTCAGGTCGGACCAGAGCTGAGACGGGCGGTGAGAGGCTGGTCAGCGTGGAGCCCCCATGGGACAGGCAAGACACCCAGTGGGGGCCAGAGGACGCCGGGGGTACCGTGGTGCAGCCCCCGTCCACTGAAGTGTCCGGCACATGGCAGGCCCCCCCCATCTGCACCTGGTGTGCCCCCAGCAACACAGGGTGGTGGCCATACCTCAGAGGAGCTGAGGCAGCTGTGGTCACTGTCCTCTCGGGGGCAAACGGCGAACATCCGCACCAGCCGCTGCTTCCCCCGCTGGCCCGGCTCCCGGGGCCCTGCCTCCTGCGTGGGCTGCAGACACACAGGCCCGAGGGCTGGTTGGTTCAGGGAAGGTTCCCCCTCGATGCTCCCGGCGTTTCCACTCAGTCACTGCCCGCTCCCCACTCCCCTACTGGAATTCCAGGCACAGAGGTCACGTCCCCTCCACCCAGCCTGGGACTGGCTGACTGCCCAGGGGACACACAGTGGCGGGCTTGGTGAGGGCACTTCACCGTGGTTGGAGGCCACATGTGTTCCTCTCCTGGTTACACCGATGGTACATAACGTGTACACGTCTCTACACGCCGCACACAGCGCCTCGGGGCCCCCCTGAGCGATGGGACGCAGTGGGCAGCAGTCCGGGGTGTGTCCGGCAGCCCCTGCTCCACGCGTGCGTGTGTGTGTGTGCGCGTGTGTGTGTGTGATGACTGACGCAGGCTGGGGGTACAGGAGGAAGGGCAGGGGACCCTGTGCAGGGAAGGGGGGTCCGGCTCCGGCTTCCACCAAGGCCCCCAGACACCTCTCAGGAGTCTCACCTGCCCACCAGGGCACCTGGAGCTGGAGCTGCCGGTTGGGTTGTAACTAGAAATTTCATAGCAGTTTGAGCTCGACTCTGTCTGCTGCTTCCTTTCCTCATGCCCACACCACGCTTTATGGCTTCCAGAACCTTCTGCTAAGCTGCCCTTCCAAGGCACGCGTGACATGACCGGAAACGGGGAGCAGCGGCAGCCCCAGCTGCCCACTGGCGCATCTGCAGCATCGGACAGCGCGGCTCCCTCACGGGACCCAGCGCGCAGGGGCCGGAGTCACACCTGGTGTCCCAGCTGCAGGAGGGGCGTGCGTTCGTGGCCAGGTGGCCCCACCCCAGGCACACGCTGCCCGGGGGCCTGCAGCCCTGGCGCTGCTCCCAGTGCCCACGGGGCGGGGAAGTGCTCACCGCTTTCGAGGACTCAGCCTGCAGCCTGCGGAGGTGCTGGCGCAGGTCGCAGACCTGGTCCGTCAGCTCGAACACCTTCCTGCGGAGGGCGTCCTTCTCCGTCAGGCTCTGGGAAATCTCCACCTGGGCCGCATCCCGGGCGGAGTAGGCCTGTGGGCCGGACAGAGGGCGACCAGAGCGTGAACGGCCGTGCAGGCGCCACGCAGGAGCCCCAGCCAGAGCAAGCCCCTGGTCGGTCGTCTGCACTCTGTGCAGCAAGCACCAAGCTCGCCCGATGGGCACACGCCATGACCTCTAGTCTGGGTCAGCAGGGGATGAGGGTGGGGGTTGACAGACCCAAATCTGGAAGCAGTGCCCAGAGGGCAGGACCAGCAGCAGGAGGCGGCCAGCCCGCCCTCAGCCGCCAGCCCCTGCTGTCCGGCCCGCCCCCCCCCCCCCGCACCTGGTCCCGCTCTTTCTGCAGCTCCGCCAGCTGGCTCTGCAGGGCCGCCATCTTCTCCTTGTAGATCTCGCAGTCCACCTTGGTCTTCTGGAACTGCAGCAGGGTCTGCTCCTTCTCCTCCCAGTACTGGACAGGGCGGGGTGGGGGGACGCACACGGCTGGGAGGACGGGTGGGGCCCGGAGCCTCAGGGACGGTGCAGCGGCCCCGGGGAGAAACGGGGGGTTCACGCGCACAGGCCGGGCCACCACGGCTCTCACGGCTGTGGAGCACGTGGTGGCTTTGTTCACTTGGTGCCCCAGGGACACGCGACTTCCCTCCACCCGCCTCACTCCCGTCTGCCGGCTTTCTTGCTGCCGCCCACCCGTCCCTGTTTGTAGCGGCTCAGCCAGTCCCTGGCACCACCCCGGGCCCCATGCAGGGCCCTGCTCTTGCCGCCAACTGGCCACCCATTTCCTCACCACCCCGCCCACCGGCCGGCACCTCTGGTCTCCGACCGCGAGCAGGTGCCCACACGGCTTTGATGAAGGAGCACACGACGAAGGGCGTCTGGTCAGTGAGGCCCGCTCGGCCCCACGCGCAGCACGGACTCAAGAACACGCCTGCCCCAGCCTGCGGCCCTGCCCCGACAGGGGACGCCGGACAGTCACCTGCTTCCGCTGCCTCTCAGCGGCCACCGCCCGCTGCCTCAGAGAGTGGATGCGGTCCACCAGCTCCTGCTTGCTCTCCAGGGCCTCGTCCAGGCTCTGCTCCAGAATGTCCCTCTCCGCCTGGCGCAGAGAGACCTCAGCCCGGGGCCCCGCCCGCCCACCCGCGGGCCTGCCCCTGGGGAGCATCCCCAGCAGCTCGGCCGAGACTGGGAAGCTTGAAGGCCCAGTGCGGGCAGAGGTGGCGGCACTGCTCTCCACCCAGGTGGCACACCGCACCGCGGCTCTGCAGTGCATGGCTGCTCGAGAAGGTGGAAAGTGCTAGAAGCTGAGGCCTCTTAGGATAGAACCTCCTGCTTCGGGCACTTGCAGCCGGCTCCCTTGCAGAGAGGTGGACACCAGCCCTGCTGGGGCTGCTTTGCAGGCAGGTCAGGAGCACTGGCACCTCCCGAGCCACGGGGTGGCCGCGCCTGCACCCAGAGGTGTCTGCTGAAGGCAGTGCTCGGGAATGGGAGCTTGCTGGTTCCCAGAAATGGACCATGAGCTGAGCTCCGGGTGAGCACACTCCAGGGCGCGGTGCCCCTCGTCCCTCTGCACCCTGAAACTCCCTCTGTCCAACGCAGCACGTTCTGCAGGCATATGGGTTCCATTCCGTCCCCCAATTTTAAAGTGAACCCCATTACTTGTGACCACTCCGAAGCAGCACGGCTGCAGCGGGGGAGCTGAGCTGGATGCTCTGTTAATTCCACCAGCGTCTGGGGGAGCGACAGGACTGCATCCCTGGGTTTCTTGTCGGCTCGTGGGGGGGCCGCCCAGCAGGAAGCCAGGCCTGAGGGCCACGGGGAGGAAGGCAGCCTTGTTGGGGGGACGGGGACCTACCAGGCTGAACGTCAGCGAGCGGAGTTGCTCATTCTCCTCCTTCAGGCGGCTCAGCTCCTCAGCTCCGGGCTCCAGGCTGTCGGCCGCCCTCAGCGACCGCTCCCGGAACTCCCGCTCGCAGGAGGCGGCCAGCCTCTCTCGCTGCAGCTCCTGCTGCGTCAGGTACAGCTGCCGGGAGAGGTGCCGGGCGCGTGAGCACTGAGTGCCCCACGCAGGGTCGGGCACAGGGGGGCGGTGTGTGTGTGCGTGCATGTGTGCACACGTGTATGCATGTGCTCACACGCGTGTGCGTGCATACCGAGCAGATGCAGAGAGCACAGTGATGAACTGAGGTGTGTGGATGTCTTCCATACCACTGCATTTGAACTCTTTTAAAGACAAATTTCAAATTCCTTCCACGGTTTAAAATCAAAGAAAAGATGACGGCACAGTTAAAGGCAAGAAGCAAAACGACACGTCGGGAACACCCTAGATACTGAAAGAGCCTCCTGATCACCACGGCAACGCGGCGGCCGAGAAAGGAGTAAAGGACGCCGTCGGGTTCGAGGGGCCTGCGTCCAGGGCCAGCTGAGGAAGACGAGGAGACCGAGGCCCGCTGTCCCTGGGGTTCGTACGGCAGCTGGACGGGCGTGGGGCCTGGGGGGCCCACTGCTGCAGAGCCCAGAATAGCCAGACCCACCCCCGACAGAGGCAGGCGGGCTGTGCGCAGGCCAGCCAGTCCTGGGGGAGTTACAGGGCAGGCTCCTTGCCCACGGGCTAAGGGGGGCCTGGGGGTGAGGAGAAGGGCCAGCCCTCTGCTGGAGCCTGGGCCTAGGCGGACGGGGCAGGAAGGCGTCCCCAGGGCTGGTGACAGTGGGCGGGGAGCAGCACCTCCTCCTGCAGGGCCCGGCAGCGTGTGGCGGCCAGCTCCTTCTCCCGCAGCGCGCCGCTGTGGTGCAGCGCCAGGCCAAGCATCTCGTCCTTCAGCTTCAGCACCTCGTGGAAGTGGGCGCTGACCTCCCGCTTCATGCGGGCATGGTCCGCCTCCAGCTGCCGCAGGCCCTCAGCCTGGGCCTCGGCCTCGCGCAGGCGCTCCTGCAGCCGCCGGCACTGCTGCGCCAGGGCCTCCCTCTGCCCCTTCTCCTGGCTCAGCTCCTCCTGCAGGCTGCTGATGGCCCCAGCCAGGCACTCGGTCAGCTTGGACGTCTCCATGAGCCCTGCGGGGGCGGGGGGCCCAGGTGTCACCACCTCAGCCCCCACCGGGTCCTGCCTGCAGGACTTTGCTTCCTGCACCCAGACTCTAGAGGGTCCCACCCTGGTCTGCCCATCTCTTCAAAGGCTTCCTGGCTGAACTGCACTCAACTCTGGGTGAGTAAACTGTGTGACTCGAGACTGGCACCAGGCTTCCCCGAGCCGCCCCGCCACTCAGGCCCGGCTGCCCCTCATCTGCCCGGCCGGACCGGTTTGACCTCGTCCTACGAACACAGGAGCAGCGGAGTCTGCATGTGCGTCTCCGAGTGGCACACACGCAGCTGTGAGGCCAGGTGGACAGCGTGCTTCCCCGGCCGCTCCCCGGGACACCCGGTCTTCCACCAGCTCCTCCACGGAAGCCTAAACTCACTTCCTCAACAGAGTGGCCTCACCTGCCCCCAAGCCAGGCCTGAGCACACGCAGACGGGGCTGCAGCCTGCACCCCGCCCGCCCCCCACAGCGCAGCAGGCACCTCTCTGTGAGGGTGGGCCCTCCCAAGAGCCAGGCTGGGACCCTGGGACCGGGCTGCCCTCTGCCTCGAGCACAGGGCACCCCAGGAAAGGACACCATGAGGGGCCCTTCTTGGTGCTGGCTAATCAGGGACAGACTTTTCCTTTCAGAGCCCGAGGCCCCGGGCTCCTCCTCCCACCCCCGCGACAGTTAGCTGGGGGCTCTCCTCACCCCAGAGTGCTGGACGGGGTGCAGGGACGGCAGGGCTGCCTGCAGGCGGCAGCGAAGCGTGGGGGACGGCCCGCCAGCAGAGCGGGACCCCACAGGCTCCTAGCAGCCAGCGGCGCCAGGGAGCCCCCGCCAAGCCCTCCCGGAGACCACCGCCCGCTCACCACTGAAGCTGCTGCCATCGACGTCCGGCTGCAGCCCAGTGACCAGGGTGTAGACGTCGGGGTTGTGGAACTTGAGGCTCTCCAGGAAGGCGACGGCCCCGTTCTTCCCTCGCGTCTTCAGCAAGTCCAGCAAGTGTCCTTGGGAGACAGAGGTCTTGGCTGGGGGGGGACAGGGAGGGCCCTGAACTCCCCTGGGCTCCTCGGGCTCACGCAGTGGCAGGCGCCTCGAGAAGTGCGAGGCTGACATTTACTGAGCAGCCATAAGGAGCCGAGTGCTGAGGGCTGGAACGGGTTGGAGGTGGCCCCCAGGGCGTGCCCCCCGGGACCTGCCAGTAGGACCTCATTTGGGAAAAGGGTCTCTGTGGGTGTGTTTAAGTGACGGACCCCGAGGGGAGAGCGTCGTGTACGATCTGGGTGGGTCCCGACCCAGTGACAGGTGTCCTCTGACAGACAGGACAGGAGACACCCTCAGAGAAGGTGCGTGAAGCAGGGGCACAGGCTGGAGCGGTGCCCCCCAAAGCTGGTCCTCCAGGAAGGACCCGCCCCCGGAGCCCTCAGAGGGGCGCGGCCCGCCAGCACCAGGGTCTCGGGCGCAAGCCCCGAACTGCGCGCGAACCGTTTCTGCCATTTGAGGCCACGCGCTTACGGGTCCCGCATGCAGAACTCGGCCCCTTAGCCCCTGGCCGGGCGGAGAGGCCCGGGCGCAGCCTCACCGGCCCTCATGGCGCTGTTGGTGAGCCGGGGGCTGTGCAGCACCTCCTCCTCGTCCAGCTGCCCCAGCACCTTGGCCTGGCGCAGGTAGGGCGTGAGGCGGCTGGGGCAGATGCTGCGCACGATCCTGCAGCGGTGGCTCTCGGTCATGTCCCACAGCGTCTCCTCGTCCAGGGCTGCCAGCGTGGACTCGGTGCGGCGCAGTCCCGCCATGCCTGCGGGCCCTGGGCAGACAGGACGGTGAGCGCCCAGGGCCGCGGCTCCCGGGACGAGGGGTTGGGGTTCCCCCCTCTGCAAGCCACCCTCCCCCTCATCACAGGCAGGGGAGGAAACGACCAATTCGGAGAGGACGGTGACACCTGCCCTGCCCCAGTGCCCTGGGACCAGTGGGAGGGACACCAGTCCAGGACCCGGGGGAGAGAGGGACCTGGGTTTGCCTCTAGCACACAGGCCGCTGCCCCTGCCCAGGGCGGTCAGCTGGGGAGGTGGGCCTAGAGCAGGACACAACACCAGCAGGGGGATGGGGACAGATGGCAGCACCCCTGTGACAGCCACACCTCAGGGCAGGGCACGGAGGGGAAGGCGTCTGGAAAGGCTGCGGAGGGTGATGGTGGGGGAGACAGCAGCCTGGGTGGGCGTGAGGCTGCAGCGGGGCCCGCGGTGCAGGGCGGGGGGCGGGCACTCTCGTGGGAGGCTGCCGCCCATGCCGGGCACGGCGGGTGCTCGTGCCGGGACACCTGAGGGACGGGTCGGGGGTGTGGGGACACTGTTAACAGCACATCCTAGATTGATACAAACCGGAGCTAACTGGCCCCGGCTGCGGTGGCTCAGTGCACTGAGTGACGGCCTGCGAACCAAAGGGCTTGACCCCCAGTCAGGGCACACGCCTGGGTTGCGGGCCAGGTCCCCAGTAGGGGGGCGTGTGAGAGGCAACCACACACTGATGTTTCCCTCCCTCTGTCCTTTCCCTCTCTCTAAAATAAATAAAAAATTTTAAAACACCGAGCCAGCTCGGGGTGAGAAGGAAGGCATGGGTTGGGGTGAGATGGCCAAGCAGCCTCTGGTGGCCAAGCTGTGCTGGGCGGGGCAGGCCCCAGGCGGCCCCAAGCTCCAGGTCCGTGTGGACAAAGGCCCTGCCGCAGCTCAGTCACAGCCCAGCACGTCCCCAGTCCGAAGTCCCAGGGGCACGACTACCTGCCAAGGGCCCCTCCCGCCTCTGCAGCCGCTGCCTCCCTCTCCCCTCCCCACCGCCACCTGGCCCTGCACGAGGTCTGGAGCCTATCAGGGCACCTAAACCACTCCAAAATGTCTCTGAACCTCGGGCTGTCCACCCGCCCCTGCCCTCCCCACCTTCTGCCCCGCACCCCGCGCTAACAGCTGGGACTTCAGATCCCTGCGTAAGGAGATGCACCCTCAGACAGAGCTCCGCCCGCCCCCTCGGCCCCACCGCACACAGCACCAGGCAGGGTTCTGGCGACGTCACACCTGCGGCAGCTTCACTGCTCACTCTCACTTCACGAGACAGTGTCACCTGGTCAGGGCACCGAGGGTTGGTGCAGGGTGCCACTCAGCCACACCCCTTCCTCAGCTGCGTGTCTCAGTCAGTGACAGACACAGCGCACGGCCCCGGGCTGGGCGTTGCCTTGTGTCTACTGTTCCCGGCACACTCAGTGCTGTCGTGACGCCCTGTGCGCAGGCCGGGCACAGGTGGGATGTGTCTCTCGGACCCGAGAACGCCTGTGACTTGGTCGCGCCTGTGACCTGTCACCCCTTGGGACAGCAGGCTGCCCTGGCTGGTATCTGGTGCCTCTTGGAGAGGTGGGGACACCAGAAGGGCTCAGGAACCAGAGCGAGTCGCAGTGGACACGAAGCAGCCTGGGCTGCACCCCACAGCCCACCCCCGGGACCGGGGGCGGCAGCACACTCACCGGGAGACGCTCACGTCCGTCTGCGCAGGGACTGCTTGCGGTGGAAGGGGACCCGGAGCCCCCTCCCCCGGGCCAGGTGGTGCAGCCTCCTTTGCAGGGTCCTGGCGGCGGCGGGACAGGGCTGGACAGGAAGAGCAGCCCAGCCAGCGCCGAGGCCACCTGAAGACTGTTTCACGCCGTGTGACTTGCTCCAAAACTCAAAGTTCACGAAACGAAGACTAGTGCAAGGTGGGGAGAAATACAAACTCAGATCCAGGAAACACGGGGACAGACCTTTCACCCTCGTGTCCGTTCAGCAAATACAGACGCTTTCTCAGCACGAGCGAGCCGGTGTCTCTCGTCTCTTTCTCCCTCTGCCCCCTCCCTCCCTCTCTCCAAAAATAAGTAAAATCTTTTTTAAAAAGATTTTTAAAAAGAATAACAGACTTTATTTATTTATTCCTTTATTTATTTTTAGGGGGGAAGAGAAACATCAGTGTGCAGTTGCCTCTTGTGCGCCCCCTACTGGGGACACGGCCCCCAACCCAGGCGTGTGCCCTGACTGGGAGCTGAGCCAGCCACCTCTTGTTTGGCAGGCTGGCACTCAATCCACTGAGGCACACCAGCCAGGGAAAATAAATAAAATCTTTAAAAAGAAAAAAAGCAGAGGCCACAAACAAGGCAAGGCGGAAAGGAAAGAACTTTCTGCCAAAAACTTTGGAAAGAGTCAGACGAGCCCCGGAGCCAGTGGAGGGCTCACAGGGCGGGGCCCTGTCATGGAGCAGGGCGGCCTCCCCACCGTCTGCCCATCTGAAGGGGAGGAAACTCTGGGGAAGTCTGGGAGGTCAAAGGCAGCCCCCCAAAGCCCCTGCCCCGTCCCCCACAGGAAGCTCTCCGATCCGCCGGGCAGGGTGACCATCCTGGCCCAGGGGCTGGGATTCAGGAAGGGCGCCGGACCCGTGAGCACGCCTAGCCGCGTGGCGCGCACTGGGGCCGTCTCACTACAGACCAGGACTTGGTGGGAGCCGCAGCCCTGAAACCCTGGGGGGAGATTCTCTGCCTTGACGGCCCCCTGGGAGGCCAGGCCGGGTGGGCGCCGTCTCACGGGGCTGTCGATCTCTGTGACGTCTCTAACTCAGACGTGCACCGACCTGCCTTCCTTCAGATCGACAGATAAAAAACAACACGGGCCCGGCCGGATGGCTGGGGGGCTGCAGCGTCATCCACCGGGAGGCTGTGGGTTCGACCCCTGGCTGGGGCGTCTACAGGATTCAACCGATCACTTTCCCTCTCACACCAGTGTTTCTTTGTCTCTCTCTCCCCTCTCCCTCCAAAATCAATAAACATACCCTTGGGTGAGGATTAAAACAAAACAAAACAGAACAAAGAATGACGATGGCCAACACAATAGCAATGCGGTGTGGGCGGCCGTCCCGGTCACACGGTAAGCGCTGCATCTCACTGGGCACAGGACATCACAAGGTGGGGCCCGACTGGTTCATTCTCGGTAGCAGAAATCCTTCTGTACGAGTACAGGCTCCTGATTTTTAAAAAGTCCCCTTGGAGCAAAAAGGGTGGGTAATTACTGTCCTTACTTTTTGTAAATCAAGCAAAATTATACCCATCTTCTGGTCAGATTGGCAAAAAGAACACGTTTTTGGTGTGCCGCGGAATTTCAGCTGCGGTGCTGTGAGAAGACAGGGGGCAGCAGCCGCCCCCACCCCGGCCTGGTGGGTGTTCGAGGCGCGGCCCTGGTGGTCGGGGTGTGGCCGCGCTGCACCCAGACATTGTTTGCACAGTAACTTGGGGTCCAAGTAAAACGTACACGTTCCTCTGAAGCCACGTGGAACGTGGTCTTGTTGCTGTGGAACAGCGACAGTGAGTCTGTCCCGGCGGAAGCCTCTGGTCTGCGCACTCGCCCACCCCTCTGCCGCCTGCTGCTCGGCCAGTCCCACGTGCAGGTGTGCGCACAGACTCATGGGACAGACGGACGGAGCGCGAGTGCCTGCAGGTTCCGGACGCTGTTCACCAGTGCCCCCACTGGTCACATTCGTGTCCGTGTAACTTCAGGGCTCCCGACGCCTCCTTCTTTGTCGTTGATGGAACTTTTAGAACGAGTGCCGGTTCCATAAAACCAAAGAGTCAGTATTTCAGAAAACAACGCCATTAATTCAACCAGTCAAACGGAGACGGAACTGGGGCTGTGCGTCCTTCTGTCCCACGTTGTCCAGGGCACTTCCTGCCCTGGCGTGAACTCTCACAGGGACACAGTTTGGGTGGCCAAGTGTCACGGCGGAGGCGGTGCAGGCGCCCGGACCCAGCCCTCTGCGGCCCTGCCTTCGGTCCTGCGAGGAGGACCCGCAGTAGCGGGCGTGGGCAGGGAGAGCGTGGGAGCAGACCAGGGCGGCAGGGGCTGCTGAGCGGGGACAGTTCTGGAAAAGCCGGGGGGAGGGGCAGGACTCTGCTGGCCCAGGCCTGGGTCGTGGGCAAGGTGGCCGCTTCTCACTCCCTGGACAGGATCTAACCCTCCACTTAAGATAGGAGAATGGAGCATCTTTATGAAACCTCCTTCTTTTTCCCCAAGTTTTCTCACAAAGCATCGCTTCAATACCATTGATCCTGACTCAAGAGGTTCCACAGCCTTCCCTGTGACCTGGGCCGATGGCCCTGGATGAGGTTGGGGCCAGGAGTCAGTGACCCCGAAATCCGAGCTCCCTGAATACGAACTTCTGTCTCTAGCGAACTGCACTCCGGCCCCAGCACGCAGGCCCTGAGGGGCCCGGCGGCCTGGACCCACGGGGAAGCGCAGGTCCTCGGTGCCTTCCCCAGGCTGGGCCAGGGTGGCGGCCGGCTCCGGGAGGGCCTTCCGGCCTGTCCACCGCCCCACCCCACTAGCCTCCCACGCAGGCCCCGAGAGCACCCTGCTTTCCTCAGGCTTCCCCCGAGCACAGAGGATCCAGGCTCAAGCTGGCAGCTGCCTTTCTTGGGCAGCTGGAGACAGAGATCTCTTCAGGACCCTCTGAGGCCCAACCAACCGCCCTTGGCTCCTGGGCCCCCCAAAGCCATATCGCGGTTCGGGTGTAAGTGGCTGCGGCCAAGGAGCGGCCACTCTGGCCCGTTCTTCCCGCAGTGAAGCAGCTCCCGGTGGACCCAAAGGGCAGCAAAGACGGAGGGCTTCTTTGCACCTGAGCCCAGGTTGAGCGGGGGTGAGTGCTGTCCTAGCGGAGACCCCCAGGGCGTCTCGCCCTCCGGCGCTCCTACAGAGAGCCGACGGCCACCTGAGTGCCGCACACGTGTGCCCTCCTGTCTGCCCCTCCCCATCCACACTCTTCTCGTGCCCACACCCTCACACGCATGCACGCGCACAGAACCCCCAGAACAGGGAGGCATGTGTTGGTGAGCTCTCGGGGTGTCTGATGAACCCCAACGTGGTGGGTGAGGCAGGCGGGCAGCGAGCACAAAAGGAAGCAGCGACGCCCCCTTGCTCCCCTCAGCTCCAACCGGCACCGAAGTGCCCCTTCCACGTTGGTCGGCCCTCACCCCCCAGACGGGCAGCAGGTCCTCTCCACGCCACACCCACACCGGAAACACCCCCTCGCTTCCTCCCGCCCTGGGGCAACAACCAGACATCAGAGAGCAAAGCCGAACACCCTTCCTTACCCATCCCGGCCCAGACGCTCCCCCGGGCGGGAGGGACCACAGGCGGGCACCACCCCTCCGTCAGGGGAAGAAGCCGCCCCTCCAGTTCCCCCAGGGCGGCTCTCAGACCCCACTCGGGGCCTGTCCGCCCTCCCTCTGCTGGTGCACTGACCTGCTCTCGTGGGGACCAACTCCATGCTGCTGCGGGAGGACCGGCTGCCCCGCCTCTTGTGACCGAGGACTGGGACAGCCCCTGCTGACGGGCGGCAGGGGAGCAGGTTTGGCAGGTGTGGTGTCCCGCCGCCCTGCCCCGGGAAGTGATGTCTCACACGCTCCACGCCTCGCTGAAGCTCCGGAGCATTCTCACGGCACGACTGCCATGCGCGGAGGGCTTGTTTTGCCCTTGTGGGTGCCATGGGAACCTTCTAGAAACTGACCTTTCCCCTGGTGTGAGAGCAGGGAAGAGCCTCCCGCCATGTGTGAATGGTCAGCCTGGGTCCTCACGAATCCCTCAGAAAGAGTCCCCGCACCCTTGGGACCCACGCTGGGGCCCCTCACCGGTTCTCGTGGTGGGCGGGGGTGCAGCTAAGCAATGCCGGTGGCCCGCCCGGAATCGGTGTCCCCGGTCACCTCTCACTCTGGTCCTCCTCTGCGAGCGCACACCCAGAGTGCTCACCTGGGGACACCGCGTGGCTGTGCCCGGTCACCGTGCACCCGGGGCCCTGCAATCACATCCTGGCCATCTCCTTGCTGCCTCCAGTGCCAGCTCTCAACACAGCTGGCACAGCGACGCTCCTGCCACAGCCACTGGGGGTCTGGTCAGGCTGTTCTCTTTGGTCCGTGAGCCTCTGAGTCCTCCCCACCGCCAGGCACAAGCCCTGCAGCGTGTCCTGCGCTTGCTGCCCTCATTCCCACTCGCCTGCTCCACACTCGGGGCCTCCTTGTCAGTCTGACGCACAGGCACGCACCTGCCCCAGGGCCTTTGCACTCGCCTCCTTCAGGACTCCGCACCAGGGCCGCCTTCCCAGCGAGGCCTCCCAGGCCGTTCTGTTTAAACTCACAGCCCCCACGCCGCGCCCCACCCCAGGCCGTTTTTCTGCACTGGACCCACGGCTCCCGACACACTGTGCATTGCACTTCCTTGCGGTTTCTCACCTGCCTCCCCACCTGGAGCGTGGCCTCCAGAGGACAAGCCCCTTGTCCTTCTCTCGTACAGCCAGGTCATCTTTCACCCTGGGCGGCCTGTGCTCCTGTCCCCCGAGGAAAGAGCACCCTGAAGTGGCTGCCAGGGCAACTGCGACACATCCGAATGCCATTTCATTATCTGCCAGACCTCCCCTGCCCTGTCCCTGCTCCCCTCCGCCCACTCCCCACCTGCCCACATTCCCGGTGCCACTACCACCCTGCTCTTGCAGCCCTGGATCCTGCCCATACCCCGCCCACCTGTGGGCCTTCACACCCCCGTCCCTTCTTCCTAGAACACTCCTCCTCTCACAATGTGGAGAGTGCCTTCCTCCCGCCCCCACCGCTGGTGTGTCCCCAACCCACTCACCTCTCCACCGGCCTCATTTCATTTGCATCACAGAAGCTGTGACAACTGCAATCACGTTACTGTTTGCAAGGATGTCGCCAGTCTGCACATTCTGTTGGGCTTGCCCTGTCCTGGAGCACAGCTCTGGGAGGGCAGCGCCATCTGTCCCTTTGATGCCCACAGATGCCCCATGCGCATCTGCCGCCCGATGCTGGACGCTGGCGGTGGGGGGTCCCTGGTCCAGTTGGGTGGGGTCAGGCGGGGCTTTGGGCTTCATCCTGTGCCTCCCCAGGGGAGGGGGCTGGAGAGGCCGCACCTAGAAAGAAACAAGTGTTTGCCACTGCGTACTGGGCGGGGTCCCTGGCAGGAAGTCCGTCTTTAGGGGCAGCCCCTCTCATCCAGGCCACCACCTCCCACCTCCTCCTACGGTGATGACTCACGGAAGCCCGGCAGGCCTAGGAGCACTGCGCCGAACCTCCTCTACCCCAGGACTAGATGGGCCACCCCGCCCATCCGACCAAGTCCAGCACGGGCCCAGGGCAACAGGCCAGTCAGGAGGTGCAGCCCTCAGAGCCACTCCGGCCTGCCCTGCTGCTCTGGCCTGAGCTCCAGGAGCTCCTGGGCGGCTGGGCCCCTGCCTTCCCTGCCCTGGATCCAGGCACACCTACTATGTGCTAGGGCAGCCTCGGGGAGCCAGACGGACGTGGGCCCTCCCTGGGCTGAGTCTAATCCGGCGAGAAATTAACTTCCTCCGCCAAACATAACAGGGTGGGAGGGGAGGCCCTGGAGGCAGTCTGTGTTTTGAGGGACGGGTACCCCACCTGATTAGAACCATCCCAAGGAGGACAAGGGCAAGTCTGCTTTGCTCTCCATTGCTCACCGGGGGGCCCCCAACACCTGTCCCACCCCAGAGCTCCCGTCATCATCATGGAACTCTGGTTCCAAACAAAAGGAGGGGGCCTTCGGGAGGTGCGTTCACACCTCGAAAGGAACACTGTGGGGAAAACAGTGGCAAGTGACACGACAGCGGGAAGGCCGAGACAGGTACAGGTGGCTCCGGAGTGAGACTTTTAAAATGCCCAGCAAGCGTCACAGAGGCCACGACCCCTGGACACTGGCAGGAGGGTCCGGCGACCCCACCTTCAGTCGCCCTCTCCCCAGTGCCCGCCCCCTCATCTCCCTGCCATGAGGCACTTACAACAGAGCCCTTCACTAGGAGTATCACAGGGAGAGAAATGTCTCCACGTTACAACGTTTCCATAATGTAGCTATGTTTTCCTAGTACAAAGAAACAAGTGACATTAAAGTAACAAATTTAACTCAGTATATCTGAAATGACCATTTCGACAACTTTTACATTCCTTTCTCCTACTGTCTCAAGATATCTGTATTTCACAACTCAGCCCTATTGCCCGGCTTCCTAAACAGTGTGTGCAACCTCCGAAGAGACACCGGATGTCCTCCGGTAGTGAGAAGACCCAAGAACTTACGTTCCCATGTTATTGGAAGCCTAAGAAATTCAGCTTTATGAACATTAAATACTGGATTAATAACGGCATCCCTGCTGGGCACGCGTGCTCAGGCGATTCTCCTGAGGACCGAGCACCTCACAGAAGGGAGCCCGCATTCACTTCCGTGCAGTCAACCTGTCACTCCCCACTGCCCTCTCCCTGGGCCGGGCCGAGCAGGTGAACCGATTCCTTGCTTTTTTCACTAAACGAACCCTCACAGAAGGAGTTCCCCCGGTGCTTTGGAATTGGAAAGTGGCCCTGGATTTAAGGACGTGGCCAGGAGGCGAACCAAGAAAACAACGGGCAAGGGTGAGAGCGCGACTCTCACAAAAGCCGATTCTCATACAACAGAGAATGAACACGGGTCGGGCGGAGAGGCTGGTTCAGCGCCCACGTACTTAAGAAAGTGTGGGGGGAGTTGGCGTAACTGGGTATGTTGGCGGGGCAGCAAGAAGCCAGTGCCTATGGGGTCGTCTGCACGGCAGGATTTAGTCTGAGGCCGCAGTGAAGAGGGCGCTGCGGTCCAACGAAGGCGCGTCCTCACGGTCACGCGGCCAGCCCCGGGGTCCCGGTGAGGAGGGCATCGGGGGACCCCAGTGAGCACAGCCCCAGGCGTGGCCCTGTCTCTATACTCGAAGCCGAGTAGGGGCTACTCTTTAAGGGGTTAAAAAACGTGGACCTAACCAGAGCTGATTCCAGGTTTTCCAAAAGCAGACTATTTGCAGCGAGCATTTCCACCCCACGTAGGTAATAACCCGTTTCCGACGATGTGTCTGGCGCCCTCCGAGTCCGGCCAGTGACACCGCATACACGTATAAGCACTTTGCGGCCCGCGCCCCGGTTCTCACTCGAGGTAGAGCCGCCGTGCCTCGGGCGGCGCCGAGTACGCGTTGAGCACAAACATCCTACTCCTAACTCAGCGGGCATCAGCTTTGTCCTGCCTCTGCAGCTTTTATAGGGGAGTGGGCGAGGCCCCGGCCCCGCGAGATCCTGCGAGAGCTCGCGTCTCGCGTGAGAATCGGCAGCCCGCCCCTTTTCCTGCGGCAAGCTCCCCATCCCCTTTCACGTGATGAGAAGTCCCCGCCCTCCCGAGGGGCGGCCCCGACGCCCGTTCGTACGCGGGTCGGCGCGCAGTGACGTCAGTTCCTGGCGGCGGCCGCGGCGCCGGGCCCTGCTTCCGCTTTTCGCTGAGGCGCGCGCTCCGCTCTCAGCCGACTCGGGATCATGGCGGCCGCGGCCACTATGGCGAATTCGGGCTCGGCGCGGAAGCGACTGCTCAAAGAGGAGGACATGACCAAGGTAGAATTTGAGACCAGCGAGGAGGTGGACGTGACCCCCACGTTCGACACCATGGGCCTGCGGGAGGATCTGCTGCGCGGCATCTACGCCTACGGTTGGTGGGCATGGGCCGGGAGGGCGCGGGGCAGTGGCCCGCCGACGCGAGCCGGGTAGAAGGACGGCGGGCGGGGCCGAGTCTGGGGGCTGAGAAGCCCCGGCCGAGCCCGGATGGCGGGGCTCCGAGCCGTGGCCGCTGGTGGGCGACCCCTTCCAGCGCGCCGTCATCACTCCGCGTCCCTGGTCTTGGCATGTTGTCCTCGGTGTGGAGCAACGTGCGGGTCCCTCAAAGGTTGCACAGCCTTCCAGGCGTTCGGAGTCATTCTTTTAGCGGATGGGTGTCTCGCATTTCCCGGTGTGAGGCTCGGGCGATGCTCTAGGCACCGGGGGTTGAGCAGTAAGCCAGACCAACCCCTGCCTTGGAGAGCTTCATTTGTGTCCGGGAGAAGGTCGCTTCGGTGGCGGTGCCAAAGACAAGCGGGACTGTGAAATCGGCTCTGTCCCAGTAGGAGAGATGACTAAAGCTGGAACAGCAGAGAGATGCGAGGGTTCCCGGGACCGTTAACGTTTGTGCTGCGGTCGGGCCCGTTGAGAGAAGACTGCGGTGACACAGGGTGCGCCCCAGGAGCAGAGCCTCCTGTCCCGGGAGCCCAGGGATGCGCTGGGAGTGCGAGCCAGGCTCCAGAGCTTGCGCGGCATCCTGCGAGGTGATGCTGTGTTTACTAAGTGCCCGGGAAGCCAGAGGAGGGCTGTAGGCTGGCAAGGGACCAGTTCACATTTGCAGGGGGTTCCTGGGCTTGTGGAGAGGTGAGGAAACGGCGAAGGTAGGAGGCTTTTGCCTCGCGTCCTGGGGAGAGGCAGAGCTGAGGGGTCTCGGTGGCTGTGGAGTGCTGCTGCCTGGCCTCGCTGGGGGTGAGTGTGAGCAGCAGAGGGCCTCTGACTCCTGGGTGTTGTGAGTGACCCCGCAGGTCATGCTGCGGTCAGCGTAGGTGAGCAGCACTGGAGGGAGGCAAAGTCGGGGTTCGATCCTGGACCAGGTGAGCTTTCCTGTGGGAGGCCGTTTCTCGGTTGGCGCCAGGGATGCCGATGGGAGTGGTCTGCACCTGTACAGAAGGCCTGCAACTGGACAGCTGTCACCAGCAGTCCTTGGTGTCAGGGCAGTTTAGACGGGACAGGACTTACCGCCGGGGTGGGAGGTGAAGAACCAGCCCTTCGGCCTGATGGGGGGCAGACAGCTGGTTCCGTCCTCGAACCCCTGGGGTCTCCAGTGTGTTTGGTCCTCAGCAGGGGTTTAAGTCGTCTGTCCGCCTGCTTCACTTTTGGTGGGAAATTGTGCTGCATCCTAAAAGAGCACCAGAAGAATTTAAAATACAATTTCGTACGTGGAGTTTTGTTTCCTTGGGCAATACTGGTCCTCCTTCAGAGTGGGCTCATCCCTCGGGGATTTGGACCGCTCTGAGAGGGGGCTGGGCTGCAAGCCGCCTGCAGTGCCGCCCCAGCCACAGATTAGGAAAGCGGGGTGACTGTGGCTCTGATGGGTTGATTTTCGTTGTTAATGTAGAAAGTAATGAAAAGGAAAATGCATGTTTTTGTGAGGTAGTCAGACAGTGGCTTACTTTCCAACCAGAGTGGAAAGAGACCCTACCCCCCGTCCTCTCTGGGGTCTCCATCCCACAAGGATGTTCCTGTAACAGAAACCTCCGTCTCTACAAATAAGATTCCAACCTGTGTTGTTTGGGAAAACCCACTTCAACCCAGTTAGTGCAGCAGCGGTTCGTGAGAGCTTAGGATTTTGGACATGGGTGTAGCCGGAGTGGGGTGGGGGCGAAGGGTTAAAGAAGATCTCATCTCTGCCCCAAGGAGCTTACAGTGCTGGTCATAAGCACGCCCGCCTGGTGGTGAGAGCGCCCTTCCTCTGTCTTGGTTACAGGGTTTGAGAAGCCGTCTGCGATCCAGCAGCGGGCCATCAAGCAGATCATCAAAGGGAGGGACGTCATCGCACAGTGAGTCCACTTGCCTGGGCGGGGGAGGGGGCAGCCAGAGGCCAGTCGGGGAGCGCGTCCGAGGACCCTTGAACAGCCTGCAGCTGGGCTGTGGGGGTCCGCTTATACGTGGATTGTCTCTTCAGTAGATCAGTAAACGTGCGTCTTTTTCCTTTCGGTGTCCGTACTAACGTTTCCTTCAGCTTGCTTCACCTGGCATGTGACGTATGGGTGGGTGTGTGTTTGCCGACAGCTGCCGGTGTTGGTGCTGAGACTTCGCTCAGCAGCTGGGGGGAACAGTTAGGGTCGGGGGTCAAAACTTTTCCTGTGCAGGAGCCCTGCCCTGTTGACCCTGTGTTGTAGAGGGTCAGCGCTTTGGCCGATGCAGTGGATGGCGGTTTTTCCCACGTTACCAGCCGTGTCCTTGACTCAGCCCCAGGGTGTTCTGTGTGTGTGTGTTCGTTCATGTGCACTCTGTTGCGGGAGCTTCCGTTTTTCAGCTTTGTCACCTACCTGTTGGCCTGTAGAAGTACATGATACCCTTTAAACAGCTTTAGTCCTGATTCATCCCATTTTTAAAGACTCATCTACTGAAAAAACAAACCAAACACACAGACACAATCTGCAGGGTGGCTTTGGTGCAGAGGGTGCTGCTGAAAGGGCTGCCGCCTGCCGGGGCCGGATTCCGCAGCTCTGTCAGTCCCTAGACGGCAGCCGCAGCTGTTGGCCTTGTCCCCTGCAGCAAAAAAGTGGTGGCGTCCTGCCTGCATCCCACAGCCAGGGCAGGGCTCCAGGAACTGGGACAGTGTCGTGTGGCCCGTGGGTGCCAGTCCCACTCACCTGTGCCGTCTCCCCTAGGTCCCAGTCGGGCACTGGCAAGACGGCCACCTTCAGCATCTCCGTCCTCCAGTGCCTGGACATCCAGGTAACCGCCGCCGCTCCATCGGGGCCACTCCGCCCCATCGGCCGCCTCGCTTCCCTGTCCCCACAGTGTTTGGAAGGCACAGCTCTTAGGTGTCTGGGCGGTGCCGGCTCATTCGCAGAGAGACCCTTCCCTGTGCACTAGTGTCCGAGCTGACTAGTGCCCGTCACAAAGCCCGTCTTGTTGGGGGGCAGGGGGCGGTTACAGGCCGGGGGAGGCTCCCGTGTGCGCACAGGAGTGCTCGCCAGCAGCACGTGCCATGATTTCGCGGGTTCGGGAACAGGAATTCTGTTGCCTCTGTTCGGAATCTGTGTGTTTGACGGGAGATAGAGCTTGAGACAGATCTGAGTCTGAACCAGCGCAGTCCACCTCGAATCTGCTCAAGTCTGTTTCTGACGGTTGTCCCGCCAGGTCCGAGAAACCCAGGCTCTCATCCTGGCGCCGACCAGAGAGCTGGCCGTGCAGATCCAGAAGGTGAGGCGGCTGCGGGTTTTCTGTTCCCACAAACCCGTCCTGAACCCTGATGTTCTGCCACAAATCGTCACATGTCACATGACTTGCTAGTTTGTGCATTTCTGCGTGGCTTGTGCGGTTGCAGTGGTTCTCGGCAGTCAGAGCTGCGGCTTTTCCGCTGACAGCGGACACTGGAAAGCTGCCCGCCAGCATGTTAAGGTCGCGGGTGGGTAGGGGTGTGAGTTTTACACGTCTCCTGACTCTCCTGTAACTGTCATACTTTTGTAGCAGGAAGCCGCCCGCGCCGACTTCCCCTCTACTGTAGAACGCTGTCACGGAGAGGGGAGGAGGGGCTTACCGGTGGTGGCACAGGGGCGGGGACACCTCTGGGCGGCCGTCTGGGTTGGGAGCGGAGCTGACGCCGTGTCCCCACCAGGGCCTGCTCGCGCTGGGGGACTACATGAGCGTGCAGTGCCACGCCTGCATCGGGGGCACCAACGTGGGGGAGGACATCCGGAAACTGGACTACGGGCAGCACGTCGTGGCCGGCACGCCTGGCCGGGTCTTTGGTGAGTGCTTTGCCTGCAGCCGTGCGCTGTGGGTGGTGCTGGTGCCCGCACTCCGAGAGCCTGCGCGGCCCAGTCACCTGTGGAAGAGGGAGGCCTGACTCTTCTCAAACCTGACTCTGCAGACATGATCCGTCGCAGGAGTTTGAGGACGCGCGCCATCAAGATGTTGGTCCTGGACGAGGCCGATGAGATGTTGAATAAAGGTGCGCATCACGGGAGGGCTGGTTTGCCGCTGGGCTGTGATTCTGCGTGTTTGAGGTGCAGAGCAGGGCTGTGGGCCGGAGGGGGTGGGGCACAGCTGTGTGCCCTGGGGGCCGTGGGGACGTGAGCCTCACACCTCAGTCTTTCTCTGGCCACAGTTTGTGAGGCCGGCACACTAGCACAGCAACTTGGCAGACACGCGTTACTTTTCTGTGTCCAGTGGTCCTCACAGGCGCTGGGTGGGCACCTGGACCTGAGACTGTGGAGATGCTTGGGGGTGGCTGGGGGTGTGGGGAGGGGCAGGCAGTGGGGGGGGAGCAGCTGGGAGTCCTGTCCTGTAGACGACCCTTGCTCCTGGGCCCCTCGTCTCGCAGGTTCTCCAGGCTGTTTGGCCTGTGCTGTGTCACTGAACATGAACTAGTTGTCTGTTCGATTGGGAGTTGTTTTTACTGAGATTTAATTGACGTGTGATGGTAGTTTCGGGTGCACAGCGTCATGCTTTGAAATTTGTGAGGGTTTTTTTATTGGGAGGTGTTTTTTTTGGTAAAAACCCAGATCTCTGAACTCTTACAACGTGGCCACCGTGGGTGCCAGTCCTCACAGGCGGCAGCAGCCGCGACTGAGCCAGGAACCGAGCACCGGCGTTCCTGGGGGCGACTTGTAACTGGGCCTTCAGGACCCTGTGGTGGGGCCGTGATCACCGGGGTTTACCGGGGGGCAGGGGAGGAGAGGGACTGGGGGGTTTCTGTGAGGAAAGGGCTCCTGGTGACGTCGGGCCACACGGTCGGGCCACAGCTGTGCCTGATCACATGTGCGACTGGACATGCGGCCTTACAGGCCCCGCGTCTTGTCCCCACCCCAGGCTTCAAGGAGCAGATTTACGACGTGTACAGGTACCTGCCCCCGGCCACGCAGGTGGTGCTCATCAGCGCCACGCTGCCACACGAGATCCTGGAGATGACCAACAAGTTCATGACGGACCCCATCCGCATCCTGGTGAAGCGGTAAGCGCGCCTGCCCCCCTTCGGTGCTGAGCAGACGGTGCAGGCTGTGTTTGGTTCTAAAACACGAAAGTCTTAGTGTTCCTCTTTGAAAAGCCAGCACACTCCCCTTTGACTCAGCAATTCCAAATGCTAAAGTGAGCTGGTGTTCGATGGTTTGAGCGAAATGAGTGTGCCATTGAGCAGTAGGAGGGTTTTGTTCCAAACCGAGGTCAGGGTGGTAGGAGGTCTCGCCTTTGACCCAGAGCTGGGGGGTGGGTGACTTTGGGGGGCGGGTAGAGGGGGTGGTTGTGCGGGAGGGCTGGGGGCCAGTCCAGGGATGCTCGGCCTGGGCCGTCCTCCAGGCTTGGGAGAGTGAGGGACAGGCTTTGTCTCTGTCCCCCAGTGATGAGTTGACCCTGGAAGGCATCAAGCAGTTTTTCGTGGCGGTGGAAAGGGAAGAGTGGAAGTTCGACACGCTGTGTGACCTCTATGACACGCTGACCATCACCCAGGCGGTCATCTTCTGCAACACCAAGAGGAAGGTGGGCGCTGGTGTGGCTCTTCACACCCCACACTGTGGGCTGCAGCTCGGGTCTCTGCAGACGCGGTTCTGCCACTGGGGGGCCGGGCTGGGCCCCGGGCTCTGCGGGTGTGTGGGCCCTGCAGTAGCTGCACTGCGCCCCGTGCCGCGGCCGTGCGTGCGGGCTCACATGGCGCTTGCTGGTTTGGGTGGCAGGTCGACTGGCTGACGGAGAAGATGCGGGAGGCCAACTTCACGGTGTCGTCCATGCACGGGGACATGCCACAGAAGGAGCGCGAGTCCATCATGAAGGAGTTCCGGTCCGGCGCCAGGTGGGTGGGCCCTCAGCGCCCGGGCCTGGCTCCAGCCGGCCTTTCCCTCCTGGGCGTGGGGGCGCCCGGCTGCTGTGGCGGGATGGGCAGCGGGTCTGCCTCACACAGGAGGCCGTGTCTTTGCTGCCACATAGCCGGGGGCGCTCAGGTTCTGCTTGTGAAGTTGGTCTTTAGCTCTGTTCCGTGGTGGTCAGAGAACGGGCTTTGTGTGGCTGCTCTCCTGTGGCATCTCCATGGCCGCCTGGTGGCCCGACAGGGTCTGTGTGCACACGCTCCGTGCGCACAGGCAGGGTGGCTGCGTGGGCGGTGGTCCAGGCCTCCCGCACACGCCTGGTCGGTTTCGGCCACCAGTCCCCTATGCTCTGTCCTGTGCTCTGTCCTGTGTGTGCTGGGCGACTGTGGGCGAGGGTTCCCGGAGGCTCCGCCGGCCTCGTTTGCAGAGGCGCAGTGTCTGTCCCAGTGCTGCTGGGCCTTCAGGGGGGTCACGGGAGGTGCAGGGAGGGGACCTGAGCTGTTCATTCGCTGGTACATGTGGCCTGAGGGGCGATGACCCCAAACGCCCTTTCTGAGCGTGTCCTGCGGGGCCCTGGCGTGTGTTGGACACGTGTCCTGTGCCGGACCACTGGGACCGGGTGGCCCCAACTAACTGCCCCTCCCCCCGCAGCCGAGTGCTCATCTCGACAGACGTCTGGGCCCGGGGCCTGGACGTGCCGCAGGTGTCGCTCATCATCAACTACGACCTGCCCAACAACAGGGAGCTGTACATCCACAGGTGCCGCGCGGGCCCCTCCGCGGGTGGGCGGGTCCTGCCACGGGGCGGGGCGCACCCGACTAACTCTGCTTCTTCCAAAGAATCGGGCGGTCGGGGCGGTACGGCCGGAAGGGCGTGGCCATCAACTTCGTGAAGAACGACGACATCCGCATCCTGCGGGACATCGAGCAGTACTACTCCACGCAGATCGACGAGATGCCCATGAACGGTGCGCGGGGGCGGGGCGCGCGGGGGCGGGGCGGCCGGGGGCGGGGCCTCTGAGCGGCTTCCCCTTTCGGACTGACCGCGAGCCTTTAATCACGACTGCGTTCTCCCGCGTGCCTTCTTTCAGTTGCCGACCTGATCTGAGGCTCTGCCCGCAACACCGAGGACGACTTGGGCCGGTGGTGGCCCCGGGGGGCCACTGCAGGGCGTCTCCTGCGTCGGGAGGTCCGCACGCTGTCCTGCCCTGGCTCCCAGGACCTGGCCAGAGTCCCGTCGACCTCCCTCCACGTGTACATACTGCTTTGTTGCCTGTGTTTTTCATTAAACATTTACACTTTTCCCACGAACTCCTGTTAGTTCTTACGGCGCCGCCAGCTCTTCTCATCACCTGCTGGGCAGCCCCAGCACCTGCTGGGTAGGTGGAACCCCATGGAACCCGGCCATGGGGCGGGGTGGACGGGGACAGTCTGAATTCGAAGGGGGGCGCGGGGGGCCTGGGCTATTTTGAAAGCTCCCAGGGTGGTTCTCACTCAGCACCTGAGTTCAGATCGCTTTCCTCCAACCTGCCAACGGGGGGCTCCCTCAGGACTCCGCCGGCGTGTTCGGGGCGGGCGCTGAGCAGCAGCACGGTGACAGCACAGCTCGGCCACAGTCGTCCCCTCGTCCCCAACCGAGAAGGTGGTGCGAGAGGAGGGGCCGCACCTGCCACCTGGCTTCATTCCTGTGGACGGGAGGTGACAAATAGATTCACAGTGTCCTGGTGGAGGGGACAGGTCACCGGTAAAGATGAGTGAGTCACACCAGCGTCCAACCCTGCTGGTGACCAAGAAGTGGCCTGTGGTCGGCGAAGGTGTAGTCACCAGCACCCTGGACATCGGTGACGTGGCAGGCGGGTGCGCTCTGGGCGCATCCATTGTCCTGCCTCCAGGCCCTTCACAGACGGGCTCAGAAAGTTGTCCGCTTCCAACTGGTTTTTTTGTTTAAAGATCTTATTTATTTGAAGAGTAAGAGGGGAGGGGAAGCAGAAAGAGAAACATCCACGTGTGGTTGCCTCTCACATGCCCCCCACTGGGGACCTGGCCAGCAACCCAGGCACATGCCCCGACTGGGAATAGAACCGGCGACCCTTTGGTTCGCAGGCCCGCACTCAATCCACTGACGCACACCGGTCGGGGCTCCACTAGTTTAATTTTTAAAGACACTAACCCTTGACTATAAAACTGCATCCATTGTAGGAAAAGCTGCGAAATAAGCCTGGTACGAAACTCACCGGTGCTGTAGGAGACAGCTCTGCTACGGCCCCGTGACCTTGGCTGTCTCCTCGAGGTTGCACAGGCTCGAGCAGCAGCCACCCTGAGTCACGCACCCTGTGGTCTCCGTGAGCACGGGGACTGGGGCTCTGGGGACTGCTTCACACAAGAGCAGTGACACGCGTGGAAGCAGAGAGTGACAGAAGACCCAAGGCCCGAGAAGGCAGCAGTGACAGCAGCGTGGGCTCAGACCATGTGCAGCCTGGTGCCTCGTACCCTGGGCCACCTGCAGTGAGCCAAGGTGAAGCTGATGTGTAGGTGTGACCCTTAAAGGAACCAGTGAAAAAACGGAACAGCCAACACCGGAGACAAAAGGGGACCCTGCAGATTCTGAGTGGGGAAGGGCTAGAGGCCCTGGCCAGGTGGCCCAGCGGGTGGGAGCGCCATCCTGATGCTGCGGTTGGGCGTCCCATCCCCGGTCAGGGCACGTACAGGAAGCAACCAACGAGTGCAACGACGTGTGGGACAGCAAATCAATGTTCCTCTCTCTAAAACCAATAAATAAGCCTGGCTGGTGTGGCTCAGTGGATTGAGTGCTGGCCTGCGAACCAAAGGGTCGCTGGTTCAGTTCCCAGTCAGGGCACATGTCTGATTTGTGGGCTAAGACCCCAGTAGGGGGCGTGTGAGAGGCGACCACAAATGGATGTTTTTCTCCCTCTTTCTCCCTCCCTTCCTCTCAGTCTAAAAATAAATAAAATCTTAAAAATAATAATAAAAGCAATAAATACAAAATTGTAAAACGCAGGGCTGGAAACAAAGGCGAACCAAGGAGAACGACAGACAGCTCAGTGGTAGGTTCCCAATAAGCCCACCAGTGACCACCGCCCACCTTCCGAGACGAGAAAAAGCGAGCTGTGCCCAGAGCTGGCGGCAGCAGGAGACAAAGATTCCAGAGGAAGTCAGTGAAATAATAGAAAAAATAAAAAAACCCAAAGTTGGTTCTCTCAAAAGATCTGGCAAATTTTAAGTGACATTGACCAAGAATGAAAAGACTCAAAATAACCAAAATACGGAAAGAAAGAGGGGCTGTCACAACGGCCCTCCGAGGACATGCAGGCTTCCATCAGGCTCCTTGGGGACCGCGGCCTGGCCACCAGCCGGCCCACCTAGATAGATGGCGGGTCCCCGCACAGAGGCCCCGGGACGGGCTCCAGGGTAAAATCAGAGTCCAGAGCGGCGAGGCTGTGACCAGGAGGGCAAGGCGGTCAGAGGAGGCTGCCAGGTGTCCGTGAGGCAGGCACCACAGCCACCCGTAAATACTAACCCGAGAACCGAGTCCTCCGTGTGCTCCCGCCCGTGTGAAGGTGCAAGTACGTGTAAGGAGAAAAACCGCGGAGGCGGCCCCCCACGGTGTGGCGCCGCGCCAGTCCCCAGGAACTTGCAGCAGCCACAGCCCCAGCAGACCGGCGCCCCCAGGAGTGTCACCAGGGGGCCAGGGGGGTTCACACAACGAAAGGCCATCTGTCAAAATGACGCAACAGCCCTCAACGTCTACACACCCAGCAGCTTCGAACCAGGGAGTCCAGGTACAGACACGGAAGGAAATCATGGAGAAATGGGCCACCCCGTTGCTTTTGGAGCTGTGTCCTCGTCATGCCCACCTGACACCCCCCCCCATTCTGGCCACGGCCAGTGAGATGAGCAAGGAAAGGGGCGGGAGGCATCCCTGGCCTGGGCGGGGCAGGTGGGGCGGCGGGGAGAGTCTTGTGCTGACAAAACCTACAGCAAAACCCGGGAACAGTAACTGAGTTTAGGGAAGGGGGTGTGAGGTCAACATTCAAGGTCACTCATACTCCTCTGTGGGAGCAGTGAGCACGGGGAAGGGGAATTTAGGGCCCCATTTACAACGGCGTCGAACGTGGGGAGCACTTGGGGCTCCCTTGACAGTATGTCACTCTGAGGAATTAAGGGTGTGAATGACGAGAGCCTGTCCCAGTGGATGGAGGAGCCCTTTTCAAGACGGCTGTTCTACCCAAGTTCATTGGCAGCCTCAGCGTGACCCTGGTCAAAATACCAGGAGAATTTTTTCTTCTGGTAAAAACTGACAAGCTGTTTCTAAGATTTACATGGACATCCAAAGGACCAAGCACAGTGACACCCCCCCACCCCCCGGAAAAGGGAACAAAGTGGGGCTTTCACCACCTGCTCTCCCGGCACATTACCGAGGACAGCGGGGCGCTGGCAGGAAGCAGACGCACCGGCCTGGGACACCGAGGGAAGCCCAGAGCTGGCTGGGGGTGCGGGGAGCGGACGTCAGCTCCGAGGGCAGAGAGCGTTTTTGGCAGATGGCACTGAACGCAGAGGGGCCTCAACCGGCCCTCGCTCACTGGGGAGGCCTGACGCTGGAGAACGTCCAGAGACCACCACGCACGAGTCTTCGTGCCTTCGGGTTTGGCAAATGTCTCTTTAAAAGGACATGAAAGTGCGTAAGTTGAACTCATGAAAACTAAAACCTTTTGCTCTTCAAAAGACACTGTTCTGAAAGCGAAAAGCTGGGAGGAGGCGAGTGCAGGGCCCAGGCCCGAGGCAGCCAGGGGTAGCTCTGGTGTGGGAAGGGGGCAGCCCCACCTGACCGCAGCCCGGGGAGACCCCCCACACACAGTGGTGACGTAGATCTGTGCTCTGATTTAGGCGGCTGAGTTTTGGGGGACAGTTTAGGCAGCGCTACAAATCCAGCGCATTTTATTGTGTAACTCGATAACCAGGAAAACCGCCCAAGGGACAAGTGGGCGGGCCCGAACCAACGTTTCACCCCAAACTGGGGGTGGCAGGTAAGCCCGTGAAGAGGTGCTTCCTGTCATCACGTCACGCCAATGGGGGCTGCAGTGAGACCACGCCCGCTGGAAGGCTGACGGTGGGGGACGCCCAGGCTGCTGGGAGGCGGGGCCTGCGAGTGACCCCGCTGGGCAGGAGTGAAAGGCCCAAACGACCCCAGAGGAAAGCAGTTTGGCCGGGGTTTTTTTTTTTTTAAGATTTTCTTTATTTTAGAGAGAGGGGAAGGAAAGGAGAAAGAGGAGAGAAACATCAGTGTGTGGTTGCCTCTCATCTGTCCCCAACTTGGGACCTGACCTGCAATCCAGGCAGGTGCTGACTGGGAAGTGAGCCGGCGACCCTTTGGTTTGCAGGCCGGTGCTCAGCCCACAGAGCCGCACCAGCCAAGGTGGTTCAGAAGCTTTTAAACATGGACTCCCGCCCCCACCTGCAGGACTGGACAGAATCGGCTTGGTGTTTGCGGGAGAGACGTGCAGCGCGGTCACTCATTCCGTGCCAGACCGCCGTCGAGTCCTCCCTGCCGTACCGGCCCCAGACTGAGAACGGTGCCCCCCGGCAGGCCCCCCCGGGGAGGACTACACGGCGGTGAGAGGGGACGAGGCGTCGCTGCGCACACAGAGTGTGCGCTGCCCGGGGACGAGGGTGCTGGGGCCCACCTGGCCCACCCTGTGCCTCTCTGACCCGTCACCTGAGGGATGGGGGGCTGGGATGGGAGGTGAGGTGGGACAGAGGGGCTGCTCTGAGCCCACGCAGTTCAGCCCCCTCCCACACCACTGGGAAGGGCCGGGGCCAAGGGAGGGTGGACGTGCCAGGTCTTGGCCCTCAGGCACACCCTCCCCACCCTGGACGCCCCTTTTATTACAAATAATTGCACTTAAAACGAAAGGCTTTCCTGGTCCTGGGAATTCTCCCAAGTTCCCCAGAAAGCGGTCTGCGGTGGCCGTCCAGCTCCACCGCCCGTCAGGGAAGCAGCAGAGCCACCCCGGGCGTGACTGTGGGGTAAGGCCCCCCACGTACCACCTCCCTGCATCACAGGCTGGCAGCTGACCACGCGTGCATTCCAGTGACAGGCTATAGAGAGCAAGGCTCCGGGTAAACGTTCGGAATCCAGGTGACCCTCAGGGCAGGACCCAACCTGCGGCCCCTCGAACGCGGTGACGGAGGCGCTGCTTCTGCCGAGCCCCGGAGCAGGAGGGAGCCGCGGAGGGCGAGTCGGCTCTACGTGACTCAGGAGAGCACCGGGGCCGCCCAGTTAGG